GGCTGCCAGTGTCCAATACCAAGTCCAAGCCCAAGTAGCCCGGAGCTTTTTTTTGAAAGGTAAGCTCCAAGCCTCCACGGCCAAGTTTTGAGGAAGAGCTCAAGAGAATCTTCACCCAAGATTCCCTGCCGCAGCTGTGGAAAAGAAGTGTTAGGCTGGAATGCCTGAGTCCAATTCCACGTCCAAGTCCAAGTAGCCAGGAACCGTTTTTGAAAGTTAGGCTCCGAGGCCTTTACAAGGCCAAGTTTCGAAGGAGAGCTCAAAAGAAGCTTCACCCAAGATTCCCTGCCGCTGCTGTGAAAAAGAAGTGTTAGGCTGGAAGCCTTCTGGGAAAGGGTGGGGAAGAGAAAGTGAGAGATAGAGAAAGAGAAAAAAGAAAGAGATAGATATATAGAAATAAAAATACAGGTAGAGATGGAGAGATAGAGAGACAGGGAGATATAAGAGATAGAGAGATAGAGCGACCGAGCGGTAGAGCGGTAGATCGAGCGATAGAGCGGTAGAGCGATAGAGAGATATACAGCGATAGAGAGATAAAGAAGTAAAGATGTAAAGGTAGAGATATACAGGCAGAGATACGGATAAAGGTACAGGTTGAGGTCGAGGTAGAGGTATTATATATAGTGGTGGAGGCAGAGATAGCGCTGAAATCTATTGATGTCAGAAGTGTTTCTCGTTTGATTTGAGATAACATTTCTATTGATTTTATGGAAAATTTCTATTGATTTTATGGAAAATTTCTATTGATTTTATGGAAAATTTCTATTGATTTTATGGAGATTTTCTATTGATTTTGATGTGGAGGTTTCTATTGATTTTTATGTCGCAGTTCTATTGATTTTGAGGATTTAAATTTCTATTGAAAAAGATCGTTTTCTATTGAATTTGATCGACACAATCAAAACGCTGAGAATTTTCAATCCCGCTTGATTTTTTTCAATCGGCGGTCCTCGGGTGGCGCTGCACCTAGCAAGCACCGGCACCAGAGCACCTGGTGTCGTGACCTCACACAGGAGGGTGTGGAGCCACACCCTGGGCCCGAAGGCGACGGCACGAGCAGTTCCAGCCGTCCTAGTCGCTACCAGCTTAGACAAGCGCGTAAAAAGCAACTGAGCCAAGGTGACCCCTTCGTTGTCTGGCAGCTCAACCTGAGGTCCTGGCACAAACGGGGATGGAACGTCCTTCGGGAGGCCGAAGCGGCCGGCGTTCAGGCCGTCCTACTGCAGGAGACCTTGCTGGACCAACCCAGTGCGGAACTTCTCGCACGAAACAGCGATAAGTGGCACTTCTTTCATTCCGAATCTCTCAGTACTAAGCGGGCTAGAGACAGGAATCAAAGTCAGCGCCCTTACGGAGGCGTTGCTGTTGCAGTCCGCAAAGATCTGCCTGCTGTGCGAGCAGCGGACCACCAGAGCGAGCACGGGGAATGGATCCGTGTCTCCCTGCCAGGCCTCCACCTCCTCAGCGTCTACAGGCGGCCGGGGCTCACAGTGGACCAGCGTCAGAGTTTCAACCAGCAGCTCTCCGAGCCTCTCGCCGGCCTCGGCGCCAGCACATGGCTAGCGGGCGGTGACTACAACGAGCCACCGCTTGAGGACGAACTCCAGGTCGTGGCGGCGCAGCACAGTGCTGTTCTGCTCTACCCCTTCGCCGAACGACCTGAGCAGGAGGACGACGTCCCGGAGCCGGCGGCCACTCGGTGGGATGCAAACAGGTGCCTGGACTGGTCGCTCCAAAAAGGCATCGCCAGTTGGCCTTCGTTGCATCGTTGGGCCGACCACAAGGGGCTCCAGTACGTTTTCCCTAACCCTGGTGCCACCAGCAGCAGTCAACGGCGCTTCAGACCTACGCCTGACTTCGGCAAGCCGAAGCACCTCAGCGAGGAAGCTTGGGAAGAACTCCTAGGCAAGCACTGGCCGGCGCACGCCGAGAGACGTATCGGTGGTGCCACTAGTTGGGACAGACTCATGCGTAGACTGCACCACACTTTTACGGCCGCCCTGGACGAAGCTTTCGCTGACCGTGGGGGCTTGCCTTCCAGCAGAGGCAAACGCTTGAAAGGTACGGTCCCGCACACGTGTCTTCTTCACAGGCACCACAGTGCTCAACCGGAGGGCCACGCGAACGTGCGGCTCAGCAAACTCCGCCGTCTTTGGAGGAGACACGAGGAGTACTGGAGTCATCACCATCGCCTTGCGAGAGGTGACGCTACGCAAGGCCTTCGTGACAACATCAACAGGGCAGCCCGTCAGCTTGGTTGCCAGACTCGCCTCCTTCAACCTGGCGGCTACGACGACGGTAGAGACTGGATCGCTCAGCAAATCCTCGCCGAAGAGCAAAAGATCTCGGAAGGGCGCTTGCAGGCCTGGAAGGAGAAAATGCGAAGCAAGCCGGATCAGGTGTGGAAGTGGCTCAGCAAGGACAAAACCACTGCTGTCCTCACGGCCATTCGCAGCCCTGACACGGGTCAACCTGAGACTGGTGAGGCCATGATCGGCCACGTCCGCGAGTTCTGGCGTGGCATTTGGCCGCAGCAAGACAGAGAGCGCCACCAGCCTACGCTAAACGAGCTCGCTGACCAAGCTCCTTGGCCCGACAGTGAGGAGCCTGCGCTGCCGCCGCTCACGGGCGACCAGCTCAAAAGCAGGATCCGAAAGCAAAAACACAGAGCTGCTGGCCCTGACGGGTGGAAGCCCAGCGAGCTCATGCACGCCCCTGACGCTGCCTTCCAGGCCATCGCCGAGGAGCTCAACGCCATCGAACAGGGCCGTGCTTGGCCGGAGGCTCTGCTGCAATGGAACCAAACCCATGCCCAGAAACCCAATAAAGAAATAGGTGTTTTAGACTCGATGAGACCGATTTCCGTCGCGCCCATCATTTACAGAAGCTGGAGTAGTGTTCGAGTGCGACAGCTCCGCGAGCACATCGCCCGCATGGTCCCCGCGGAACAGCACGGGGCGATTCACAAGAGGGGTGTTCACACCGCCCTCGTTCGCATGCTTGCTTTTTTGGAACGTGACAAACAGTATCTAGGCCAGCCTCGTAGGTTTAGCACTCTCTCCGCGAGCGACCTGTCGAAGGCCTTCGATGCTCTGTTTTACTTGCACTCCATTAAGGCGATGGAGCGCATGCGCTTACCAAGGCTCTTCTTGAACCCTCTCGAGAGAGCGTGGCGGGCGCAAAAGAGATGGTTTTCGGTGGCTGGCACAGTCAGCAGGCAGGCTACCGACCACGTCGGGGCCCTGCCGCAGGGAGACGCGGCCAGTCCCTTAGGGCTCATCGCCACTCTGTCGGAGGCTTTGAGACGCATTAAGCAACAGCACGCTCCCGAGTCTTTCGGCCCTCAAGTCCACTCAGTGTATTTGGACGACAGAACTTGCCTCAGCTCCAGCTTTCGCACCGGCCTCAGCGTTGCTGCAGCTTGGAAGCAAGAAGTGGGTCGTTTAGGCCTGGCGGAAAATGCCGGGAAACACGATTTTGCCACCACTGGTGGCGTGAAAGAGAGACGCAGGCTGCAAGAGGCCCTCACTGAAGCCCGCGTGCAGGGCAATGTGCAGGAAAGGCCGAAAATTCTGGGCTCTGAGGCTCAGATGGGTCGGCAGTGGACAGGCTCTTCCAAGCGTGAGGAGCGCAGACTTCAGCGGGCTAAGCGCCTGCTGCACCTCGTGGGACAGCTGCCAGTTAGCACCACGAAGCGGCTCTTCTACGCTAAAAGCACGGCCATCCCTACTCTCACTGCTGCTTCTTGGAGTCGCATCTACAGCATAGAAGAGTTGCGACCCGTGCGCAGGGCCATCCTGCAGTTGGAAGGTGGCGCGGGCCCTCTGTGGCAGCTTCTGCTCGGCCCAACGGCCGACCCGGGTTTTAAGGTAGGCGCCGCTGAGGCTTGCTACATCCTGACCCATCTTGACGACGACCTCCGCACCTGTTGGACGACCAAGCAGAGCCAAGGTCCCATCAGCATGCTTCGTCAATGGATGGGCAGACAGGGATGGCGTGAACTTCATGCCTGGTGCTGGGCACACGATGATGCCAAGCAGGTCCTTACGGACGACGCAAACTTCCGGCCTAATGCAGCTGAAAGTCATTTCGGCGCCACTCCGCTGCGCCACACTAGCCGAGGCGCCGTTGAGCACGTGCTTCGCGAGGCTTGGAGGGCCAAGCTCTGGCATGGCTGGCTCGGGCAGGACAGCAAAGCCGCCTCGCACCTAAATGGCTTCGATTGGCCAGCTGTCTCGCCGCGTGCTAAGAAAGTGGCCCGCTTGTGGCAGTTGCCGGGCCTGGACCGGCCTCACATTCAGGCCATCACGGCAAACCGTTATGTCAGTAATCTGCATCTCGCGGTCACTTCGGAGTCTGAACCGAAGCCCTGTGTGTGCGGAGAGCCTCTCTCCTCTAAGGCACATGAATGGACTTGCCCCGCTCTCCGAGGTAAGCCGCAGCTTGTGGCAAGTGATGCCCTTATGGCCTCCCTAGGGTGGCCCAGCAATGCAGCAGACCTAGAGCTGCTGTACGACTTGGCAGCCGTCCGCAGGGCTGTCCTGAAGCGCAGGTACCCAGCTGAAGGGTCTTAGGCTGGGGCCTGCGAGCAGTTGCTTTTCCTCCCTTCCCCTTTCCAGGCGTCCACCGCGGCGCCGCTGCTGCAAGCGCGAGCTACGCTACAGCAGTGACAAGACTTCTTCTTCTTCTTCTTCGAGTGGATTGACGATGGAGATGGCGATCGGTCTGGATCCCTCCAAGGACCCGACATCGATCAATGCCTATCATCCTACCAGCGCCCCAGCAAGTTCTCTCCCACGAGCAAACCCGGCGTATTTCTGGGTGGCAAGTGGGACGGTGACTATATAGTCGCCGACCTTGAAGACTTCAAACGCGATGCATTACGTGCAAGCGTCCATCAGGTCAAGAAGATATACTGCTCACCCAAGGAGCGATGGACATTCCCGATGCTGGCTGTGTACGATAAACAGACACGATCAGTGTGCATCAACGATCCTGCGATGCACTCGAATGTGCCAAAGCCGAGTGAGCGTCTTGACGCCTCCGATATGCTCGATCTCGAAGATATCGATGAAATATTCGCCCTTGATGAGTCAACGCGAATGACCGACGAAGACATTCGCCAGGCTCGCGAGGCTGAATTACGAGCAGAGTCCTCTCATGGAGGAGGTGCTGACTACTGGGAGTATGATCCATCTGTGCATAAATGGACGTATCACGTCGTTGTTCCAAGGAAAGCGATGGTTCATCCCAGTAAGACTCCCGGTTCCATTGGGGAGTCGCCTGATCCATGGAAGCTGAGCACAGTGCGTATATCACATGTCCAATACAAGGATAAAAGCCCGGTTACGATCTATGAGACCGGGTATGCTTTCGGCAAGACAAGACTCATGCAGCTCTGGACCGGCACTGTTGAATTTTATGATGACGGCTATGCCCCACCCAAGAAGAAGTTACCTCCTTACCACGGGTCTGAGATCCTGGAGGGCGAGGGGGGTTTGCCTTATCGTCAGAGTGTGCCGCGTTCCGAGCGCGCGTATAAAGGGTCTCGAAAACCGAACTCTATCGACTCAGAACCCTGGCGCAGCATGAACCGCGCCGAACGGGAGGGATATGTAGAGGCTGAGCGCCGAGAAGCTGAGTCTCATGCAATGTCCCGAGAGGATTCTCGCGATGCCGCTCCTGTAGACATCGCTTATGATTCAGATTATGAGTCGGGTGCCGAACGACATGACAAGGATTATTGGTATCACGATGTCGCAGCTGGCACGATCACCCGCTTTCATGTGATCGAACGCCGAGCGCGCTTCAACCCTACCTCCGTCAAAGATTGTCCTGTCGATCCTACAACATTGACCGATGTCAGGATGACTATGGCCATGACAGACGGCACCGAGTTCACATTGCAGGACTCGTGGAGATCATCCGATGCTCGATCTCTGCCTTGCCGATGGACAGGAAAGACGGTCTTCGTTATTGGTTCTTCCGCCAAAACGCAGATTAAAGTTCGAACCCGTATGCCGAACACCGATGACACGGGGCGACGCGTGCAGACTGCAAATGGCTATTGTGGACACGCATTGCGTGCAAAGGGCCGTACTGTTGTACCTGCCAAATCTCGCGCCTGTGTCGTTACGGATCTTGAGTTTGAGCCCCCGGGTGGTATGTCCGCCCGTCTTCAGCCGCTCCGCGGCAGTGGCCTCGATGTTTGCCCGGCCATGTACACATACAATGAAGGGGCAACTCAGTCCGGTGTCGACGTCCTCAATCCTACTGACTACGATATTATAGTCGAGCCTGGACAGGACGTTGCAGTGGTTCAATTCTACACTTCCGTTTTGGCCGCAGTGGAACTCGATTTCACCGCAAACGATGCGGCAGATGATGTTTCTGCACCGGTTGAAGCGTTCGATGATGATCATGCTGTTGATACAGCGCCTGCAATGCCTGTTCGCCCTGATCCTCATTCACACCGATCTCCCGATTCATCGGTCTTCTTCTATAGTGCGTGTGTCGCACGGCCTGTTGATCGAAAAGAGCGTGCCGCAAATCCCAAAGCGAAGGCCGCCCTTGATAAGGAGTGGAATAAGCTCATCAATCAAGGATGCTGGGACTACGCATCCGTGCGTGAATGGCGCGATGTATCTAACGAGGCTATGGCCAAAGGGGAAACGGCCCATGTTGGTCGTATCTTCGATATATGCGTTGAGAAGAACTCCGAACTTCCGGAGTCCGACCCTAATCGCAAATTTAAGGGTCGAGTGGTGTTTGAAGGATGTCATGTCAAAGACGAGGGCAATAATTGGGCTATTTTCTCCGAGATCACTTCTTGCCCCGCGACCATGGAAGCTGGAAAGGCCGCCGATGCTTTCGGCCTTCTTCCTGGTCACGAAATACAGGTTGCCGATGGAGAATCTGCCTACACCCAGGCTAAGCTTGGTGGCCCGGCCACATGGGTCCGCTTGCCCAAGGATCGTTGGTTGCCCGAGTGGCATGGCAAATATCACGATCCGGTCGTACGCCTATAGTGTTGGCTCTTTATGGGCATCCGGATGCCGGTGGTTTCTGGGAACAGCACTGTGAGAAGGCTCTTCGTTCAGTTGGGTTCGAGCAATGTCCCGACTGGAAAAGTGTGTTTCGTCATCCCAAACTGAATCTTATGCTCGTGGTCTACGTCGATGATTTTAAACTCAGTGGACCAAAAGCCAATCTGGCCAAAGGGTGGGAGCTCATGGCATCGAAGATTAAATTGGAGCCGCCCTCGAGCATCAAGCGTTACTTGGGATGCGAGCATGTTACCTTCTCCCACGTTGTTCCTAGTGCCTTTGATCCGCGCTCCTATTGGACGCGCTTCGAGGAACCCAAGAAGGCGTTTCCCGAGCTGACTTTTGGCGATCGAGACACCAATGTCGCGCAGGGCTCTGTTGGTCCTCGAGAAATACGAATGATCAAATACGATATGCGATCGTTCATGGAACAATGTGTTTCTCGCTATGTTGAGCTCTGTGGTCCTAAGTATAAAGCCACCTTGCGCTCGGCTGACACGCCGTTCCTCGATGAATCGCGACCGGAGTTCGATACCAATCCGGATCGACCTGCTGTGAACCGCCTGCTGGGCCATCCCGTTGATGCGCCTGTCCCTCCTGGTAAAGGCGTTCTCGGCGACTGTGCAGCCGCCGTTCTGATGAAAATCCTGTATGGTGCTCGCATGGGGCGGTACGATTTGATTCGTCCTGTGCAGGCACTCGCCAGTCTCATCACCAGGTGGGATGGCTTGTGTGATAAGAAACTCCATCGACTGGTGTGCTATATCAATTCTACCCTCGATCTCAATTTATATGGGTGGATTGGTGATGCGCCCGAGATGCTGGAGCTTGTGCTCTACTGCGATGCCGATCTTGCGGGTGACCGTACTGATTCCAAGAGCACCTCTGGTGTCTTTATGTGTCTTCTTGGGAATGCTTTGTCCAAGAAGCAAACTTCTGTGTCGAAGTCTACCCCCGAGGCCGAAATTGTCTCTCTTGATCACGCTGTGTATAAATTGGGCCTGCCTGCTCTGTCTATGTGGGAGTATATGTTGGGCCGCCGATTCCGATTGCGGGTCATGGAGGACAATGAGGCCGCTATTCGTGTCGTCATCACTGGTCACAATCCGAACATGCGTCACATGTCTCGTACCCAACGTATTGATATCTCTGCGTTGAACGAGCGTTATCACGCTGGGGATTTTCTGTTCGTGACGTGTCCCTCTCAATTCGAGGCTGGTGATATTCTGACCAAGGCCTGCACTGATGCTAAGGTGTGGGGCCGCAACCTTATGTCTATTGGTCGTTTTCGTGAGGGTACTCTTATTTCCTCCGGTATGCTGTCTGCCGCTCCCGCTCTCCCTGCTCTCCCCTCTGTCTGCCCAACCAGGGGGGTACATCTTGAAAGCGGCCACAGCCCCTTCAACGATTTCATCCTCGACATGTCTCGTCAGGGGGGTGTTTCAATCGACGATGCTCACCAATTCGGAGCAGCAGTAAAATGTATTCATATCGGAGGCGAAGGCATAATCCGATTCCCTCATGCTCGAAGTATCAATCTCAGTCTCGATGATAATGCAAAAGGGATTGCTATTTCGAACATCAGGGTCCCGCCTACGCCTGCGGTATGTATTGTCACTGTTCCGATTGCTGGCACCGCTAACAAAAGAGAAGCTGGTTTCAAGAACAGGGGTTGGAAAGAAATGAGGGGCGACTTAAAGGAAAAAGGATGGGAAGCCAGGAAATTACTCGGGTACGCCTCCGCTGCCCGCTCATCCGGAATCCCTGTGTTCCTTGTGCTACCGAAAGGAAATCCGCTGTGGGGTAGGGAGTATATACGACGATGGTCTGAATCGCACGAGCTGTGCCCTGTCAAACTGTGCTCGTGCTCCTCTGGTCGATGTTCCCAGCATGCATGGATGTGTGAGATTTTCATGCCTGCCCGATTTGGGCCCATCTTCATGTCACGATTTGCATGCAACCATAAGAAGGCCAAAAGGGCCGACCCGAAGGAGCTTCGACTTGCATTGTGGACTGTGCTTGAACATTTCATGAATTCTGCAATCTTTGGCTCACAGCAATCCGCGTTGCCGATTGCTTAAACAAAGACGCCAAGGCCATGTTCACACACACACACTTGCACACTCACACTTGACTACAGCTTGGTAAGGAGCTCTAGGGACGATGATCATAGATCACCTTCATCAACCGACCATCACAGACCACCTCTACTACGACCCAGTCTATAGCCCACTTGCGCTCCCTGCTAGGACAGGTTGTAGCTGCCACGGGCTGCGAACTTCCCCGCGCTGCCGCCGCTGCTGATCGATGGGAGGAAAGAACAAGCAGCCACCGAAGAAGGCTGCTGCCAAGACACCGGCTGCCCGATCACCCCAGCCGAAGTCTCCCTCGCTATGCAGGGAAGGCCTTCCGAGCGGTCCGATCGCACCGACTACGGAAAGGCCTCCTGTTCCGCCGATTCCCACGGAGCAGGATGATTCCAACATGGGTACCGATGAAGCCCCTGTCCCGATTCAGACCCCGAGAGATGAGTCCACAGGGGGTGGAAAGCGCTCCGAGAACATTCCGATAGGATTGAGGATGAAGACGATGATGCTGAAGATTGGGATTCAAGAGATCCCACAGGCCTCAATCTGGCAACGCCTCGAGCAGCTGACATGCAACTCTGGGTACGATCTTAAGCTGCACCAGCTGGTTGACTCCTTCCTTCTCACTACTCATCCGCTTGCGGATAAGCAGAGGAAGCAGTACCCCCAAGAGTTTATGGACTTCATCGACCGATACAGGGTGATGTGCGCTCTTGCATTTTCCCGAGTGGCGACGCTGTCTGGTGACGCCGCGGGGGTCCGCGAGAAAATGGACCTTACGATGGCGCTGGCTCGCCACTGTATGCTTTTCCAAGCGCAAAGCTTTAAGGGATCCCGAGATATGCTGAGCAACGATACGCTCCAGCTCATGGGAACCTGCTACATCCCGTCACCTCTTGCGAGCTGGAACCGAAATCTCATGGGATATAGCAGTTCGACTGCTGAACAGCGATGGTTGAGGACCGATACGAGTATCAAACATAACGACCTCACCAAGCTGTCGCCCATTGAGTTGTCAAGGGAGGCGGTCAGCCAGGTTGAAGCTGTGAAGTTCTTCAAGGGATTTCTGCAGCTCAGGCCGACGCTATCTTTCATCCCTGGAGCGTTTCTGGCACTCAAGGCTCTTAACCGATTTCCCACGCTGGACTCTTTGAAAGAGCAAGCAACTCACCTCGATAACGATCGCAAGGAACACGGCTACGATCTTCCTGCCGTGGACGCGAACGGGATCGGGGAAGCAGCCGCCTTTCGCAACGAAGACGACGATGAGAATACCCCGTTGATGCGCGGGTGGGTCTCGTTCATGAAAGCGATGGTTGAGGCCTACCCCGGCCGGTGCGTTAGCATCGATGATACGCTCAACTGGGGAGCCAGCACCCCTATGACCTATGAGGACGGTGCGGGGCAGACTACCATCCGCCCGACTGATGGATGGGTGTATGTCCCCGCGATGAATTCGGACATATACGACCCTCAGGGAACGTTCCTTCACGGAACGAACCTCCGATACCTCTGGTCGATTCTTGCACACGGAGGTCTGTTCGGGGAGGATTACGTGACGGACGATCATGGAAGTCACGAACCCTGCGTCTGGGTGACTGGACACGCTTCCGAGGCTGCCGGTAGCTACGCGTCTGGCACATACCTCGGAGGAGGATACTGGTTTCAAGTGATGATCTGCGTCTCCCGGACTGTGGTGAACACCCACGGTCGCACGACGAAGAAGCTGGGAGGATCCCAGAAACAGATCCGCGTCGGAACTCGATTCCTCGAGCTGTGCGGGATCGCGTTCAGGCCCTTCCGCCTTCTGGATGACCGCGAGCAAGGGGTTTCTACCTCTCCACAATACGTCATCCATGGTCACCGATTCCTTAGTGCCGACGGGACAAAAGCTGTGGCCTGGCACCCATGGATGGAAGCGAGCCCGATTGATCCTCGCATTCTGAAGCTGCTGGGAGAAAGCGTCGCTCGCGACAGTGTCGAGTTTGCCGACCTCACGATACAAGGGGGCAACACTACTCAACAGGTTGCTTCCACCGAGACGGAACAATCTAGGGCGACCGCGGCTGACGATCAGGCTGCGGAGGGTGGAAATGAGGCGACGGACCGAGTCACAGTCCACCCAGCAGTGCTTCGCCGCAACCACTGGATGCCTGACTCGCACGGGACCAGTGAAAACGCCACTGTCGGTGGCAGGTATGCCTTGCTATCCGAACTTCAATCCTCCAGCTACCGATTCGAGCTTGCTCCATTCTTTCAGCTTCGAGCACCCATCATGGGAGAGGAAGGAAGCCAAGGTTTGCCAAAGCCTGCAAGGCTCGAGACGATTGTCGGAGGACCCTCCAAGGAGTGGGAGGCATGGTGCAGACACTACCGAAAGGCATACGGTGTCATGCTCGGAAACTTCGGCTACACGCCCGCCAAGAGCCTCAAGAATATCCCGTACAGAGAAGAAGGAACAACGGATATTGTTAGTGCGCCGATTTGGAGCCCGGCCGATGCACTTGTGGCCGTATCGATCCATGGGGTCAGAACGGTCACGACCATGGCCTCCACGATTGCATTTGGGGGTGCACCGCCAACGATCAAGCCGGCGGTACCCAGCAAACCGCAGAGATTCGTTGTTATGCACGATGGCCTGCTGTCCTTCAAGTCTGCCAAATCTTGGCATGATGGTGAGATGAACGCCCATCTGAAGAACGCGCTGACGAATTTTGGGTTTCCTGATTCCGAGGTGCGCGTGCAGGCGTTTGGCGAGGACAACAAGCTCAAGGATATGGTCGACACTCTCGCGATGATGCAGAGCGAGACCTCCATCCCGCCATCGAATGTGCATGTCCTCATCCTTTGGAGAGGAGAGGATCTGTGGAAGATAGACCAGGGCTGGAACAAGCTAACTGGCGACATCGATATGGCACGATCTCAATATGCCAAGACGACCGCCCGGGATGCTCTCGAGAAATACAATACGATCTACGGATCGGTGTCCCTTTGCGGTCCGGTGTCGCCGAGCATGGTGTACCTTCCGACTCTCCCTGGCCCTCTCTTCGAGAAATACAGAGAGGAGATGAGATCGATCTGGGACGCGATCAGGAGATCCAACTTCCTTACCCTGTCTTTTGACGCCATCCTGGAAGGTCTGCCATACCTGAAGGGATATCATATTATGCATGAGTCCAAGACGATTGGGGTCCTATGTACCCGCATTTGCTCGATGTTCACTCTTGCAGCTCTCGCACGGTTTCCGTCTTACGGGACCCGCCGGGAGTATGAGATCGCTGCCGAGAAGATGTGGGCACGCACCCCAGTCCCGGAAGAGAACTCGCCGGGCATGGTGAAGGCCATTGTGCACTCCACTGTGCAGGACCTCATCGATGGTGCAGATCGCGGCGCCGATCATCACGCCGCAGAGACTGTCGATATGACTCAGCTAGGTTTCGATGATGACGATGATGACGATATGCCTGACGACGTAGGTCCGACCGCTCCCGGGAATCCGATCAAACAGGAACAGGGAACATTGGCGGATCTACCGGGTGTTCGTCATCCGGATCCGATCGAGCTTCCAGCTACTCCCGTGCCTGGCGAGGCAATGCCAGTGTCGCCTGGCCTTGCTCCGACTGCCATGAATGATGAAGAATCTGGCAGCAGTTCTGATGAGAACGATCAGCAAGGGGATGGTGACGCGGCGATGCCCGCAGTCAAAAAGGAGGAGTCCGATGAGGAGTTCAATGGGCTTCTCGAAGGAATGACTGAGGAATTCGCGAAAATGCCCACTCCTCGAGATGCCGAGCGAACTGTCGCTGCCAATCGGGACGCTGCACGACCGCCTGCCGTGCCCTCGATTCCTCTCTCTACGATGAAGAAGCCGAAGCCGGTTGGTGGCGAGGAAGCCGCGGGGCCCACCGCCGACAATCGACAAGCTTATGCGCACTTCGAGAGCCAAGTCAGTGAAGCTGAAGCTCGCCGCGAGCAAGCTGCGGCAATGAAAGCGCATATCGCTGAAGTGGCAAAGGGCGCCGCCGGTGTTGAAAATGCCGAACATCTTCGATCCATTGCCGATGGGCTAGCCAAGGTCTTGGACCCGAACATGAGCGATGACAATGTGTTTCAGGGTGCCTTGTATCCCCCGGGTGACTATGCGCTTGACGCTGTCACGAACCGACTGGCTCAAGGCAGACGTCGGGTTGAATCGAACAGCAATCTCATCAGGGAGATGGCCAGCGACCGATTCACGCCTGTGCTCATCAACCGAGACACTGGTGAGACTGTGTCTGCCATCGATGCACGATGGACTCCAGAGTATGGAAACAGGGGGGAGCTTGAAGCTAAGGTTGGTGCGATCATTTCCAATCTGGATGCAGTGGTTGCAAGCATGTCAACCCTCCCTGTGTTCCATCCGCACATTCCGTCGACGTATGGTATGGCTCGATCGCTTCTCAACACATACCAGTCGTTGCAGATTGCCATCCGACACCGTGGCATGGGTGCGATGTCCTTTGAGCAGATGGTATTCAAGCCAGAGGACCTTGAGGTTCCGACCCCCGATGATTGGCCGGACCTCATCGCGCCTACCCCCGGAAAAGTCATTCAGTCCATGCGAGTTGCCCTGGTGAATAACACAGCGGCGAGGTTGACGAGAGAGGACCTCAAGCTGCCGCCGGGCTTCGCCATGCAGCGACGAGTGACCGAATTCCGCAAGCCGGAAGAAGACCCGGTGCAGAGCCTAATGGGGCTCACCGATGATTTGAGCTATGGCACAATTGGCCGAACTGGGGACGACAGATTGTCCCAGCTCCAGCGCAGTGTTGCGGTACAGCTGCGAAACACTGCAGGTTTCATTGCGAACGAGTTTCAGAGGCACGCTCGATCTATTGCTGCTTCCTCCTCGCGTCGCAGCGACGCCTCAGGCGCCCTGAGTAGTCAGGGCGAAGGCGCAGCGGACAACGATCTTCCGTCCACCGAGCAGGCCAGTGCCGCTTCTGTGCGTTCAGCACCACCGCCCCCGCCAAACATGGCTCCTCCTCCTCCGCCTACAGCGGCAGCACCTCCAAGGGCGCCCGAAGAGAGTGCAAAGGAGGATGACGATGACACCAAGATGGACGATGAAACGGCCGATCAGTTGCCTGAGCAGAAGCCCGAGGAGGACGCTGATATGGGTGGCGAAGAGGAGCTGAAAGACGAGGTCCCCGGCAAGGCCCCGCCGCCAGCTGCCCGAACCGCTGAGAACCCTCCGAAAACAGGCGTGCGTTCCAGTCCTCCGAATGTCATGCCTGCTCAGGGTGCCGTGCTTTCAGGTGCTAGGGGACCGGAAGTCGATATTGATCCGGCCAGCACCACAGCCGATCAGGCGGCAAATGATCCGAGAAACTGCCGGATCGAGGGCCCTGGTATCAAGGCGACAACGATTCATCGCCCTGATCAGCTGCCCGAAAGGGGTATTGACTCCATTGCGCCGATCGTGCAGTACGAAATGACGTCTGTCCCGATTGCACTGCCAGATTTCGTCGTTCCGGGACTCGACATGGGCATCGATGACTCCGTCCATGGTCGATTGGTCTCTGCGACCTGTCTCCCACCGACTGACGAGCAGCGCAAGTATTCAAGACGCCGATTTGCTATGCTGTCCTCGAATCAGACAGTGTACTTGGGTATGGCGCTTCACAAGAAACCGCTTAAAGGAGAACACGATTCTTTCCTCCGACCGGAATCTTATGAGGACTGCCGCGAGATCCATGAAGCTGTCCGAGCCTACAATGCCAAGGAGGCGACATACCGATCTATCGGCGGAACATCAGTGTCATGCAGCCGATTGCTCATCGATGACGCACAAAATATCCCTGCTGCCAGGATTCCGGACGCAGGCATGATCAGTTTGGTGCGTAAGCTGCTGTTCCGAGTGCTGACGCAAACAAAGGAGTATCCCTCCTCGACTGCCGTCGGAGCACAGAATCGCCCCCGGGACAAAGAGAGGGGCGTCCCATTGTATTCATTCCTCGACCAGAGTGGCATCATCGCTTTCGATGTCATTCCGATGTACATGGAACGCGAGAGGGAATACATGAAGGCCAACGCTGGCGAGTTCAGCGGCCGGACGCTTCTCCAGACTAGCATTCTGGACGATGACGATAAGCCGAGTGAGCTCACCGTCCAGTGCATTACGGAAATTGCTCGAACGGACAACAACCGAATGTTTGAGTTCTTCTACTCGACGATCAACGACGATGGAAGTCCTCAATTTGTTGGCATCCGAGCAACCTATGGTTTCGGTCCCGATAATTTCAACCGATTCCGACTGCTGACCAAGTGTCAGCACGGGCCATTCACTCAGCTCGCTCAAGAACACTATGTCAATGGCGAGAGGAGACGAAATGTGGCCCGATATCATCCCCAGTACGGATGGGGATGCGCAACGATTCGCGAGTTCTTCGGATACATGAACGATTGCAAGCTCAATCCCCCAAAGGGGCAGCTCTTCCTCACACTGCTCCCGTATGCCCCTGGATCTGGGAAGAACAACGAGTGGGAAGAGGTGTACATGAACGTCCGAATGAACCCGGGACGTGAGACGCTCTCGAACACCGCGTCATCACAAAGCATGCTCCCCGAAGGTATGGGATCCAACCGCATGATTGTGTTTGCGATTGATTTGCGCATGATTGCAGCAGGTATCAATCCGATTACATTCCATCCGAGAGGGTACTATGCGATCAAGGACAGTATCCCTCTCGCATGTATGCCGATTGCATACTTCATGGATACGGGATCTCTAGTGTTCAACACGGCCTTCAAATACATCGGAGGCCCGAAATTTGACCTGGACCCAAGAACGGAGACCACAGACGAGAAACGTGGCCACTCGCTAGCTTCGACTGCCCCATGTGCGGAGCTTCATTCCCTGTTGGTCTCCACATGTGTCACTCTTGCACTAAGCCGATTCACTATCCTGATGGGATGTTCTACGCCGATCCTGTGAACCCCTTCCAGGTCGAATATTACGGAAGTCATGCTGAGTGGCTCAATGATCTGATCGAGCGAAACAAGCTTACCGAATTCCAGCTTCACGAGTTTCCTGCGATCAAGCAGCTGAGGAATTACCCGGTGTCTAGGTCTCTCGCTGAGGACCATAGGCAGACCGCATTCTTCGGAGTGCCACCGATCAAATGCACCGCTGCTGACACATCGCCGAAGGAAGTGGAACTGTTCAAGAGAAGCGTGCGCGGTACGATTCAGGGCGCCATTCGCTTGGACATTTCCATTGAGAGGCTTGTTGCCGGTATCACTGGCAAGGAAGCTCGATGTGGAGTAGAAGACTTCTTCAACTCACAGTCGATTGCATGTGCTGCCACGATTGTCAAGCATTTTGGAGCGATCTTCGCCACATGTCGCGAAAAGCCATTGTGCTACTATGCACGTTGGTCGATTCATTGCCAGCGCGCATATCGAGTCTGCCTGTCGCGAGGGTATCTCTCCCCCTATTACACAGGTGTGACGGTCGATTATACCATCGACCAAGAGATGGCAGAAAAGATCCGACTTGCTCATCTGCCCTTGCAAAACGCCAATTTGGCGATGAGGCGGCACATTCGACTCTCCACCGAGTTTGGAACGTTGGATGAATTCCGTGCCACTATCACGGATACGCAAAAGTATCAACGTTACATGCGTGTCGACAGTGAGAGCCTTTCCGCGCTCCTGGCCAAGGTTACCCTTACCACATGCTACGGCATTCCGACAAAAGGTGAGCCTGGCTATATCTCTGATGATGAAGCAGAAGAGATCGAAGGAGCCGCAGCGGCAAGCGAGAAGCCCAAAGGGAAAGGCAAAGGGGAAGGCGAATCCAACGTCCAAGCCATCAACTGGCGTGAGTTGGATCCCTTAGGACGGAAACTTATTCCGCATCACTCTGACCCCCGATTCACGATTATTGCTGAGGGAAATACGGCACTCCTTGATGCAGCCGAAACGCCGGATGAGACGCGTAAGGAATTCAAGGAGTTCGTTCGCGATCACTCTGTCAAGATCAAAGAATGCTTTGACGATGATCGTGCGACAGAGAAGACATTCTTCAATCTTGTTGAAGGAGTCAAGGATCAGCTTCCCGATGCAAACAGCACTGACCCGCTTCTGATGAAAAGGACTGAGGACGTCTTCGAGGCTCTCCCCGATGAACTGGATGATCCTCCGAGAGTGTTCGATGTTGCGGCTCGCCAGGCGCGACGGCGAGACCCTGCACCTCAGCGCAGAGTACAGGTCACCGAGCAAAGACAAGCGCCGATTCCCGAGGCTCATGCCGTTCCCATTCCTACGGATGACGAGGATGAGGATGATACTGAGCTCGATCGAGCGGTACGACCCGATCCATCATCGCAGCGTACCGGACGAGAGCATCTCGGAGGTGTCGCTCCCGAGACGACTCCGCCACCGCCTCATAACATGCCGCCGCCATCAAATTTGCCGACTCGAAAATCACATCGGCAAACGGGCTACAGTGCTGCTCATCCTGATGGAGAACCGTTAATGGTGTCGGGGAGGGCAGCATACTCCGATGAAATGCGGTTGCCCTCAGTGTTGCGAATGAAGACTCGGGTTCCGGAGTCAGATCTGGATAACCCAACAATTGAGGAAATCATTCGCATGTATCATGCACCAAACACGCTGTCCATCATCAGGAAGAAAGCCGCGGCCGTCATCATCGCGATGGGCGCAAATCCCGATGACGATATCAATATGAGGGCGGCTGGCGTTACTGTTCCCCATACCGGGAATACGGGGACGGGGCGAGCAGCATCGCCTGGAAGTACGTCTGCTGCTACACAGGAGCGGATTAATCCCCAGTTCCCGGCACCTAGCGTTCGCACTGCGTCGAATCCGCCATCGAAGTTGCCTCGCGATGAAAAGTGGGCTCCCTCGATTGCGCGACCAGCGCCGGCTCAGGTGATCAAAAGTGCAGAAGCACGGGGACGCACGCAACAGCGTGCTGCTGAAGCAACGAATGTTGCTCCGCCAGCTCCTTCCGATACTGCCTCTTCGGAGCCGCGATCTCGAACGATGGGCCCAGCCAAAGAGACCACGGCTAAGGGCAAATCCCGAACCGGATCCAACGTGACAGGCCTCATCGATGAAGCTGATGACACGAGGCAGCCGACGAAGGGCAAAGGAAGAGGGAAAGCCGAGAAAGGAAAAGGAAAGCAGGAGAAAGGCCGAGGAAAGGGCGATAAGGGAAGCAAAGGAAGGGACGGTTCTGGACGAGGAAATAAGGACCGCACCCGTAGCCCCACAAGTCGTAGGTAACGACCGTCAACATACGTAGCGACGTATTGTGTCACTGCAAGGTGAATCCGGTTGAGTCTTTCTGACCCTTGCGTCACGCGATTACGGGGTCAGGCGGAGTCTGATGGTGAAGCCAGGCTATGACACAATTTCCGCTACTTCCTCAGCCTTCCTTGCCTGCGCCGCGCTGAGAAGACCCACAGGGGTACAATGGTTAGCCATGGTATTTTCCTCGTGTGTCCCTCTCTTTTCACGGACATTCGATGCTGCCGAGTCTACACTCTGAGCGCGTTGAGTCTAGTGTGTTACCCCCGCATAGATCCGATGGAACATCCGATTGCCAACGATCACACGGCATTTCGCTATGCGCCTGACGATCACGAAAAGGCTGCGTCTGTACAGAAGTGAAACATAGGTTTGATCCGGATGCAGAGACCGACCCACATCTAATGGTGCTTACTGCTTTAAGCTTAGCTGACCGGAAGAGGTGTGGCTCGGTGCACAACCAGTGTACGTGACTCTCCTAAACTCCGCTCTTCTCACGCGTGAGCTCGCGTCGAGGGGGGTGTGATTTGTCACGGACATGCGTACATGTGCTTCTGTGTCTTGGTTAGGATTCACGCCAACTTTGTCTCACTACGCAGCTTGACTGCTCAAGGACCGCATGCGCGAGTCCCAGCAAAAGATCCGCTAGAGCCTGGGGGTTCTGGTGTTGTCTTTCCGCTGAGCGTCAATCTTACGGTTTTAACTCTGATCATCCTTGCTTTGCTTTGCTGCCTTGCTTTAATCTACGATTGGTTGCCTTGGGCTTTGTGACCGAGAGTTGAGTGGAATCCTCCGCTTTTCACAGTAGGGTTTTGTCGGTCCACTTATGGACCCTGCACAAAGCTTACAAATACCAGTTCTTGAAACTCACGAAGAATCCCAAACCTCAAGCCAGAAACTTAAGCTCATTGAGCTCTTCACCCTTGCCCAGACGGAAGGTGATAAACCAACAAGGCCTCACACTCCCGATCCCCACACCGAGAACCTGCTCATGTGCAGTCATAAGAAGAAGAGGCATGAAACTGTTTAGATTTCGGATAACACCCAGCTCAAGAACCTTCTTGCAGAGAGTTGTGGAGAAGCAGTCTAGCGGCTCCGAGATTGCCTCGTGTTTCTTGGCCAGCTGGAAGTGTGTGGATATAGGAAAGCGACGACGAGGGGTCACGCACTTTGGGGCTTTAGAGTTTAGGGCTTTGGGGGTTTAGGGTTCAGGTTTTTAGGACTTATAGGCCCTTAACGGGAGACGGGGTTGATTCGCACTTCAGCGGTCAGGGCTGCAGTTTCAGGCTCATCCTGCTCCACGCTGTTCCCATAACCCCAAACTTCTTCTTTCTTTCACTTCGCTGCGTAGAGGTCTAGTCCTGTGCAAGTAAGACGGCGGTCCCAAAAGCAACCGAAGTTGCGGACCTGGAAAAGCGGGAACACCCACCAATCCTAAACTAGATCACCAAAACCAGAACCAACATTTAAACATGTAAGAAAAAGCCGACCAGTTCAAAATCGAGACCTGCGCTTCAGCAAATACGGGACCCTGGCATCGCCAACCCTAAGCACGGAACCCAAAGACGTAACTTCCAAAACTCTAGCGTGACATTACACCCTCCTGGTATACAAAAGCTTATGTGGCCGCTATCCTAAACCCATGTACCTCATTGTGCACCCGTTATTGGAGCCTTTGGACCCTTAGAAAGAATTATTAGCGAGCTCCAACGGCCATCGGCACGACCAATTGTGGATTTGCATTGACGGACAGGCTCTGTCGAGGGGCTGACCAAATCGGTTTAGGGTTTAAGGAACCCTAAACCCTATACCCTAAACCCCAAGGATTTCGAAAGGGCATAAGGTTAGGTTTTAGGCTTTAAGTTTGGGAAAGTTTTGGGGGGATTGGGTTTCAGGGTTTAGGGTGTGTGGAGATGAAAGTGGTCAGAGCACTCCGTTTGGCTGTCGTTTTGGTCGTCCCGCTGTCCCGCATCAGCTGTCCAGTATAAAGGGTGCTCGGCGAAACCCTCAACTTAGAGGCCCAAGTCCTCAGCCCAGGGCCGTTCGCTTAGCATCCGACAGCATGCCGGATGTCGGACAGAGCCTGCCTCGCTATTTTAGTTGCGTTTAACATACCCCTACGCGAAGCGTCCGAGTACCCGCATCGCACAAACATGGGGGCTACACGGCTACTCTGAGCAGAACCCTAAAGCGAGAAGATCCAGGAACAGAACATACTTGCTTGGGTACTTGGATTCTTCAGCGGATCCATGATAGACTTTCACGCCGCTGTTGCTTGCACAGCAAAGGGACCGCGTGATTTCATTGATTGTGTGCCTCTAACAGGACCCTAAATGCCCAAACCCGCCTGCCAGTTTCATTTGGGTAGTTTCCTAAATCAAGGTCCCTTTTTGGATCCCCAAAATTTTTGGCACGAAGGTTGGCGATGAAGACCAGCTGAGCATACTTTGAACCGGCACCCTAAATAATGAGCAAGCGCTCAATTCGTTGTTGTTTCGTGAATCTGGGTGACGTAGGTTCCAATCAAACTTAAAGTACGAGGGTTCCACAGGGGGCGGGCCAAGCAATATCTACAGTCTCCATTGTAGTTCTGTTTGGGTAGCGAAGCTTTAGGTTAGGATCCTATAATCCGAAAGCAGCCTACAACAAGGAACTACAATGGAGACTATAGGTGGACTGGATTTGTGGCTCGGTGTCTTTTGGATAAGGAGTCCAAACCTCCGAGGTCTTTCATGCTGCTGTATGAAGTTATGCTGCAACAAGCGCCCCTTCACAAAACATATTCTGACAATGAAGGCCCTTATAGGAAGCCCATGAGCCCCACACCCTACAGAATAAAAGACCCCTAAACTCTAAACCCTATAGATAGATTCTGAAAACTCTGAGCTCGAAACCCCTCAACCCTGAAGCTAGCACCTAGAGTAGGCCCTTATTCCCTTTTTTAGGGTTCAGGTTCCTTTCTAGGCCCCTTTAAACCAAAAAGGGCACCCTTTTTATTCCTAGGTTACTCTTAGGTCTAGGAAGTCCAGAAAGGGGCCTAAGCCTTGCCCTGAACCCCCTCAAGCACCCAACGCCATGTCGGGAGAAAATCCCTACCCCTACCCTATAATGGGCTATATAATGGGTATATTATGGCTACATTAAGGGTATATACCTAGGGGTCCTTCCTTCATTGAGCTTGTTTGTGTGGGTGTAGGGTAAAGGGTTCAAAGGTTTAGGGGTTAAGGCTTAGGGTAGAGGGTTCAAAGGTTTAGGGGTTAAGGCTTAGGGTAGAGGGTTCAAAGGTTTAGCGGTTGGGGCTTAGGGTAGGGGGTTCAAGGGCTAGGGTTGGGTGTAGGGTCTAGTGTTTCCGAAGCCGGGACCCTAAGTGCTCGATCCCTGAACCCCAAATCCGTGTTTTGGTGAAGCCTGGCTGCATAGTAACTCTAGTCTTTAGGGTTTTTGAGTATACAAAGTTATATATGCCCTACAGCCCTGTTGCAACCATTGAGTGTGAAGCTTTAGCTCCATCCGACAGTCCAAAACTCTTTAACCCTAGCTCTCCGAAATCTTAAACCCTGGGTCGTATTGTTGAGGAGAAATGTGTGCTGCGCTTACTTGCTGCCGTCACTTGCATATCAAGGAAAATCAGAGCTCCAGCTATGGATCATATTTTAGAGCTACAGTGGGCATTGATACACTTGTGATTTTGCCCTGATTCTTCCATTCAATACGAGTATGACTAGCAAGTTGATGTTATCATATTCACTATCTCATGATTAAAGCAGTTTCAGCGTGGTTTCTCTCGTTTAGCTGTTCTTATCATCATTTATGTTCTTCTTCTGCTTGCTGGTGGGCTGTCCGGAGAAGCCATGGTGGTGAGCCTGGAGTGCCTGCCGGAGCCACAGCCGAAAGCTGATACATGGGCAAGCTTCTGCAGCACTCAGTGCAGCGAGTTTTTGCCTTTGACAAAGGCTGTGCTGGACACATATACCCTTGAGCAAAGCTGGATGCCGAATTTCGAGAGCTTTTGTCGCGATTCTATTCCGGCGATGGAGCAGGGGAGATTCAACGTGGAGCAAGTCCTTCGACCTTTTTCCGAGGGGTCCAAGGCACAGATAGAGATCCTGTCGGACCGCAGCATCGGCGGCCGTAAGGTTTTGGCCAAGCGGTTCCCCCGAGCCTAGGTTGGATTTTGGGACATTTTCTATTTTCCTTATTTGGGTTTATAAGGGACCCTGTATGTAAATATTTTTCAGGGTGTTTAAAGGCCAACCTAGGAGCATATCTCCAAGACGATCCGGAGTCTTTTCGACTCTCCGATCCCTGCTCTTGTGATGATCCATGGACCGAAGTGTTCCTGGCGATGAGGTTGGGCCATGGGACGTCGCGAGTTCCTGGGGTTGTCCCATGCCATGGGATCTACAGAGATTCTGGGGAGGATGTGCTGTTGATGTTGGAGTGGGCTCCTGGCGGCGATCTTTTCCAGCTCGCCGGTAATTTGGGTGAACCCGGGCCGGACAGAGAGGCCACGGCATCACAGGTGCTTTGCTCTTTGCTTGAAGCTGTGACCCTACTTCACTCGAAGGGCATCGCACATGGCAACGTGAGTGCAGAAAATGCCGTTCTGCGAATGGATGGCGCCACAATTCAGGCACCTTGAACGAATTAACATGTGAGGGGGGATGAGTGAGTGACTCTGAACGGGGTCTGGGGCATACGATGTATAAGTATAAGTATAAAAAGGAACCGTAAGGACTAGACCTTGTAGTTATCCGGGGTTCCATATTTTGCTGGTGAACCTGCTGCATCAAGGGTACTTCAAGATCACACTCTTTGTGCAGGAGCTGGCTGTATGGCTGCCGGCCGTACGGTCGTCTAGTCATGTCATTCATGCTCTTTCTGTGCACCTTGACATCATAGGCTTGCAAAACTTGGTCTTGAATCGCAGACATGGACGGCATTGGGCTTGCCTTTTGATTGTGCTGCCAGCAGTTTAGGGTTAGGAAATATCACTTAATAACAGACTCCGTACGAGAATTTCCTCATACAGCTGTAGCTCAATATCATTGTTCTGATGAGTTATGCCACCGCATTGGAACCCTATGCCCTTACTATAGAGCCTATAGACTCTTTTCTTCAAGAGCCTTTTCAGAGCAGCCGTATTCTGACGATCAAGGCCCTACATTAGTCATTGGTTTGCTTTGCCGGGTTTGTTTTCGATCTCACGCCTTCAGCCCCTCTCCACTCTGCAAACCCCCAAAGGCTACGAATGTTCTCAAGCCTTACCGCATGCCAAAGCTGCTACTCAGGGGGCTTAAGCCTACAATATTGTGGATGTTCCTTATTATAAGGATAGTATAATGGCCGCAAAACCCTATTCTAGTTATTAAGGCCCCTATATTAAACCTCTACTTGCAGCAAGCCTTGTAGCAATCCTGACGGAGCCTTACACCCGGAGCCCTAAACCCTTTTTTCAGATCAAGCGGAGGTGGCGCTGATTGATTTCGCCATGGCTTTGCATGACACCGATCTCTCAGCGGCCATGGGTGCCCGAGGAAAGCAGGGTTCAGGGTTCAGGCGTTTTTTGGGATTGAGGGTTTACTGGTAAAGGCTTTGGGTCTTCGGGCCTGTTGGGGTTTGCGGCATACCGTTTGCAGGTTTAGCTTTCGAGTTTGGGGCAAAGTTTTGGAAGCAAAGCAGTTGTGGGCAGGGCGGGCAGCGCAGCGCGACAGAACCTTGCAGCGCGAGGGTGTGTGTACGCATGCATGCATGCCTGTGTGAATGCTTGCATAAACAAATCTCTGTGTTCACGCACGCACATGTATATACATACATGTATATACATACATACATACATATATATATATATATATATATGTATGCATGCATGCATGCATGCATGCATGCATGTATGTATGTATGTATGTATGTATACACATACACATACAGATACATATATGGCCACATATATGCATATATACATATATATATATATATGTTTATACATATGTATGTACATACATAGATTATATATGTATGTATATGTGTACTTATGTACGTATGTACGTATGTATGTATGTATGTATGTATGTTCCACTGAATTGCACACGCACACACAAACACACATGCATTATCACGCTACCTCCCCCTCCAGCCCACACATCCGAGTAAGTCAGTGGGTAAGTGAGCAGGCAGGCAGGCAGGCAGGCAGGTAGGGTAGGCAGGCAAGTGGGTGTATCTATGCTGATGCAAGTGTATGTTTGTGTTTGTACCGTTGTGTGTGTGTGTGTGTGCGCTTATGTATATACGTGATACATATATACACACATATATGTATGTACACATATAAACATAAACATATACGTGTATATACATACAAGCCTATGTCTGTGTACATGTACATGAACCTGTATATGTGTGCGTGTACATACACACGTATATATATATATATATATATACACACACACATACATGCAAGGTCCCCCCCGTATACATGCACGTGCATAAATACAAATCTAAAAATAATATAGATAAATAAATAAGTATATATATACATAGACATTTGCATATTATATATATATATATATATATATATATATATATATATATACGTGGTGGGTTTTTGATTGAGACAGCTCAGCTTTCCGCGTCAAGCGGACCTGCGTTCTCTGAAGCTTATTATAGCGGCCTGCATAATTACCGATACTATTTCGGGGGTTCCTGATCATATTATATTTTATATAAGCCCGCTATATTGAGCCAAAGAGCAAGACTTGAGAGCCTTAGCAGTCAGCAGCGGAGAACCGTTCGTCTATAGGAAAGCTGATGTATCGCGCTCCGGAGACTGTTGGCGAGATGCCGGGCTGCGTTTTGGGACTGTTTTCGAGCGTCGCTTTTAAAATCGTTTCAGCAGAAGCTTTGTCCTGAAATAGCAGCTCTCAGGCATGCCATCTATGATGCGCGTACTGCAGATTTGTTTGCATGCGGCGTGGTGGGCTATGTCCTCGCAACCGGCACGTACCCCTGGCAGAGCACGGATGGAGATTGCAAGGCCGACCATCGGGAATCACCCTCACAACCTAAATCCTAAACCCCAAATCCTAAGCTCCAAATCCCCCAGCCAAACTCTACACCCGGGAACCCACGCTCGAACCTGCATGAACCCTAGACGGGGACTGTGCTTCTGGTCATTGCTACCGGAATCGTACACTGTTGCTCCGGTGCTTATTCTTTCAGGCCATACCGTCTTGTAAATACAGTGGGTCTGATAGTAGTGTAGAAGAGCTGTTGTTGTTCCGGTCGCTTGTTCTCCTCGTCGGTGTTGGTCGTGTAGCAAAGTTTTGATAGATAGGGGCCTAAGTAATTACCAATACTTTTTTGGGGGCTCCTTAGTTTAAATATAGTATAATGGGCCCCAAAAATTAATTCTAATTATTAAGGCCCCCATAGTAGCCTTTACGAGATGCCGGGAAGTGAAGAGACATGGGGGCCGTTGAGATCAGGACAGCCAATCCATGGAGTGTACAAAACCCTGGGTTTGGAGTACCATACTTGAATACATTTTTTTGGTACCTGTTCCTTAAAGGAACCATTATGACATACAAGTCTATACTTGTCTCCCTGATTACTTCAAAGTCCAGAAACAACTCCAAGATCGATTGAGTTTATCGAGCCCGCTGTATATTGGTCGATATGGTCGTCGGGGTTTCGAAATCTAATTTCCATATACAGGCTTATTAAAGTCCTCGCTTCCAATTTCCAGGCTCCTAAACCCCTAAACCCTAAACCCCAAACCCCTAAACCCTAAACCCCTAATTCCAGGCTTTCGCTTACGTCCAAAAGCATGGCCCAAAGAAGTTCTTCGAGAAGCGCACGCTCACTGTGGGTGCCTCGAAGGCTCAGGGTATTTGGGGTTTAAAGGGAACTCCAGAAAGTTGGAATATGGTTTCAGGGTAGGATACCCTATAATTTACCATAAAGGGTTTAGGATAATCATATTCCAACTTTCTGGCGTTCACTTTATGGTGTAGGGCTTGAGGGTGTAGAGTTTAGAAACTTTAGCAACGACTGGGCAGCGCGGTGATGTGAGGGATCGGAGGGGCAGGTTTCCTGGCAGAGGGAAAGAGATCAGAATAAGCATGTTGCTGCTTGAACTACCCCTAAACCCATAAACTCCCTAAATCAATGCAGACCACGAGCCAGTTCCCTTATAGACCCGTTTATGTTGCAATTAACATGCCCCCAAGCGTCTTCCCCCTATCGAAGCCGCCATGTTCAATGCGGAGCTCATACTTTGGTTTTTAAGCAGCTATAGGTACTTGAAATCTCAGGATTGCTGTCGGCAGTTTTTCGGTTTGCAGCAGTGATTACAGAGCGATGGAGTTCTCGACAGATATGCAGAATTACACGTTGTTTTCTATGTTTATGTATGTATGTATGTATGCATGTACGTATTATTTATGTGGTGACAGCTCACAATCCCTGATGCTCCCGTCCTGAGGAACTGGTCTGAATCCCAAGCAGCTTGTCATTAAACCCCGAAACCCCTGAACCCTAAACCCCAAGCCCTGCACCTAAAGACATGCAGAGGAGACCGGCCTAGATTGAGGCTTTCGTGTTTGGTGTGAAGGGTAAAGGGTTCGGTGATATGCCTTGAAGGCTTAGAACGAGTGGTTAGGGTTTGGGGGTCAAGGGATGAAGAGTTTAAAGCAAATTCTTCTTAGAGGCTCAATTCTACACCCCACGCCCCAGACCCGACCCTCAGTGCCTTGAACCCACAAGGCAGACCCTTGAACCCACAAGGCAGACCCTAGACCCTAAACTAACCCTAAACCCGAACCCCTTCCCTGACAGGTTCAGATCTCGCAGGTTCTTTCTCCGCATTTTCAATCATTCCTCGCTTCCTTGATCGAGCCAGACCCGGCCAAGCGGCGGGTGCTGTGGGAGTAACCCCAATGGTCCAAAGGACCCGCTAGGATTTTGGAGAGTATATTATCAGTAGATACTTGGACCCTTGGGGTAAGGCATACCTTGATCTACCAAAACCTATGTTTCTGTAAGGTCCCTGTATATTCAAGAACCGCTGAAAGGAATGTTGTGGTCGTTTCAGGTAGGGTTCCTTTAAGTGTTACTGCATCGGTTCCTTTACGGGTTCCTCCAAGGGTCACAAAACCCAGATTATTTGAAGGGCCACTACGAAATACTACAGGGGTACTTAAAGGATCATGGGACTTAATATATGGGGTTATAAGTGAGGCAACTACACTTATAATTACTTATAATTACTTATAGCCCCAATGAAGGTACTCATACCCATACTTACTAAGTTTACTAAGTCCCATGATCCCCCAATTAGCAAAGCGCTCGATGCCCTGGGCCCGCAACGAACTCTGCAGGATCCGCAGGTATCAAGGTTTAGGGTTAAGGGATGTTGAGGGTTTAGGGTTTTAGGGTTTTAGGTTTTAGGGTTTAGGGTTTAGGGTTTTAGGGTTTAGGGTTTAGGGTTAGTTGGGGAAGCCTAAGGAAAAGTATTCCCAAGTATCGTGCGCTGGCCCGACAACCCTAGACCATGAACTTATGGTTTAGGATTTACTATAGGGGCCTAAATGATTACCAATAGTATTTAAGGTGTTCCTTATTTCAAGTATAGTCTAATGTACCGCCACAGCCTATTCTCACTACTAAGGCTCCTATATTAAACACCCAAGAACGAATCTCCCAAGCACCCCGGGATTGAGAGCTCAGCACGTGTTGCCCTCGTTGGATTCAGGTGTACTCGGCGAACCCTAAACCCTAAACCCTCAAGGCTTTATTGTCCTCGGTCGCGGGGTTTGGTCTTTGCAGAGATTTTTCGGGCACGTGCTGTACCTGTCCTCAAATCCCTTCTAGATGTGTTTAGCTTTGGTGTTTCAAAACAGCCCGGCAGGTGGGCTAAGGAGGCAGCTGAGCTTGAGCTTAGGGTTTAGGGTTTAGGGTTTGTAGTTTAGGATTTAGGGCCTCGGGTTTAGGGTTTAGGCAGAAAACCTGTACACTGGAGGGATCCTGTTGTCGTTCCTTAAGCCCTCGACCAGAAGACCCCGGATGATTGTGGTGTTTCAGTCGAGCTTGAGGCAAAGATTCTCACACAGAGGGTCGGCAGCAAACAGCAAAACATAAGTACAGTGGCAGAAGCAGAAGCGTGAACGTGGTCCTCAGACGGAGTCCTAGGAGCAGCAGAGGTTCGATGCATAGGCACCATGATTTGGTATGCGCGGCGCCCCCCCTACCTTATCGTGTTCGACCGAACTCGCGACACTTGAATTGTGCTTTACGGGTTTCGGCTTCAGTCCACTGAGTCATGATGGGATGTTCGTGGCTGACAAGTAATTAAGATGCATAAGCCTCGCACCACCTGCGAAACCGGGCCCTGCACACTGCACACGCGTGCGGCGCTACCGGGGTCGAGGCAACGACCCTCGGCAGGACTTCGTCGTGGCTGCCAGCTTTATACATAGAACTCTGAGACATCGGGTCTTCTTTCATTTGCCATTGAGACCAGTGGCAACAGCTGGCAGGTTTGTGGTGCTTGAACAACCAGAGGCGCTGACGCCAAAAAGCAGAGGAAACAGAATCAATCCACGTACTCATCAATGATGGGCGAGTCTTCCCGCACCAAGCCGACATGTGTTGAAGTGTAGTTGATACTGTGCCTTAGAACTTGGAAGTGTGTCTCCTTCGAAACGGGGCCTGGTTCACAGAGTGGAGCACCAGCAAACCCCGATGAAGCCCTAAGCCTATTACCCAATGTGCATAAACATAGAAGAAGGAGCTCGGTAATTGGATTTGCAAGGAGGTAACGTGCAGGGTTTCGAACTCAAGCTTCGTACCTCTACTTCTTGAAACATCCGCGACACCGCATATTTGGGGTCCATGCAGTGGCTGAGTACAGAATAAGAAGTGCGGTAGATGGGACCCAGACGATTGGTTGGTAGCGTTGTCGCGCCACGAATGTGCCTTGAATGCTGCACTTTGATAGTTGCAGCCGGAGCATGCCCCTGCTCCCAACTTTTTATCATGGCTTCGTTCAAGCAAATCTTCGGAATCATAAGATTCCCGGGTAGAAGAGTCTGGTCTTTCCGGGAGACATGTGCGCAGTGCAAAAATACTTGGGGGATCATGAGACTTAGCAAGTAGGGTTATAAGCTCTCTTAATTGGGGCTGTAACTAGTTATAACTATAATTACCTTACTTATAACCCCAATTACTAAGTCCCATGATCCTTTATCTACCTCCCATCCGTGCGCTGCCCTGGCCCAGACTTATCATGATACTCCAAGCCCTCAACCTGGAACCTATAATACACTGCAGACCTGAATCCCAAATCCCAAGCCCAAACCCTAAGACCCAAACCTAAAAGCACCCGTAAGCCCCAAACCAGTCTCAACTCTTCTGCCCGCTCTTTTCGGGCAGCCGAAGTGATTTTTGAAATTGGATTTTTTGCGAAGCGGCTTTGGAGGATGTAAACCTACAATGGGCTTTGACCCTAGACCCTACGGCCTTGAACTACCAGAACCTACTTGTCCTGTAAGAGTAAGAGGAGGCAGACAAATAGGTTATGATAGATTAAGGTAGACAGTAACTACTGTACATACTAAACCCCCAAGCCCAAAACTCTGGACCCATTCCTCTAACTTTAAGCTTAAACCCGTCTCATCAGATAGGACGTCGAAATGGTCGTCTTCTGAACCCTTAAGGCCACGTAAATGGGTTCTAGACTTTAGAGTGCAGAGGTTGAGATAAGGCCTTAAAGTTGTAAAGGGTGTTTGTGCAACAGCTATTTATAGTATAGTAAAATACAAATATCTATGTACCTATCTGTCTGTATCAATCTATATATATATATATATACACCTATGGGTACACACTTATATATATATATATATATATATATATATTATATTATATTTTATTATATATATATATATATATAGAGAGAGAGTTATTTATTAATTTAGCTCTCTATGTATATAGATATCTATAATCAACAGCCAAGACCTTCTACTCGATAAGTTCTGAACAGCTGCATCCGCGAGCCTTTAAGGCCTATATGGATTGTGAACCCGCAACGAACGCGTGCAGAAAGCCCAAAGCCCTCACCCCTAAAGCCCTAAACCCCTGAAGTTTCTTGAAGCCCTAAACCCTAAACCCTCAAACCGTCTCCTTCAAAGCCTCGGAAGTTCAGCACTCAAGTGGGGGGTGGTGTGGTTGTTCCATCTAAGGCTTCGGGATCTTTCTAGTAAGTAGTCTTGAACCCTTTTGTGTAGTTTAATCCCTATATAACCCCAAAATTAGCCTCTAGTTAGGCAGGTACTTGAAGCTTATATAGAATGAAAAGAGCGAACAGCCCCCATGATGTCCACATCAGATCATCATGGCATTGCGAGAAAGAGGGCTTCAGCGCTTGGAAGCCGCGGATTTTTGCTATAAGCCGTAGAACCCAAAATCCGAACCCCAAGCCCACCTTCTAGGGTTTAGGGTGCCTAATAACCTGAACTACTAGCAGGGTTTCCCTCTCGGGTTTTGGCCTTCAGGGAAGGGTTGTTTTCAAGGGCCCCAAACGGAGAAGCTTGAGACCTTTGTAACGCAGGAGATTGTCAGAGCTTGCGTTGTTTTCAGGTTTTCTAGGGTTTACCCAAAGGCCCGTAGTAGTTCCGTTTTGGGGATTACCTTATACGGGAACTACTATGGGGCCTATGGGTGGTGGTTTTGCCAGTCTAAAAATGTCATAATGTACTTGTCCAACATGCGCTCAAACGCTCCCGAGTAGGCATGGCAGCCTCGCTTAATGTAGGAACCTGATTACGAAACCCTGGGCCTGTAAGACTGTAACCCCGAAATAATGGGGTTCATAAAAGGAACCCTAATAATGGCCCAAGGTTTCTTAATCAGGTTCCTACAGCATTCGGGTCTAGAGTTTGTGTTGTCGCACGTCTGAGGGCTTATGCCTCGTGTTCCAATGACATTGAGGTCCACGGCCGTGGCACTTCAGACGTTGCCATGTTCGTGATTTTCTTTATTGTTCATCATACGTCTGGAATGCACCTTCCATCCTTCCCTTCATTATCGACCCGACACCCTAGACTGTTTGACCCTAAGCCCTAGGCCCTAAACTCTGCGCCCCGAGCCCCGTACTCTGAAGCCTAATGCGAGGTTCTGAACCAGATCCTGAACCCCAAAGCCTGAACCCGTTTCACATGGAAGACTTGTTGCAAGTCCCCGGATGTGACAGACGTCGTGCCTGCTCGTCAACGTGCTAGTATCTACCTTTTCTGTTGCAACGTCCGGAATCAATTATGAGGCTTTGGAGTGCTAGGAGTATTGTGCCTTTGCACTCGTATGTTTTTGATCTTGCGTCGTTCTAGTTGGTATCTTTGTAGAAAAAACGCTATGACTTTTTCCCTGGCTGCTGCAGACCCCGGAATATGAGAGGAGATCCACATACTACATCAGCGACGGTCGGGAAGTTGCCAAGACTCAGCTTGCCCACGTTCCTTGGTTGATGGCTCCATGTCGGGAACCCTTAACCCTAAACCCTAAACCCTAATCCCTGAACCCTTCGACCTCCCAAAAGTCTCAGAGATGTAGAGCCTTAAACTACAACAACCGAACCCCAAAAGCCCTAAACCCGACTTCGGGGACTCGTACCTCCCTCCAAGCAAGCAACAAGTCTTAGAGTTGAAACCCGAAGCACAGCCTGCAGTATGAAACGCAACAAAAATTACATGCCAGGGTTTCTTTCTTATGATATCCGTTGATCTCTCCTAAAAAAGGCAAGTTTCGGTTACGAGTAACCCCGAGTCGTGGACCTGAACCGAAATCGAAAAGCTCTCAAGTAGGGATGGGGCACCCTTCTAAACCCAAAACCTTAACAGGTCATAAGGATACTACCCTAAACCCTAAACCCTAAACCGTGCCCTACCTTTGGGGTCAGGGTTCAATTTGTTCGGGGCCTTGTGTCTCTGAATGCAGCTCAGGCACTCTGGTAGGCCTCTGAATTAGCCTTCAGGGTTTTGGGGCTGGGTTTGGAGTTTAGGTTTTGGAGGCCAGGGTTTGTGGTTTAGGCTATCCCGGATCCTAACGATTGCAAGCCTTACCTTCGGTGGTTCACCTTAGACCTTATTGTCGGGTCATGCTCAAATCGAGCATAATAACCAAAGGGACTGCCTCTGTCGGGGATGTTCGGAGGGACCCGAACCTACTCGCTACATCCCCATCTCATAATCACCCTGGCCACCCCAAGACCCTAACTGCGCCAAGTACTACAGTCCCTCAACCATCTTGAAGCCTTGTAATTAGTAACCACGAGCACGAACCCGGAACCGTTCTGTAGAACTCTGACTCACTTGTAATAGTATCCTTTCGTATATGTAGAGTGATACTACGATTTACCCCCCACCCTACCCCACAACCCTATTCGAGATCTTAAGGCCCTATATTAAATTATTCAATACCTCATAGCACATTATGAAGCCCGGTTCTAGTTGCAAAGGAGTATGATATAGCCTGTAGAACTTTAACACTGCCGCTTGAAATCCTGTTCAAGTTCTTAGGGCCCCTATATAGTTATAAAGCCCTGTAAAGAAAAACCTCTTCCAAAACTCCGAACCCTAAGCGTCAACACAAACTACAAGCCGCAAAACCCTAAACCCCAAGCCCTATAAACCCTAAACCCTAAACCGTTAGAACGAGGTAGAAGCCGCTGCGGCAACAGGTGCCGATGCAAAGCAGCTCAAGGATCGGGGCCTTTTTGTGAGGGCTTGAGTCTCATAGGAGCCCAAAAGGGGTTTTAGCCTATGGGGGTTTAGTAGGGACTAGGGTTCCCATAATAGGGTTCATATTAAGGAATCCCTACCCCAAGAATCTTAAACGCCCCCGTATGGCATCCCATCAGAGTCCTGAAGGTTCAGGGCTTTCGGGTTGATAAGCATTTCGGGTCTTCGAGGGTGTAGGGTTCCGGCATAGGACGTAGGTTTGAGGGAGCCTACTGGACACCTGCAGTGAGAACGGTTTCTTACATAACAAGGTTTGGCCTCCTTGGAATCATGCCGCGTTGTACAGATACTGTCGAGGTGGTTCAAAACAGACGACGGATATGATTTGACGTATATCTCTAAACTAGCGTGGCATTGGGCTCTCCGCGTGGAGGGTTCATGGGTTGAGGGTTGAGGCTTTAGGCAAGCTTGAATGCTTCAGGGCTTTAGGGTTAGGGATTCCAAGGACCGAAGCTTGTGAGGGTTCAGAGGGTCAGCGAGCAGCACCTTTTTTTTATTCAGGCCGCCCGGTAACGCAAATGGCACACGGACCCAAAAGCACATAAGCATAAGCACTTTGTAGGGATATCCATACCTTATTGGGCTTTATTATATGGGGGTTTATGTGGGATATCCCTTTTGGGGGCCCTTAACACAGAATAACCCCGAATGCTGTGCCTGAAATGGAGGTGGGACCCAGGCAGCTGAACCTCGGAGACTCCAATATCCCTTAATTAAGGAATATTCCTTAAATCATCTTAGGGATTCTACTTTAATTTAAGGTATATTCCTTAATTAAGGGATATTGGAGTCTCTCCGCCCTCAGCACAGCAGCCTCAATGGTTTAGGCAATTAGGGTTTAGGGTGTTCAGGGTGTAACTGGCAGTATGCCTTTCTTACCTTTGTTTAGTAGGGAATGGAAGAAAGGTAGTGGTAGTAGTTATAATTGTACCCCATTTCTCCATTCCCTAGTAACCAAAGGTAAGCTTTGAGAAGCTTCGTGCACGGAGTTGCAACGATACGGCTAGGGAGCACCACGAGCAGCTGCTGAAGCTCGAAAGATCAATCTCGGGATCCCATCACCGACTAACTGGTCTTTAGGGTTTAGGGTTTAGGGTTTAGGGGTTTAGGGTTTAGGGTTCTTTGTGGTTGAGGATAGTACTGACGAGGTGGGTTGGTACTCGGGGTGTTTTTGATCAGACTGTACTTGGGACCTTAATCCCTGCACCCTTTTGACACTAAATAAACCCTAAAGCTCTAAAAACCGAAACCCTGCGCACAGCAGGCTGTCTTGGGTGTCCTCTTGCACAGCGTGCGCTTCATGGCCAGTTCAGCATTCATGCCTTTTTTCGTATATTGTCAGATGTGCACATACACGCACGGCATAATGTGGTTGTATGCGCACATATGTATAGGAAAAACATTCATTACATCTGTATCTATCTAGCTACCTCCCTAGCTATCTTTCTGTTTGTATATATATATGTATATGTATCTTGATTTCTTGTTTTACTCGTGGAATTAACTTAGAGAGAGAGACTCTGCCCCGTTGCCCAACAATTCCTCATTGACGCCCTTAGCATTCCGGTTGTGTGGAGCCGCAGGTTTTCACTTCTTGAGTTTTGGGCTGCAAGGTGTTTGGACCTCGCATTCCTAGACTAGCACCTAGAGTAGGCCCTTATTCCCTTTTTTGGGGGTTCAGGTTCCCTTATAGGCTCCTTTGAACCAAAAAGGGCACCCTTTTTATTCCTATGTTACTCTTAGGTCTTAGAACAACGGAACGGCACAGTCGTCGCCTCTTCAACAGGGTGACCATGTGAACAAGAAGAAGCCTTCAGGCATGCGGCGTCGCAACACCCTGGCCAAACCCTACCCTACACCCCAAACCCCGAAACCCGAAACACTAAACCCTAAATCCTAAACCTCCTCCCAAAAAAGAACGCAACACCGAAACCCTAAGCGTCTTAAACCCGAAGTCACACTCCCGCTAGCCCAGGGCAAAACCCGAGATTTGCGGAAGAGATCGTCCTCGAGTCCGGCCTTCAGATCCTCTTGGATGCATCTTGGTCCACGCAGCCTTCAGTGAAAGCAGCAGCTTCTTGTGTTTAGGGTTCATAGTTTAGGGTTTAGGGTTCAGGGTTTAGGGTTAGGGTTGAGGGGTTTAGGGTTTAGGGTTCAGGGTTTAGGGTTTAGGGTTCAGGGTTTAGGGCACAGCCGAAAGGAGTCTTCCTACAACTCATGCATCTTGCAGATCCGTGCAAGCCAGAGCTTGACGCCCCAACTCAAGCCTCGAATTCACGCCCGAAATCGAAGCACTCGAATGCGACAGGCTTTCGATTTTCGGATGTAGAATTTAGCCATTCGTGAGTTGCTGCAGCTGTCTAAGCCTTCAACCCTAACCGCTTTGTTTATTGAAAGGCTTGGCACCTCATGCCCACGCTCAACTTAGGGTTCAGGGCTCAGCGAATGCCATTCAGCTCGCATCAATCATATATTGAATTCAGGCTCTGTGTGCATATTATCTATATGATGACCCTCATGGTGTCCCGGCCTCATGTTTCTTCTGTTTGCTCCTTTCCAGCGAAGGTTGTCTTGCAACCAGCAGCTGGGCTGGTTTATGATGCATGTTGTCTGAGTTGAGAGTCCAGCTGGCTTGTTACAGTCATGTAGGTTAGGGTCCCTTCTTTAGGTTACGGGACCCTTCTTTTAGAGGACTTCAAAAGGGACCCTAATTTAGAGAACTACCCATGTGTACATGGATTGAACGGATCTTTTCGGATGAGGGGGTGTGGGCATCTAACATGATTCCTGCAATGCTCTTCGATCGGGCGGGTTGGGGACATTTGCGAACCCTAAACCCTACATCCTATAAGCCGTAAGCCCTAAACCCTAAACCCTAAACCCTAAACCCTAAAACCCTAAACCCTAAACCCTAAAGCGCATTTGGAGAACAAAGCTTAGCGTTTCGTTCGGACGACCGGCGCCAGCGTTGAAGTTTTCTCGGGTCGCTGGGTGGGCTTTGAGGGGCGTCGGTGAGTTTGCAGCTTCGAAACGTAGGCTCTATAGGCCCTAAACCTAAGCCCTCCACTCGTAAACCCGAAGGCCAAATTCTCTTCACCTCCTCAGTTGTGTATCCCTGATGGCCTGAAGTCGACACAACGGTGGTCTCACCGTTTCCGGTGAGGCGTATGTTTGTCACATCGAGGTCTTCTGAGACAGCATGATATGAGCTACAGAGGGTTCGGTGTATCAGGCTCGGATTCCACTGGATCTCCGCATCAAACAGAATTACAGAAGGCTCTGAAGTGCGACGAGAGGGCCAAGGGATCCGGCTAATATGGGGGCCGAACTAGATATCAACGATATACCCAAACTACCCTTCATCGTTCCTATAGGGTTGGAGTAGCCATAATCGACCCCCAGCCTTTCACATTTGTTGAAGGCGCCCCATGCTACAGGCCGGCCACCCGAGTTTCTCCGGCAGTGCAGGAAGCTGCATGTGCCGTTTAGTGGAGTTAGACCTCAGAGCAGGCAACTCTGTCTCTGTCCTTGGCGGCATGTGTAGCACTAAACATAATACTAAAACAAGTACCAGCAGTAGTAGTAGTAGTAGTAGTAGTAGTAGTAGTAGTAGTAGTAGTAGTAGTAGTAGTAGTAGTAGTAGTAGTAGTAGTAGTAGTAGTAGTAGTAGTAGTAGTAGTAGTAGTAGTAGTAGTAGTAGTAGTAGTAGTAGTAGTAGTAGTACTACTACTACTACTACTATTACTACTACTGCTGCTACTACTGCTACTGCTGCTACTACTACTACTACTACTACTACTACTACTACTACTACTACTACTACTACTACTACTACTACTACTACTACTACTACTACTACTACTACTACTACTACTACTACTACTACTACTACTACTACTACTACTACTACTACTACTAACTACTACTACTAACTACTACTTACTACTACTTACTACTACTACTACTACTACTACTACTACTACTACTACTACTACTACTACTACTACTACTACTACTACTACTACTACTACTACTACTACTACTACTAGTAGTAGTAGTAGTAGTAGGAGCTAATGCAATGTTAAACAAAAAACAATACTGGCCTTTTCAAACACTGGACCCTGAAATCCCAAACCTGGCGTAAGGTGCTGCCCAGCGGCAGCGAGGGAGCGGAACTTGCGTCGCTGTGCGCTGCAGAATTGTTGCATTACGTACACTGGCTCGCAATTCGTGTTTATGTTTAGGGTTTAGGGTGTATGTTTAGGGTTTACCTGGGGATCCAAAACCCTACCGTTTTAAGGGTTCTATTCTCTAATTATAAGGGGTCATAACCTACTATTTTGTAGGGTTTGGGGTCGCAGGTAGGGTTTATGATATACCTGCAAAGCCTTTTGCTAGTTGTAAGATACCTACAGCAGCGCTTTACTGGCTTTGGCGTTGTCGGAGTTTGGGGCCGTTTGAGTGTCGGTTTTCGGGATGTCCATGATTGTGATGTCCTGATATGCTACTGAACAGGCGGGTTGTTGCGCTACAGGTCTGGGGTACAAGGTTGGGGTTTAGAGGTTAGCTTCCGGGAGTAGGCAGTAGGGTTTGGGTGTTAATTCTGCAGCCTACCAAGAGACGTGGGTTTTGCATTTTCCTACGAGTCCAGAAGATAATGGGAACCTGCCTACAGCATAGCAGAGATCGGCAAGGTAGGCTCCGGTGAATTAGGCCCCGAACTAAGCCCTATAGGCCCAGGCCGTGAAGCCTAAACCCCTAAACCCCGAAAGCCCCACAGCAAGGACGAAGGCCGCCGATGGTGCGATGAAAGCTCGGATGACGTCTTCCGCAAGGCTTTCGCCGGCTTTGGGTTTAAGGTTCCCGGGTTTAGGGCTTATCGAGTTTAAGCGATCGGTGTTTACGGCTTTTCGGCGTGGGGAGGGATTTGGGTTGAGGGCCGTGGGAGCAATCCCTTCCGCTGAGAAATCATAGAATCCTTGGTTCCCGCATGAAAAGCTACTGCCCCTTAAACCCCACATACACCATACAGTACTTTTTAAGACCTGAAACATCCTGCAACCCTGTGAGGCCTCTATCATTGCCCTGAATATATAGTGATATTATTTCCTAAGGTTCCCTGCTTTCGTTTCGTTAGTTCGAGAACATATGCCCAAGGCCTACCCATTCTAAAGGCACCTCTATTGGCTTCAGAAAGCCAAGGCATGCAACCCGGACATGCTGGAGCTAGGATGCCCAGTAGTACCCTTATTCCCTTGTTGCAGTCCTAGGTTCCTTATAAAGTTACCCAATACCAAAAAGAGAGGCCTTTTTATTCTTAGGTTACTGGGTATCCTAGGTAGGGTTTGCGGGCTTTAGGGGTTTGGTGTGTTTGGCTTGTTGGGCTCAGGGCTTTAGGGTTGAGATACCTCCCAATGCAGCGGCTGGGCCAGAGTCTCTTCCTAAACCCTGAACCCTAAACCGAAATTACCCTAGGGCCGGGTTTCGGGTTTGGGGTGTAGCGGGCCCTGGGATGCCCTGCGGCTCCAGATACTTAGATATTGGGTATAATCCTGGGTTACTGGGCTACATATGATATGGTGCCACGGTGTAGCATTTTAGGGTTCTGTTTGGATACCTGCTAGTGAAGCTCCCAAGGTCCCAATCTCAAGCTTCAATTTAGGTCGTCATGTCCAATGCTCCTTTTAAGAGGTTTACCAGGAGTGCCATAACGGTTGCGTTAATAGCTAGAATAGGGTTCTAGTGCGTAGTACTCATGTTTGCGGCTGTATGCTTTGCACTCCTGGACAGGGCGACGCCGGTTTTCATTTTATGCACGTGCGATGGAGCTACGTAAAGTGCACAGATGAGAAAACATGGCTTTTGGCATAGCTTCAAGTGCTCCGGGTGTGTTGAGGTTGACTCCTTAACCCTAAACCCTAAACCCCTAAACCCTAAACCCCTAAACCCTAAACCCTAGATCGAGACCTTAACTAACTGTCCCGACCCCGGAGTCGTCTCGATGGGTGAGAAGGAGATGTTTGCCGCTCTTCTGCTGCACATGATGGAGGAGCAACTTGTCGCAAAGCAGTGGTGGGGTTGGATATCGTGGTGCGCGAGATTCTAAACCGCAAACACCCCAAGACCCCGATAAAAGCTACAGCACCTCGTCTAGAGCCCTACAGAACCACTTTTTGCCCTATACCCTAAACCCTCTCCCAAGGCTCTCAAGCTTGAACCCGGGAATCCAAATCCTAGCCCTGACTCTGAGCACTGCGCCCCAATCTGGAAGTTAAAGACTCAACCTTCCTCAAGTACATAAATTAGGATTTGGGCTTCAGTGTTTAGGGTTTCGGCTTTAGGATTTAAGGAATCATAATTTCGTCCCAAGTACTAATTAACCTACATTGCCACTATCCGAATTCCCCGTTTGGACCCTTGCGAACCCTTGCAGGCTCCTTAAACGTTAGGGATGTGTCGGGTTAGGGTTTACCCATAGGCCGCAAAGTAGTTCCTTTTTGGGGTTCATATATAAAATACTATAGGGTAATCCCCAAAAGGAACTACTTTGGGGCCTTAGGGTAATTGCCTGAAGCCCTACCCCTCCACCGGTTATAACGTGCTTGCGGCAAACAGTGTCCCGATCAAAGGAAGAGTCGCGGTTGTTGGAGTCTGCTCTTGCTCCTGCGCCCCGGCACTGGCTGAGGTTCAAAGACTTAGGGTTAAGGTTTAGGGTTTGAGGTGTAACGTTTAAGGTTTGAAGGTTCAGGATGTAGGGCTTAGAATTTAGCATTTAGGGGTTAGGTTTCCTAAACCCCGGCACAGTTTGTGGAGAACTTTGAGGATGGAACAGGGGCCTTAACTTGAGGGTTCAGCATTTGGTTTTATTTCGGATTTATGGTATCCTGTGTTTCTTGGCTTGGATGGTGGGTGTTGGGGCTTCGAGCTCGGACTTGCAAGGCTACCATGGACCAGAATGCAGACGGGCAGCGCTAGGGTCCGTACTGTCAGGACACGAAAGAGGAACCCCTTAGTCAGTGGGTAACTCGGTCTTGGTACAAACTTTCAGGATTCGCGGGCTTCATTCGTAAGGCTTGAACCCTACAGAAGCCCTACAGTCTAGGGGCCATTATAGCCAGACTATGGCTCTGGGGTGGATTGCGGACATGACTAGTATAAATTCGTCGAGGATCCCTACTCAGGTTCTTACGAAGACTGTCTCGGGGCGGCATGCTCGCAGTATGTGCCAACTCTCCTTCGCAATCTCTGAAAGCTTCGCATGTGCCTGATCACCGTCGCCAAACTGACTTGATGCCTTGATTCCTTGACTGCGGGGGGAGAGCGGCGGATACCATGGGAACGGCGTAGGCGGGTAGTAGCCCGGAGCCCGAGGTTATATAATAAAGGCAAGCTCGAATCGCAGCATCTCGATGTAAAGTCAGGTTTCTGACCCATGCGGGGCCGACCTTGCGCTGTTTGCACGAGGCAAGGGCCGGTTTACGGCCGGTGATGTTTTCTGGTCGCTTAGGCTTAGGGCTTTGAAATCAGGAAATGAGGCTTTGGGTTTAGGGTTCACGGTCATTCGTGTCGAGGTCTATGCTGTCAAGTGTAGGGCTTGGGGCTTCCCGGTTCATGGTACCTTAGGGTTCCTTTAAAGGCTTGCTTAAAAAGCGTACTATAGAACTGGAGCTTTCGTACAGGGAAGGAGCTGTTGAGACCAACCTGAACTGTGGGATTCGTGAACCTGCCTGCTTCAACGTCCGCGACAAGGCAGGCCCACGCCCTAGAACACTAACCTGCGAAACCCCCAAGCACAAGGCCCCGTAAACTCTAAACCCTAAACCCTAAACCCTGCTTCAAACCCTAATCTAATGAGACTCTACTAATGACAGGGGGGCGAAGACTTAGCACTACTCATTCCTAGGATTCCTTTATACCAGGGCATCGCTCTAAAACCCTAAGCCCTGGGCTCTCCTTGTAAGTTCATAATGTTATAGACCTTTTTACAAACCCGATAAAGCAAAATATCCTATAATCTATAATCAGACAAGCTTTAAAGACACTTGTAGACCTTCAGAACCAACCTTAAACCCCTAAGCCCTAAACCACAAACCCTAAAAAACAGAGAAAGAAAGTGCAGGTGGCCCTGGAAGATAGAGGTCATTATCTGCGAGCCTTGTTTGAGGCTTCTTTCGGGATTTAGGTTTTCGGGTATGGTTTTTTTTTTCTTGTGCAGGCTCAGGATTTTGAGTGTAGGGTTTTGGGTGTTGGGTGCAGGATTTAAGGAAGTTTAGGGTTCAGGCTCTTTGCGGTGAGGGCTCAAGCGCAACACAGGGTTTAGGGTTTTGGATGGGTTTGCGCTTGGGGTCTGCGATTTAAGGGTTTTCCGTTCTTCGGGTCGTTGAGGTTTAGTTTAAGATTTTGGTGGAGAGGTTTGACTCCCTGATTTACAGGCTTGGTTGGTTCGGGGCACCAGGTTCCGTTCTCCAGGGTTTGGGGTGTAGGGTGGAGGCCAAGTAGAGTAGTGCAAGAAGGTCAGAGGGCAACAATAAGTCGAGTGTTGTTTTGGCTTCAGGGTCTAGGGTTTCGTGCTTCGGATTTGGAGGTCTGGACTTGGTGGCCTAGTTTGTGGTTTGATGGTTTCGTTTGCTTGGGGCTTCTGATGCCGTTCAGCGTAGGTGTAGGAGCATTCCAGCTCCGCTTCGGTGCATGGGATGGTTGCTTATATTCAGCTTTCTGGTTGCAGGCTGAGTGCGATGCCGAGCTTTCGATTCCCTGAAGCGTCCATGCGCCCTCATTAGGGAGTTGTTAAGGCAGACATTCGCAGTTGCGTGTGCGAGGTATAGTTACCATCTATGCAGGAAGGAGGTGCTTTCGGTTGTGAACTCTTCCATGGGTTCCCAGAGACTCCAATATCCCTTAATTGAGGAATATATCTTAAACTATAGTAGGATCCCGAATATGATTTAAGGAATATTCCTTAACTAGGGGATATTGGAGTCTCTGGGTTGTCTGGGGATCAGGCCTTGCCTGGCCAAGACGCAGCCCTTTGAGTTCTTCCGGGGCGCCAGGACTTGAGCTCCAAACCCCCTGCCCCCGTACCAAGCACCTCCGCACCAGCATCCCACCCATCGCCCCCTTCAAACCAGACCTCTTTTCACAAACACTGGCTACTTCCCTGAGCCCATGAGGTCCCAAAGTCATCACCAGGAGTTACAATCCTAAGCCCGGAACTCTTCCACGCACTTCTCTTCTTGAGAGGCTTGTGGCTCGGAAGAGAATGCTCGAAGCTGAGTGCGTAAGGTTGTCAGTGCTTTAGTTGACTAGCATCATAATGTTCATAATGGCTGAGTAGGTATTCTTTAACCTCTTTAGATAAACTTACCATGACTGATAAGGTTAGCCTTCTATGGAACCTTCACCAAGTCCCATGGTATTTCAGGTGTAGGGGCAGCGTGAGGCTTTGGGTGAAGTACCGGCTTGCGTTGGAGAGTTTGGCATTTCGGGTTTAGAGTTGAATTAGGGGTTCATATACCATCTAGGGTGTATGAGTCAGGGAGTTATTTGGGTGGTTGTCAAAATTATGGTCCCTTTTTAGGTCCCTGTTATAATACGGCACCTAGTATTTAGGGTACCAAAAAGGGACCCCAATTTTGACAACCACCCATATGTGGTATTAGGAGACTGTACGGTTCTTTTCACGTCCAACGCAACCCTACACTGCCCTATACTAGCACCTAGAGTAGGCCCTTATTCCCTTTTTTAGGGTTCAGGTTCCCTTATAGGCTCCTTTCAACCAAAAAGGGCACCCTTTTTATTCCTAGGTTACTCTTAGGTCTAGATACTATACACGCTAAACTCCCTAAACCAGCCCCAACTGAATCCCTACACAGTCGTACATCTAGGGATTCTTGTAAGCCAGGAGGGCTCACCTGTGAGCCCGGGTCCCGAAGGGTCTTTAAAGGTGAGAACCCCGGTGTCCTTCTTCGGAGAGCACCCCACCCCCCCGTTTTAAAAGTTTAGGGCTTCAGGGTGTTGGGATGAGGGTTCATGGTAGCTGAGTGGGATACCATAAAAGCCTGCCATGCTGAGCTCCTAGAATTCTATAGGGCCCGGGTCGATGATCAGCCATCGACTCCTCCACCCAAAACCTTAAAAGTCTACCCGAAACGCAGAACAAATCCGAAGCATCTACGCCCCGATGCAGAACTCCGCAAACCCCAACAACAACAGACCCCAAAATCAATTCCTGCCAAGACCTTCAAGCCCTAAACACCTTTGGTTTGGGCCGAGGCTTTTCGATCTGGGATTTAGAGTTAGCCCTGAAACCAACCTGTGGTCGCCAGTGTAGTTGTTGGTTTCCAGGTTTTTGATAAGGATCCTCATCGTAAACTCGGATTGCAGCAAGGAGCCACAGTGGGCACAGGTAGACACTAAAACCCTCAACCGCAAACCCATAAAGCCCTATAGCAACCCGAAAACCTTTTCAAACCCCTGCAGGAAACACCTAAACCCTGAACACCCTGCACCCCGTAGTCCCTAACCATTGAGGACCCAAATCAAATCCCTAATCTCAAAAGACCCAACCCCCAACTACCATCTATTGTATCCCAGCTACCCACTGTTACGGACCAAAAGGCCTCTATGAAAGGGCCACCCCGGGGCGTTTTGGATGACTGAACCCCTGAACCCCTGAACCCCTGAAGCCCTCCTAGGACCTAGAGTAGGCCCTTATTCCCTTTTTTTGGGGGTTCAGGTTCCCTTATTGGCCCCTTTAAACCAAAAAGGGCAACCTTCTTATTCCTTGGTTACTCTTAGGTCTAGACCCCTGGTGCCTAAGGATTGGCTTTTTGGAGCAGCCGGAGCCCTTCTCAAGGTGGTCTGGGATCGAAATTGGAGCTTCCGATTTTTTTGGGATATCACATTTTGCGGTCCTTTGAAATCTTCATAAGGATTCTACTATTCAGGAAACTATATTGTAGTCCCCTATTTCTGGAAAATCCCAAATCGTCTGTTTTGGGGTCTTTTCCACGAAACGTTGGCGGCCCTTTGGGGTTGATGAGCTTTGTCTTCACATTTACCCCCCTGAAGCCCCGAACTCCCAAACGCCCGGCACTGAACGCCAAATCCTGAACGTATAATCTCCAATTGTCATAATTCGAGGTCGGAATATGTCGCTGGTTCCTTCAGTGTGAGGCGATCGAGGACGTGATCCACGAGTTCCGAAGCGAACTGCCTCAGGTGCCCTTTCTGAAGAGAGCAGGAGGAGCGGCTGTAGCTCCATTCAGCAAGCATATAGGAGCTATAAACTTACAGTTAAAGGTTTAGCAGTGACCCTAAGCCAAAAACATCCATCATCCCAAAATCAAAAAAGCCTTTGAACCTCACTTCCAGGCCTTCATCTGCAAAGTCCTTAACCTTAACCCATCAGTCCAGACCTTGAAAACCCCAAAGCTCCAAGAGCCCGAAGCCATCGGCCCGACGGAAGGCGTTGGCTTTCCTGGGGGTTAGTGTTTTGCACCCAACTACTTTTGAAGTCGCTCGTGGTCGTTCTCGTCGTCAATGATGTTGTCGCCGCTCTCTGGCTCTTTCTTGTGTATAGCCATGACCCTGCTGGTTGCATCAGTTTCGTTGTCAACATCAGCTTGAGCGTTATCATGTGTCATTGACCATCTAGGCCCTCTTCCGAAGGCCGAGGTGGTGGGTGGCACAAAACATCATCACAGCTTGGAAAGCTTGTCAAAGCATTCGGGTAACTAGGGACTCCGTGGACCGAAAGGCCGAAATGAAAGTTTCCGGAAATAGGGGTACCTTATTTTGTGGTCCTTATAAAAAGGATCCGATTATTTGGCGCACTATATTATGGTCCCCTGTTTTCGGACACTCCCAAATCAGAAGGGCCTCAACCCGAAGCGGAGCCCGAGAGGGGCCTGAACCCCAAGGGTCTAAACCCGTGAACACACACACACATGGCTCAGCAAGCCGAGTCCTCTTAGCGGCAACACAGCAGATACTGCTTGGAGCGTTATCATCTTCACCATCATCGGCATCAGCACCATGATCCACCTGCTCATCTTCATCTTCATCATGGCCCTCGTCCTCACCGTCGTCATCATCACCACCTCCTTCACCGTCACAATCTCTGCAATCTCAAACATCACCATCATAGATAGAATGTCCAGCATCATCAACAACGACCCTTTCGTGCTCACAGCTACTATGACCGTGACCATTACGAGCACTAACAGTATCAACACAGTGTATCTTGTTTTCCTGATCCGGGTCTAGGACTCTAGGACGTATACTGAGAAGTTCAACCTTGTGGCTTCTTAAGTATGTGCGTCCAGCCTCCTATCCAAGAACCCTGGACGTTTCATCCTTCAGGTAGCTGATGGGATGAAGATGCTCGCAGCAATTCTGGTAATGGATTGTGGTCGTTGATAGTCGTCACAGGTTTACGTGTCGGACGGAACTTACTACATAAGGTGAAGCAGAGTGTTCGAGCATTGCTGAGCCTCAGGGTGTTTCGGGTTAAGTTTTTTGTCGTAGGAAGGCGGGGCTCGGTGGCTACAGTAGGGTTGTGCAGAAGCATTCGAAACCTCATGAAAGTCCAGCTCTGCCGCCACGCACGCCCCGAGCATCTGGCAAAGCACAGCAATTGGTGAAGGGCAGGTTTGCTAGCACCTAGAGTAGGCCCTTATTCCCTTTTTTTGGGTTCAGGTTCCCTTATAGGCCCCTTTGAACCAAAAAGGGCACCGTTTTTATTCCTAGGTTACTCTTAGGTCTAGGGGCAGGTTTGTCTACGGCCAATACACCCCCCCACTCTCCGCCCCCCAGTTGGAACCCGAAAGCCAGAATTCAGGACTCTGAACTCGTGCATTCTCAACATAGATAGCCAATGTGGGAACTTTGAACGGTTTAGGGTTTAGGGTTTAGGGTTTTGAACTTGTAGGCCTCAGATATCTGGTCCATGTTGGAATGTTTGAACTGTTGCGGCACCTATTGCAGCAGATGCCATCGATCGGTGTGCTTTAGAGCTTTCGTGGCTGTCTCTACGGCTTCCAAAAGGGGTGTCCTTTTGGATGTTCTGGTGAGAAGCCCTTGACCCAAACCTCTGACACCCGAAACGCAAGTACTAACTCCCACACCCAAGATGCTAAACGGGTGCTCAGGATGTGTGCGCCTCTAAGGGGGTGTACGGCGGAAGCAACAGTCCGACCCAGAAAACACCATAACCATCCCTAAACCTCCTTCTGAATCCCCTTTGAACTCCTATAACACCACCTAAAAAACACCATAACCATCCCTAAACCTCCTTCTGAATCCCCCTTTCAACCCTATTATAACAAGCCTGATACAGCTTTTCTGCCGCGTGTAAAGAGCCGCAGTTCCAGGAACGAGCTTCGGCGCGCTGCTGAGGTCAGGGGCCAGTGTTTTCGGTCTTAGGTCCGAAGTCAAAGGGGAAAAGGAGGGACCCTTAATGGGGACCCCTACCCCATAATGGGACATATAATGGGTATATAATAGCTATATTACGGGTATATACCTTGGGGTCCTTCTTGAGGGTCCCTCCTTTTACCCTTGGACGAAGGCTTTGAGTTGAAATAAAGCTCGAGGGTTCCGGGTCTCGGGTTTAGGGGGACCGGGGAGGGTTTGTCAGGTGTTTCCGTGGGCCTCAGCGTGTACAACACTTGTGGGCCTGTGGGCACAATAGAGTGAGTGATTTGTTGATTTTGGGTCATGTCAGAACGAGATTGAGCAGTATCGTCGAATCCAAGAGCGAAAGGCTATGACAAAAGCCTGCGAGGATGGCAACCGCAAGATTAGTTACGTCAGCAGTCACTGGAGAACTGGAGAGCCAGATTACAGTTGTTTAATTTGGTCCTACCGATAGCAATGACAATCTAAGTTTGCTTTGATTCGTCAAGCTTAACAGCTACCGGCATGCAACAACCTTTGCAAGGTTTTGGGTTTGGATTCCCGGCCCGTGGTGTGGGCTGATTGAGGGTTTAGAGTTTAGGGTTTAAAAGCTAAGTACTACTATAGGGGCTTGAATAATTACCAATGCTATTTTGAGGGTCCCTTACTATAAAAATACGGTATAATGGGCCCCAAAGCCTTATTCTACTTAGTAAGTAAGGCCCCCGCATTACACCCCTTCTTTGTGGGCAAAATTTCTCGCAGGCGTGCCAAGCTTCGGATCTACTGCAGGAGGCCGGAGGGGAGGCTGAATTAGGAGCTTCTTTAAACTGCGCGTGCCTTGCTTGGGCAGAAATTACTGATATGATTACCGTGGTCCTCGGCGTAGCACCTAGTTGCGATGATGGTCGACATCTTCACGTTAATGGCCGCCACGTGTGACATTATGATGGTGATCACGTCACTTCCACCATCACCATCATCATCAGCACCATCATCGTCATCACCATTCATCATTGTCAAGATCGCCGTCGTCATCATCATCATCAGCATGCCCATCACCGTCGTCATCATCATCATCTTATTCTTCTTCGTCTTCATGGCCATCTTCATCAACGTCAGCATCCTTATCATCATCTTGTTTCTTGCCACCATCGCCGTCATCACCATGACCGTCATTATGACCATCATGATCATGAACCATCGTCATCATCATCACCATCATCATCAGCAGCAGTAACTTTATCGTTTGCAACAGCAGGATTTTAGTCACGGCCGATGTCGCCTGTCGATTCCACGCATTTAGCACCAACACGCACATTACCTGTGTTGAGTCCATCACCGACGGTGAGTTGTTCCTGTCGAACGAGCATCAGAAGTGCGTTTGCTCTTGCATCAGACCTTCGCCCCCCAGCGATTAAGCTGGTCTTCCATGGGGGCTGCAGTGAGAGTTGCGCAATTCGCGCAGGACGATCCCTTGCCCATAGCCGTGCTACAGCCTCTCCTGGAGGACTTGCAGAGCGGTAGTTGCATGGTAGGGTGGTGCTTTTTTGCAGGGCTCCCGTCAGGCAAAGCAGGAGGTTACGGGAACCTTCAGGGAGTAGCCTGGTGTTTGAACAGGAGAGGTATGGAAGACCTCGACGCATGAAAGCCAAGCATCGACTGGATCGGATCTTGCTTGTCGTTTTTGAGTTTGCCTCCACGCCCGAGGATGTGCTCAGCACCGCATGCGAGGCCTTCCGATCTGTTTACATGCGAAAACCTAAACCCTAAACCCTAAACCGGTTTACATGCGAAAACCTAGATCCTGAATCCAAGCCTGAGTCTCGAATCCCAGACCTAAACCCGTATCAGGCAGAACGCCCAGTGCCGGGCTTCCAGCATTTCGCAGACTGAAGTCTTTTCGTCGCCTAGACATGCTTCGTTTCAATGTGGGGGGTGCAGAGGGTGTAGCAGATTTTGGGTTTAGGGTGCAGTGTAGAGCGTTGATGTAGATGACACGAGCGGTTCTGGTGATAATGATGATGATGATGACGATGATGATGGAAGAGAGGGCTGATGATGCTGACTGACCTTAGGGGTACTTAGAAATAGCTTTTAATTTTTGGTTATTATGGTCCCTAAGAAACAGCTAAAATTTCAATTTTTGCTAGGGTTCTAAGTTCAGTGTAGTGACTCTCATGGCGGTTAGTTCACACTGATACACTGTATTGCAGCCGGGTCTAGAATGCCCGAGGAACAAATTGAACTTCAACCTCAAGCCCTTCACCACGAAACCTTAGCTCGCAAAGCGTATAGACCTCAATCCCGAAGCTCTAACCCGACCGTCAGACCTAAATCTCGAATCCGCAGTCCTCTACATCGTAAACCTTACATCCCTAAGCCTAACCTTCACATAACCCTCAGTCAGAGTTTCACAAATTCATCAGCACACAGGCCTGCTAGGATCCAAAGCCGGTGCCTAACCTTCACATGAGCTTCAGTCAGAGTTTCATAAAGCCAACGCCCCGAACCCTGAGCCCTCAGCCGTAAAACGAAGCGGAGGCCTCTGAGGCCAACTTCGAGCGTGATGCTTTCGCCGAGGCAGCGTCACCGGATTAGGTAAGTCAAGACTTAGATCCCCAATGCCCAACCTTTAAACTTTTCGGGTTCTTATAGTTTAGTAGGAATCGGAAAGTTTAACCTTTCATTTCTGTGGCTTATAGGGGTAGTAAGAAGAGGATTCAGTTTTATTTGCTGGAAGAGTGGGGGAGAAGGGGGGTGGTTTAGGGTTTTAGTCTGTTTCAGAGCGGGGTTCAGAAGAGTCCTATCGGGGTGTGATGAGATTTTCTTGCGAGGGGCTTGTAAGGATTGTACAGGATATTTGATTGGTTTCAGAAAGATGTTTGTAATCACAGGCTTCATTGACGTTTTATCGAGGGTTTGACCGCGCCTTGTTGCGAAGCATGTTACGGTTTTGCCCTGCGAACTTGTCTTGCAGGGCACCAAGAGAATTGCTGAAATTTCAGGTTATATAGTTGTAGGGTTGAAGGAACAAATATTCCTTCATGAGTAGGGTTTATGGTTTGCTTAGCTGAGGGTTCTGGACTCTCTGGTTTTTCAAATTTGGGGCTACTTGGAGGGGCAGGGGACTTAGTAAGTAGGTGAAAAGTAGAGTTAGAAGTACCCTAAATGGAGTTACCCCGCTTATAACCCTACTTACAGTAATTAAACCCTAAACCCTAAACCCTAAACCCTAAATGGAGTTACCCCGCTTATAACCCTACTGACAACCTACTTAGTCCCGCGGGCCTCCAAGTAGAGGTGGGGGGATCGGCGTTACCGCTTAGTTAGGGTTTAGGGTTTGGGGTTTAGGGTTCTTAGGGTTTAGGGTTCTTTGGGTTTAGGGTTTAGGGTTCTTTGGGTTTAGGGTTTAGGGTTTAGGGGAGTTAGGAGTTTGAGCTTTTGCCGAAGGCTCGAACATGGAACTTGTCTAGCTGAATCTGAACGGCATTCGAGGGTTTTCGCATCTTGAGGAGCTGGGTTCCAAGGCAAAGTTTGGGGGTTTAGGTTGTTTTTTGAGAGTTGGCAGTGCGATATGCAGGGTTCAGGGCATTGACACTTGTTGGGCTAATGCGCTTCCTTGCGATGTACATTGGATAGGTTTTTGGATTCTCAGTGTTGGGATCGAGGGTTGTAGGCACATGTTCAGAAGCAACACCCCCTTTAATGACCGCCAAAGCTTAGCCATCGTCTCGTTGAAGCGCTAGAGACCCTAATTACACCACACCACAAGCACCACATATTCAGATCATCAAACCCTAAAACCTCAACCAGAAACCGTGCTAAGACATATGGTTCAGGACTGGGGATCGGGGTTCTGGGTTCCTTTTCCTAAGCCCTGGCCTAACCCTCGGACCCTAAATCCTAAAATGGCCCTAAAACCTAAGACCCAAACTTTAAGCCCTGGACGAAAGAGCGATTTCTTGGCCCTGAATCAAATCCCAGCCCCGCCCCAAGATTCTCCCAAGCTCAAGCGGAAAGAAGTCCCGGCATGAAGAACAAGATGCCAGAACCCAAAGCTTCAACACAGCAACCTCATCTTGGGCCTCTCAAACTCAAAACACCAAGCCTTAGGGGCACTTAGAAATAATGTTTAATTTTTGGTTATTATGATCCCTAAGAAACAGCTAAAATTATAATTGTTGCTAGTGTTCTAAGTTCAGTGTAGAAGCCTCAGAACTTGTCACCCTGAAGAAACATAACTTAAAGCGGGAGCTGTTCGACAGGCAAACCGCATTCTCCTCAGAGAGAAGGCTGGCGAGGAGCGGCAAGCAACACCCGAAACCCTACAACACCACATGCGAGTTTCCGAATTCAGGGGACCTAATATAGTACCCTAGATAGCAGGATCCTTATCAAAAAGGACCCCCCAAATGGGGTATCCCTAATTTTCGGAAACTCCTATATGTTCCTGAACCCTAAGCGCTAAATCACTAAGACTCTAAGAAAGAAGCCCTTGCCCTTCATTCCCAAACCGCCGAGCCCTCCCCGCGGAGCAGGCCACCCCCTGACCCCTGATCTTGGCTTAGGATGTGCGTGGATTCGGGCTTATTGAATTATGCTGTAGGGACGCACGAATGAGATAATGAGAGTGCCAGCATTTGCGTGTCATGTTTGACCCCTCAACCAAGGTTTTCTCTTGCAACGATGTTCTTTTTGGTGTCCGGTTTAATCAGGGTTGATGGGCCCTGTATTCCAAAAGGAACTTCAACCTTCATGGAGCATGTACTGTAAGGCTCGAAAAATCAGCAATACATCCCCTCCCTGGCCAGCAACCCCTTACTATTGAATTTAACATAAATGCCTGAGTGATTCGGAATATACTGTTCGTTGAGGTTCCTGTTCTTAAACCTTTACAGCATAAGTCCACCCAAGAGCCTGGTTCAGATGAATGCATTACTCTCCAAGTCCCCACTCCTATACACTCGACCTTACCTCTCAGCGCCAAACTCCAAAGCCCGGAACCCTCAATCTAGGACCTAGAGTAGGCCCTTATTCCCTTTTTTAGGGTTCAGGTTCCCTTATAGGCCTCTTTAAACCAAAAAGGGCATCTTAGGTCTAGGAATCCTCACCAGGCTGAAATTCCACAGAGGCCTTTCGCCGAAAGGAGAAGTCCAGTTAAAACCCGAAGCATGACACCGAAACCCAACAGCCGACCCAACACCTCACAAACCCAACACCTTAGAAGCTGCCCTCACCCTGTAATAGTGGTATAATAGGAATATAATAGGGCCCTAATATAATCCTTATAGTCACTATTACAGGGTGCGGGCAGCTTCTAACCAATGCCCCAATAAACCCTAAAAAACCCGTAGTTGCGCAACCCTATAAACTCCAATAGACCCCGAAAGTCGTCGAGGTTTAAGCACGGTTGCTCCAAAAACCGTAAAGCTTAAATGTTTAAAGGCTAAACCGGCATTTCAACGACCAGGAGCAGCTGAAGCAGCGAAACGGACGACTTGAGGGGGAGCTTCGGCGCCTCAACGTGGTTGGGGCCCCCGGCTGGACATCCTGTTAGTGTTTTGGGGTTTAGGGCTTTAGGGCTTTAGGGTTTTAGGGTTTAGGGTTTAGGGAGGGTTTAGGGAGGGTTTAGGGTTAAGGGTTTTGGGGTTTAGGTTAACGGCAACATACAGGGAATTTTGAAGCTCGAAATGCCAAGCTTCCACTAGATGAGTCCTGTCAGCGCATTGGATTTTCAGTTTTTTTGTTTTGCATGGTCTACCTGGTTTTAGAGGTTCGGGGTTTAGGGTTCAGGAGTTGAGGTTTAGGCCGGGGGTTTGGAGTTCCGGTTTTCGAAAACAAAGGGGTGCAGTCTTTGCTGACTACCGACTGCTCACTGCGGGGCGGATTTCCGTGTCGCCTTTACGTCTGAGCAAAGGGCGAACTGAAGCTCAAACCCAAAACCCTTAATCCGTACCTTATACCCATATACTATGAATCCCTATATGAACCTGCAACCCTTTTAGGTTTCATTTCGTCCTTAAGGCAATCTCCACTCCTCGCGCCTCAAGGTACAGGGAACCCCAGACCGTAACCCCCTATCCAACGACTATAATAGAGGCCTAGATAATTACCATACTTATTTTTTTTTTTTTTTGGGGGGGGGGGGGGGGGGTTCCTTATTATAACCGGAGTATAATAATGGGCCCGAAAACCCTAGTCTAATTATTTAGGCCCATATAATACCCCAAACCCGAAACCGTGAACGTGTATCGAGGCCCTGAGCAAGATGCTGGTCTTCGTTGACGTAGGACGAGACGGGTTTAGGGAGCAGGGTTAAGGTTTTTAGGGTTTAGGGTTTTAGGGCAGCAGGGTTTAAGGCTTGCAGGGCTTGGGGCACCCAGTGCTTGCCATTCAGGATTGTTTGGGGCTTTGGGTGATCTGGTTTTCGATTCTGGCTTAGGCACAAGGAGCCACCTGTTTCAAGGTTGCGGTACGAACCCTCTCCCCTTGCCCTGTGAAGAGCAACCTTAACCGACCACAGCACGTCTCTAAAAGGTCCCTCTCCAAGGGTATCGCAGGCCGAGGCTTAACTATGTTACTGGTAGGACCCTGCAAGAATAGCCTGCTACCGTGGTCTCACGTGGATTGACAATTTACAATTTTCGACAAAGGCCTGGAATCGAAAAGCTTAGCCACCTCTAATTAATTAAGAATTCAAGATTCCTTAAGGGCATACAAAGGTTCCTTCGGGTTCTTCAAGGGTACTACGGCGCGTCAGGGATTTGGAGTTTAGGTTTGAGGGTGTAGAATCAAAGTAGTGGGAACGGAACTCCAGACCCTAAGCCCCGGCACCCTCTACCCGAAAGAGCCAGGTCCAAGCCCTGAGAAGTGAAATCTAAGGGTTCACCCCAATTCCCCAAAACACCGCAGGTTTGGCAGATTCGAATTTTGGGGGAGGAGCTTAGGGTAAAGGGGTTCAGGTCTAGTGCTCTTGAGCCGGACGAGAGGTCTTGAGAACGGGACCTGATGGAAAGTGCATCGGTTTAGGGTTCAGGGTTTTTAGGGTTTAGGGTTGAATGTTTAGGATACCAGCACCCATACCCCGATACCTGAAAGCCAAAATCCCTAAGCCAGAGGTGCTAGACCTGGACGCTAGACCCTCGTACCAAAGCCCTAAACCCCGGAAGCGAAAAAAAACCCTTGCAGAGCCTTATAGAACCCTTGCATACACCAAAAGCTTTCATAAGTCGTCATAGGAGTTTCCGAAAATGATCCTTATTATGAGGACCCCAAAATGAGGTACCCTACTTTTCGGAAACTCCCTCATCCCCGATCCACAGCCGAACCTCCAGGAGAACATCCCATCGCCAAGTCTTTGCAGGCTACGGTTTGCTTGGGGTTGGGATGCAGGTTTGGGGTTTAGGGGTTTACTATAGAAGCCTGAATAAGTACCAAAGTTATTTCAGTTCAGCACTATCATCATGGTATTAGACCTTGTGTAGGTCGGGGGCCTGTTTACTTGTTTTTTTGTTAAGGGGCTGTCTATCGGCATCCTTATCAGGCCTATGTTAGGCCGTTTAATTACACCCAAAGCCCTGGTCTAAGCCCCCTGTGAGAGGTTTTGGGGTTAGGGCCTGATACGTTTTGAGGGTTTAGGGTTAAGGGGGGCAGGTGATAGGGCTTTATTTTGGGGGTGACAGAGGCTTGAGGATTAAACGGTATTGATTGAATACAGGGCACGGCGGTCGGAATAGTTAGTACAATTTGTTCACTATAGTCCCCTAGCTTCTAGTTTTGTACCGCGAAGCCCTATTCAAAAAAAAAGTAACTCCCCCCCCCCCCCCCTTCCACACACATTTTTTAGGGTGGTTTGGGTCTGAGGTTCATGATCGGCAGTGTCGCATTTCTGTCGCGAGAACACGGCTCGGAATGAGCGACGTCAGCCTTTCGCGTATCACAGACTCAGCAAATCGAGGAATACACTGGTGGTGTTCTGGATGTACAAACACAAGCCGGTGCCTGTGTGCACAGGAGCCTCTCTGGTGTTTCTTGCATCAACTTAAGCTAGGCTAATAGCAAAACTTTCCACACCTGCTGTCGTGCATCTGCAAAGCAGCCCTTTTGGGTTTAGGTTCTGACATTTTTTCAGGAGATCGTGCACATGGGCTTCGACAGTATCAAGTGGGAAGCTGGGTACACAGCTCTGCACTATGCAGCGGAGCACATCGATGATGCCAGGAGCGGTTCGGGTGCTTCATAGAAGGTGTGTGTGTGTGTGATATCCGAGGCTTGTATGTTGTAAGTCTGGCAAGTGCAGCAGCTTTTGTGAAGAGCTACGTGTTGTGGGGAAGCCTTCTCCACTCATAAACGCTGAAACGGTCAATGAATTTGTCGAATGCGAGCAGCAGGCAATCATCAAGGGATGGTTAGCAATCACGTCCACAACTCTAGCGATGCGAGGGCGAACTGTACATGATGGCTTCTAGAACGACATGGCAAGATCTAAAGTCAGCAGAAAGCTATGGGAAGAGAAATACAGAGAAAATACGACATGACCACCCAATGACACAAAGCCTCTTACGGAGTACAAGGTTCGGGATTTCAAGCTTAGGTTCTCGGCTTAGGAACCTGGGCGTTGGGTTCAGAGATGTTCAGAGTTTCGGGTTGTGTTCAGCTCTCCATGGGGTGTCGCTCAGGGCTGCGGTCGGGAAAATCTAAGGCCAGTCGCCATAGCAAGGAAAGCATATCAGATAGAAGACCTGTAGCGCCTTGTAGTAGATTTTAATGAGCTAGAATACCTGTAGCCCTTTATAGTAGAGTTTAAACCAGCTCCTAAACAAGAACCTTGTAGGATTGTAGGATCGATTGCTTTGGACGAGGATTGTTGAGCTTCTTTGTAGCCTGGCTGTGGATGTCAGCGCCAAGGACGACAAGGCAATGACTCTCTGCGGTCTAGCAAACCCCAAAACCAAAAGTCTGAAACCCTAAACCCTAAGCTCCAGACCGCTGAACAACTCTGAACCCTACATGGGTGGTTGTCAAAATTAGGGTCCCTTTTTGGGTACCCTAAATAATAGGTGCCGCACTATAGTAGGGACCCAAAAAGGGACCCTAATATTGACAACCACCCACATACCCAAACCCTCATCGAACCACATGCTACAGACCCGTGCAGGATCCGGATGCGAAAACTGTCTTCGGGTTTGGTTGAGCCCTAGATCCACGTGGGGTTGCGGGTGTGGGTTCAGGACAGTCAAGGGTTTAAGCTTCAGGGGTGTAGCGTTGAAGGAAAATTAAGATACCTTAGGTTGTATGTTTTTTTGTGATTTGAGATCCGGCGGGTTGATTTTGGATGTTCGTTCACGGTTCAGAGCAGTTCTGCAAGTCATCTGCGAACTTAAAGCGAAATCCATTTTGCGAGCCGCCCACCTGCAGAAGCCTGATCCCGACAGCAATAGGGCCCCAAAAAAGCACATAAGCAAAATTAGGATAGGGATCCCCTTACAATGAAGCCCAATAAGGTAGGCATATCCCCATACAATGCTTATGCTTATGTGCTTTTTGGGTCCCTAAAGCAAAGCTCCAGGGGAAGAGCGCAGCCGACTATGCAAAAGCACGTGGCTTGGAGGATCCCATACACGTGGGTAGTTGTCAAAATTAGGGTCCTTTTTTGGGTACCCTTAATAATATGTGCCGTATTATAATAAAGACCCCAAAAAGGACCATAATTGTGACAACCACCCACATAGAAAGGGTTCAAGGGTTGGTGCGTTCAGTGGCTGCGGGAATTCATAATTCCTGATTCAGTACTTACAGCACTATTCCTCAACATTCTTATTCAAAAACGTGTAATACCCTGAAACCCTACTCCAGGTAATTATTGAGGCCCATATACTTCCACCCTGGAGTTTAGCTGAAAGTGTTTCTTGATGAAACAAATTCGGGTTCTGCGGATCAGGCGCAGGAGTTTATGGTTGCGATCTTGGGGTTCCTTGGATGGTGGGTTTTTGGTCAAGGGCTTTGGTTCTGAGGTTTCGCGATAACGGTATGGCTTTAGGTGTTGTAGGGTTCCGGGTCTAAGGTTTTAAGGCTTGCGGTTTGGTGCTTGGGGTTGTGTAGGGTTTTTGGCTCAGGATTTTAGGGTTTCGGATTCTAGGATGCCCAGTAGTACCCTTATTTCCTTTTTGTAGTCCTAGGTCCTAGGTTCCTTATAAAGTTACCCAATACCAAAAAAGGGAGCCCTTTTTATTCCTACTTGGAGGATCATGGGACTTAGTAAGGAGGGTTATAAGTACCTTAATTAAGGTTATATGTAATTATAACTGTAGTTACCTTACTTATAACCCCAATTACTAAGTCCCATGATCCTTTATGTAAGTAGACCCCCAACTCTAAACCCCTTTAGTACCCCTATAGATCCCTTCAAGGGACCCCAATTGCTAAGTCCCCTGCCCTTCCAAGTAGGTTACTGGGCATCCACCCTAACCCTAAACCCTAAACCCCTAAACCCTAAACCCCCAAACCCCTAACCCTAAAGCCCCAAACCCCTAACCCTAAAGCCCCAAACCCCTAAACCCTAAACCCAAAACCCCTAAGCTCGGCATCCTAGGATTTGGGGCTTTTTGCAAAAGTTCAGCCTTCGGGCCGAAATTTACGTCCTGAAGCATCAGGGTTTAGGGTTTAGGGGTTTAGAGTTTAGGGGTTTAGGGTTTAGGGGTTTAGGGTTTAGGGTGTAGGGTTTAGGGTTCATCGTATATGCGATTTCGGTGGCTATTTTTGCGATTCTTCGGACTGGTCAAGGCCACGGCATTAATTCTGCTTGGGCTCATGGCCAAAGGCAGCCGTCTTTGAAAGTCTGTCGGAGCTCAAAAAGATCCTGAAGAGAGCCTTCTGGCGAAGGATTTCAGAACAGAGGGCTCGAAGGGTGTCGTTTGATCTCGTCTTCACAGGTGCTGCGCAGGGTCGACCCAAAAGCCCGTATGTGCATAAAGACCATGCCTGAAATACTTGCGGGCTAAGTGCTGATGGAGCAGTTTCTTCATTCCCGATTGCAGCAGGACAACGTGAAGAGCATCAACAAGTTCCGGAAGCAGGCAGGTATCTTAAATGGGTTCGGAAGGTGTTGCAGGCCGTTCTCGCCTCATGCCGTTACATCCGTTGAAAGAGGCACGTAAGTTGAGTGTACCGGATGCATCATACCTTTTGCTGGAGTGCGGAAGCAGTAGTAGTAGTAGTAGTAGTAGTAGTAGTAGTAGTAGTAGTAGTAGTAGTAGTAGTAGTAGTAGTAGTAGTAGTAGTAGTAGTAGTAGTAGACTAGTACTAGTAACAGTAGTATGGTTCGCCTTGTAAAGTTGTAGCTGGGAGTTCGAGCTCTCGGGTGGATGTTTTCGGTGGAGACGGTTCAGGGCTCAAGCAGTTTCGGGTGTCGTTCTCGTTGGTTCCGGGAGATTCGGATTGGGTTGGGGGTGAAGTTCGTTTAAGCTTGAGCTTGACATCAGCCGGTGTTAACTCGGGGTGAGGACATGCCCCAAGCTCCCTAAAGAAACCTTGGGAGATCCCTTATAGAACTCTTAAAGGAGCCCTGAGAAACCCCATATAAACCCTAAAATGGAAGCCCAATAGCCTCAATCCGTAAGAACAGGGTATATGGAATCCAGGCAGTATTTAGCCTTGATCCGGTGTCCAACCTTATGTGGGTTACTGTAACTGCATTTGGGTGCAAGGCCTGCGGATGTTGTGAGGAGCCCGATGGCCCTTCTACCCTTGAACCCTTAACGGTTCTCACCGCAGATCCCAAATGCTTTAAATCCCAAGTCCGAAACACGACAACAAAGTCAAGTGAAACCCTAAACCCTGCAAAGACAAGTGGGGGTTTCCGAAAATTAGGGGTACTTTATTTTGGGGTCCTTATAATAAGGATCCTATTATTCAGGGTAATATTAATTGGGTCCCCTATTTTCGGAAACTCCCAAGTGCAACAGTTCCAAAAGTGGATGTGGGGGAGGTTTCCAGCAGCGAGCTCTCCACGGGCTCCACGTCTTCAGCGATGCTCCTGGAGCAGGGGGACGAGGACGATGGTTGAGCAGAACACCCAGCGCTGTCACGAGTTTCATGATCTTCTTGAGTGATCCTGGTGGCACTAGAGTCGGAACTATTGTTTCAAGATTGAGAAGAAATTAGCTGCAGCTCGTTGAAGTGTAACATGAAGAGATGCTTGTTAGAGGGCGACCGTGTAATGTAGGGGCCTTAATAATTAGAATAGGGTTTTGGGCTATAGTTTACCCCCGAAACCTTATTCTAATTATTAAGGTCCCTACATTACATGGTGCAGGCTTTCGCTCAGTACGGCCCTGTCCCTAGCCCTAACCCTCAAAATCCTAGGCCACTAAGCCCTAAACCCCAAGCCCCTATAAACCCTAGACCCTACCATTGTAGTTCAGAAAATGGAACTGCAACTACAACTTGAGACCTTAGCTAAATGCTAGACCCGTACCGGCAAGTAACAAGTAAGATAATGCAAACACACATCATCACCATCAGAAGCACAACAATATTCATCATATCGCAATGCTCATAGTAACTAGTAGTACTTTCTTGTTTATCAATTTCCAGCTTTGTCCGGGCTGGAGGAACTCTTTAAGGCTGCGCGCCAATGCCGCGGCTTTCTGCACAAGTATCCCACGTCAGGCCTGCAAGGGTTTATGGTAGGGCTTACATAGGGCTTATAGTGTGGCTTGAGCTTTTATAGTGCTTTGAGCCTTTGGTTGTTGGTATGAGGTTCCATGGGCGCTTACAGGGACTTTTGAAGTTGGGCTGTGAATGAAGTAGCTAGGCTTTTGGGTGTTGGGCTTGAGTGGTGCGGCTTGCGTCAGGTCAATTGCGGAAGCTCGGGTTTGGATTCGGGATTTCTAGTCCAGAGTTTCCTGTACAGACCTCGGGTGTTGCGAGGGGCTTCTGCCCTAACTCTAAACCCTAAACCCCTAAACCCTAAAACCCTAAACCCTAAACTCCCTAAGCCCCTAAAACCTAAACCCTAAAGCCCTAACCCTAAACCCTAATACCCCTGAACCCTAAACACCTAAGCCCCTAAGCCCCTAAACCTTAAGCCGCCGACTCGAGGCTGAGTGCATTTCAAGCAACGTCCAGTCGTCGTGCCGGGAAAGCGCGCTGATGTAATGCAGTGAATCACATTCTCGCATAGCCATTTAGGGGCAATCAGGTGACTTGGGTTTGCGGTTAAGGGTTTGGGGTTTAGGGTTAGGGTTTGGGGTGATATAGGGGGAGATTTATGGGGTTCGGACCCTGATGGGAGGTCAGTGAGCTTCGCTCTGCATGCCACAGTTGTGTCGTCTGCGGCCAGGGCTGCCATGTTACCTAGGATGCCCAGTAGTACCCTTATTCCCTGTTGGTGGCCTTGCCGCCTTGTAAAGTTACACAATACCAAAAAGGGAGCCCTTCTTTTCCTAGGTTACTGGGCATCCTAGTTACGCATGCTTTGCAGCCTTAGGTGCTGATGCAGGAGATTCCACACGATACTCCCTAGGTCCTTAAACCTTGAACAGCAAGCCCCTGTAGATCCGAAGACCCAGAGCCCAAGAGCCCTGAAGAATGGCATGGATTTTGTGGGAGTTTCCGAAAATAGTGGACCCCAATCTGGTACCCTAAATGGGAGGATCCTTACTATAAGGACCCCAAAATAAGGTACCCCGAATTTTCGGAAACTCCCAAATCTGCAACTCTGTCAGGAAAGCATTTCTGGCGCATTCGAGGAACGGAGAAGCGCGCCTTGACAGACGTAGTAGGCTATAAGAAGAGTTATAAGTACCCTAAATGGAGTTACCGCAATTATAACCCTACTTATAACCTACGTACTAAGTCCCCTGCCCCTCCAAGTAAGCTCCCCCGAAACCCTTCCGAGTCGACCATCTGAGCCCTAAGAAGTCGATACGAGGTATTCCGAGGGTCCGGATCTTATAGCCGCCCTTCAGTTACTAGCACCTAGAGTAGGCCCTTATTCCCTTTTTTAGGGTTCAGGTTCCCTTATAAGCTCCTTTAAACCAAAAAGGGCATCCTTTTTATGCCGGGGTTACTCTTGGGTCTAGGTTATCATTAAAGTATAGCCATGGTTTAGGGTTTGGGGTTTAGGGATTAAAGTCTAGCCATGATAGTCAGATCAGTATGATATAGCCAGCTTAGTAACCACTATATCTATAAGTAACCTGAAGGTCCGGATCTTAGATCACCTCCGGCGATCCTCCCCTAAACGGGTTTAGGGTTTAGGTATTTGGCGTTTAGGGGCATGTTCACAGCTCTGGTGCGGAAGGGCAAACCGTAAGGATCCTAAGACCCTACAGCCGTAAACCCCAAACTCAAAAGCCTCAAACCTTAAACCCAACGCCCTAGACTCGAAACCCTAAGCCCAAAGCCCCCAAATCCTAAACCCAAAACCCTCCAAATCCTAAACCCTAAGCCCTAAACGCTCATGAAAAAAACGCCATGAGCCTTCAACCTCCGAGGCTACTTTGCTGTGACACGCCGAAACAGGTCTTGGGAGCTCGGTTACTGGGAAGCTTGTCTTACTTCATTCTGCTTAGGAACTGTTGATGGTATAAATCCTAGGGGTACCTTTAAAGGGCTCTATAAGGCTACCTTTATGGGGCTCTTTAAGGGATCTATAATAGGGATTTAGGGTTTAGGGTTTAGGGGTTGATGGTATAAATCCTAGGGGTACCTTTAAAGGGCTCTATAAGGCTACCTGTATGGGGCTCTTTAAGGGATCTATAATAGGGATTTAGGGTTTAGGGTTTAGGGGTTGATGGTATAAATCCTAGGGGTACCTTTAAAGGGCTCTATAAGGCTACCTTTATGGGGCTCTTTAAGGGATCTATAATAGGGATTTAGGGTTTAGGGTTTAGGGGTTGATGGTATAAATCCTGGGGGTACCTTTAAAGGGCTCTATAAGGCTACCTTTAAGGGGCTCTTTAAGGGATCTATAATAGGGTTTTAGGGTTTAGGGGTTGACGGTATAAATCCTGCATTACCCATAATAAGGAATATACCATTATTCCCATAGTTTAGGTCCTTAAGGTCATGCAGGATTTATATCATCAACCGGAATCACTTGTCATTTAAGCTTTGAACCTGCAGCCATAGTCACACCGGAATCTGATAACAGTCTCACAGGATGAAGGATCAGGAGCAGCAGGGCTTCAAAGCCCGGAGTTCTACTGCTTCGCCTCGGCCATAGACCTTCCAATCTAGCACTTAAACAATCTCTCAGCATCCTCCTGAACCCCATACCCACACCCAGTCGCTCCATATCCTCATGGAATAACACCCCTAATTCAGTTCCCACAATCCTTAGCCCAACTCGCGACAACTAGTTTACTCGCCAAGCAGCACCCCACTCCTACGAGGAAAAGTCCTAAGCCCCACATTCTCTAAGCCCTAAGCACTAAACCACTAGGCGTACTTAGTCCGGGACCCGGCAGTTGAGCCGCTGCTTTGCGATGCTGAGGAGTCCATGGAGAACTTCAGCGACCGCACCTCGGTTTTGGGCTTGGGGGTTTATAGGGTTTAGGGTTTAACACTTCCTGCCGGAAGTCCGATGAGTGAACCCGAAACCATCTAAACCCTAAGCAGAACCCTAAACCCTGAACCCGAACCCCACACCCCGAAGTGAACCAAACGATTGAAACCCTTCAACTAGGTATCGGTTTGGGATAATTTCAAGTTTCCCTTACTGATTAATATTGGAATCGACACCTAGTAAGGCTCTTAGCATCTTGGGGTCTCAGACTTACCTTCGGACTTTTCAATGACCTTCGGGGCCCTGTTGCCTACATCGTTTAGGAACTCAATTTCAAGTTACCATTACAGGGATCAATACTGAAGAATGCGGTTTCGTTGTTATGGTCGCTTAAACCAAGTTCTTAGGGTTTAGGGTTTAGCCCTGTATACACCCCTACATTGAGCCCCTTGGGAGTCGAAGTGCTTATGGGGCTTAGGTTTTGGGTATTGGTTAGGTACTGCCCCCATACAGTAAGAGTCTATAATCGGGCTAGTATTCAGGTCCTAATATATCTAGATTGTGAATATTATTCAACTATTACTGCGTGGGGGCCGTACCCAAGGTAATTGGTTCAGGTTTTAGGCTGCTGATACCTGCACCCTCGGACTCAGACGGAGCATTCTCTGCTCAGACCCCCGAGAGGATCCCAAAAGTAGATCCCTTCATGGGGGTTCCTATCAAGTATCCTTTGGTAGTATAGGGCCCCAAATTCGGAGATCTACTTTCTAGATCCTTTTGGTGGTTTGGGTGAGGACTGGAGCCCAAGGGCAGCATCCGCATGCAAGACGTCACTGGCATCCCCGACATGGCGGGCCTTCATCAATCCGTTGTCTGATTGTTCGCCCATGGCTCGTAGTAAAGCCGGGGTTTGGGATGTAGGGTCGTGAAGGTTTAGGGTTTAGGGTTTATATAAGGTTTAGGGTTTATATAAGGTTTAGAGTTTGTTTAGGGTTTAGGGTTTAGGGTTGAGCTTGACGTTCTCTTTTGGCGAACAGGGTTTGTGGTGGGGTTTAGGCTGCAGGATTTCAGGGTTGAAGGGCCTGCGGGGTCAATATTCTGGCTTAGGCTTTGGGGTTTAGAGTCTAGAGGCGAACGGAACGACATTATATTTGGGATCCTACTATATAGTTTTAGGTATACTCCTCAATTAAGGAATATTTGAGTTTCTTCTAGGGTTCCTTAACGCGTTTACGAAATGCTTACTACAGCCCCGGATCTAATTCTCAAGGCCCGTCGTGTTCTAGCACCTAGAGTAGGCCCTTATTCCCTTTTTTAGGGTTCAGGTTCCCTTATAGGCTCCTTTAAACCAAAAAGGGTCCCCCTTTTTATTCCTAGGTTACTCTTAGGTGTCTAGATCCCCTAGAACCCTTATAGATCCCTTTAAGGAGGCCCTTATAGTACCCTTTTTATTCCTAGGTTACTAGGTTACTCTTAGGTCTAGTGTTCAAGCTTCGCCAACTGGAAACCATCAGACCTAAGTTCCAGACCCTACTTGGAAGGGCAGGGGACTTAGTAAGTAGGGCTCCTTAAAGGGATCTATAGGGTTCCTTAAAGGGGATCTATGGGGTTTAGGGTTTAGGGACTTAGTAAGTAGGTTACAAGTAGGGTTATAATTGGGGTAACTCCATTTAGGGTACTTATAACTCTACCTCATAACCTACTTACTAAGTCCTCTACCCCTCCAAATAGGTTCATGCCAGACCCTAAACGCTTTGTCTCCTAGTAGTAGGGTAAGGAACCTTGAGCCGTTTGCCAGTTGTGGTTTTTTTTGGGGGGGTACTATAGTCCCTATAAATCCCGATTGGGCCCAACGACCGGACTATGTGAGGCCTTGGCTATTTTGAGCCTCGGATTAAACATTTGATCCTATGCGAGTTGCATGCAGGCGGACGACACAACTGTTGGTGAAGCAGACGTTCAGATCTGCTACAGACCCCCGGCGTGGTTTCAGTTTGGGTGTCGAGGGTATACGGTCTGGGTTGCAGGGTTGAAGGTTCAGGATTTTGGGCTGCGGGGTCGCTCGAAAGCCCGCCCTCAAACCTCAACAGGCCCCTGCAGAAGTCGAGAAAGGAACTTGAACCTTGCTGGTGTATTTTTTGGAATTCCCTGTGTAACCGGTTTAACCCCACAGGTTAAACTTTAGACATGGAAGCTAGACTAAAAGTCTTTCGTAAGCCCAGAAAGCCCGGCTTAATAAGCAGATTAGGGTTTTGGGGCCCGTCATACTATAATTATAATAAGGAGCCGGCTTGCGACTCCAAACGCAACCAGCCAACGTAAAGACCTGGCTGATTCGCACCTGCAGCCCTTAACCTAGTAGTCGAGTTGGTAACCTTTAAACTTTTTGGGTAGTAGAGTCCCTATATAATCCCTATATAACCAAAAAGGTTAGGCTGTAGTTCCCCATGATACCCGACAAGTAGATAAACCCTAGACCGATAGCTGGGAGTTTCCGAAAACTGGGGATACCTTATTTAGGGGTCCTTATTATACGGATCCTCCTATTTAGGGTACTATATTAGGGTCCCCTATTTTCGGAAACTCCCATAGCTTCCATGTCCTTACTTTTTGACTATTGTGTTTGTTTGTTGCGTCGAGTGCAGGCCACTTCCGAACGGGTTCCATTGCGTTCTACGGGGACTATAGGATAGAGTAAACTATGCCCCTAAGAAAGTTGAGTTCGCATATGTTAAAGTTGTTTTCATTTATTAATTAAATAAATAAACATAAATATAAATATATATATATATATAATTCGAAGCCTGAATCGCTGAATCCGTGCACTTGTCCGGCCAGGAGAAGATGCCAACGATAAGAAGCTTCTCGCTGTCGCCAGGGACCTGCTGTATTGATTTGTGTTGCATGTGTTCTTTTTATTGCAACTGTTATTCCTACTCTTGTGGTTTCCAGTATTACTCAGTACTATGAATAGTCTTACGACCAGACTACCATTTCTACGTATTATTGTAGTGACTTGACAAAAACTAAACTACAAAGAGACTTATGTGTTTTACTACACGGGCAGGTACAATAAATATCGACGATTGAGCTTCGGGACAATGAAGGGATGAGGAAGTAGCGGTATGTCGTCGAGTGTCGGAAAGGTCGGGCTTGACGTGAGAATACTTTGCTTCGGGCGCTTGGCGCTCCTACTCTTCCGCCTTTCCTGCTGTTGCTGCCGCTGCTGCTGCTACTGCTGCTACTTACAACTGCGACTGCTACTCCCACTCCCACTACAGCTGGCCTACCACTACCAATGCCGTTACAGCGACCACTGCACTAACCCTGCCACTACCACCCTACTGCTACTACTAGCACCACCACCACCACCACCACCACGACGACGACTACTACTACTACTACTACTACTACCACTACCACTACCACTACCACTACCACTACCACTACCACTACCACTACCACTACCACTACCACTACCACTACCACTACGAACTACTACTAATATACTCTTACTCAGACTCATATTCGTGCTCAGGCTCATACTTACACTAAGACTTACTAACGCTAAGGACTAGTACTGAATGTTGCAGGTCAACTCTTGCCTACACCCTAGTTTTTACTTAAAGGCTCATGGGACTTAGTAATTGGGGTTATAAGTAAGGTAACTACAGTTACAGTGACTTATAGCCCCAATTAAGGTAGATATAACCCTACTTACTAGTCCAATGATCCTCAAAGCAGTTCTTATGTCCGGAATCGAACCAGCTTCAAAGTGCACCCCGTTACAATCCTTGTGCTCTGGCATGCAATGCCCTCGTCCCGGATATCGAGTAGACGTTTCTTGAACTTTGCGGCCAAAGTAAAGATTTTTTTGAATTTTTGGACTCATATCCAATCCTAACTTCACGAGTCGGGAATGATCAGGGCTCATCATAGCATTATAGGATCCTTAAGGGAGGGATCACTAGGCTATATACCCCCCTTGGACCCCCCTCCCTTAAGGATACTACAATAGCAGATCAGGAAACCTCAACTTCTAGACCCTAAAAAACCCCTGACACAGCCAATGGATGTCCGATGCTGAAGATTCAATTTCACGAGCTACCAGTCCTTCATCGCACACCCTAGGAGGCCCTAGAACACACGCGGAGCCCACGCCCAAACATAAAGCTCCAAAACCCTAAACCCAAAAGCCTACCAAAGTCCGCATTGTAAGCCCCAAACCCGACCCTAAACCCTAAGCCCCAAACCCCGCCCTAAGCCCTAAACCCTAAGCCCCAAACCCCACCCTAAGCCCTGAACCCTAAGCCCCAAACCCCACCCTAAGCCCTAAGCCCCAAACCCCACCCTAAGTCCTAAACTCCAGACACCACAACCTCCGTCCAGGAGGAAGGTTTTCGGGAGCTCCCTTCAGCCGAGGAGCCCTGCATCGCAACGACATCATGGGTTTAGGGTTTAGGGTTTAGGGCGTGTACCATAAGGTTCAGGCTTTAGGGGTTCAGGGTTTAGGGATGTTTCGGGTTTAGGGGTTTTAGGGTTTGGGGTTCAAGGTTTAGGGCTTTGGGGTTTAGTGGGGTTTAGAGTTCGGGGGCTGCCGGGCTTCGGATTCGGGTACGGTATAAAGTCACTGCTATAAAAGGGGTCCATGACTATCCCGCTTCCCTGAAGTCATCCATGGTTGTAAATAGCTACTATTTGCTTAAGAAACCCCCAAAAAATAAAAAATAATAATCCCTATATTACCCCCATAAGGAATATATATTTTTATTTTTTGGGGTTCTTAAGCAAATAGTAGTAATAATGTACCAAAATTTAACTTAGGTGTCCGAAGGCACCCTGAAGGCCTGACCGGTTCGGGGCTCCGGCTTGTTGTGACACGAACTAGGTACTGCCCCCATGCAGTAAGAGTCTATATCGTAGGGCTACTATTAAGGCCCTAGTAATTCTATATTATGAATATTATGCAACTATTACTGAGTGGGGGCCGTCCCCAAGACATGAACAGAGTTCAGGAATCAGATGTTATCTGCATGGGCGCAGGGCCGCAGTTGGGATAGCAGCAGTAGGAGTCCTAATGGAAGCCGTCACAAATAAACTCTAAAACCACACATAGCAAAACCCTGCATACCACGAGCAACAGCACCACGCCCGTTCGGGGAAACTCTCACGACGGTTGATGAATGAAGATGGCATATAAATCCTGCAGTACTAAGGGCCCCAAGTTATGGGATTTACGGTATATCTGTTACTATGGGTAATGTAGGATGTAGATCATCAACCCCTAAACCCTAAACCCTAAAACCCCATTATAGATCCCTTAAAGAGCCCCTTAAAGGTAGCCTTATAGATCCCTTTAAAGGAACCGTGTTGCCCAACAGCAAAATCTCCTGTTCATCCCTGGAGGATGCGGAGAAGTGGCGGCAGTCCCTAAGGCGCTGTTTTCCCACCGAAAACCAGGTTCCTGAGTAGTACCCTGATTCCCTTTTTGTAGTCCTAGGTTCCTTATAAAGTTACCCAATACCAAAAAGAGAGGCGTTTTTATTCTTAGGTTACTGGGTATCCTAGGAAATTCTTCAAAATCTACGGTTGAGGGGTTTAGGGTGTAGAGCAGAAGCCTAAAAGTTGGAAACCCGATAGCCTCAATCCCTAAGAGCCAAGTAAAGGGAAATCCCAGCACGATTTGTCCTTAATCAGGTTTTGAGCTTTTTGGAGTTTACAATAGGGGTTTAGGGTCTAGGGGTTTAGGGGTTTAGGGCCTATCAGCGTCTACATATCCCGGGCCACTTGGGGCTATGACGACCCGGTATACCCTAAACCCTAAACCCTAAACCCCTAAACCCTAAACCCCTAAACCCTAAACCCTAAACCCTAAACCCCTAAACCCTAAACCCCTAAACCCTAAACCCCTAAACCCTAAACCCCTAAACCCCTAAACCCTAAACCCTAAACCCCTAAACCCCTAAACCCTAAATCCGTGCGACGCCAAGGGGAAACCCCGGGTTAATAAAGCGTCTAAATACTATAGGTTCCTGAGTAGTACCCTTTTGCCCTTTTTCTTTTTGGGTTCCCTTCTTAAACCTCGATATTAGGAAAAAGGGTAGCCTTAATATTTAAGAGGTTACTCAGGAACCTAGAATATATTCAGGATATCGGAAATGCTCCTGTGAGTTCAGGTTTCGTGGGATGTGACCATACTTAAGTTGGGTGGTTAGGGATTTTATATAGGGTGTCAACATATAGGTTTTCAACAGCCGCTTGATTCGCAAGCCAGCAATTCCTGAGCTTGAAGCACCACAGCCCCAAGCGAAACCAAAGCCGAAAAGCCACAAGCCGCCACTCTCAAAGCCCAAAGTCTGGCACATTGATATGGCGAATGCGGAGTTCGAACTCACTTTATCAATTTCAGTATCTTGGTATAGTATAGTCCTCATGGAAATATGTTGTGCCCGGAGTCCGGTTTTAAGGAGTAGTCTTGCTTCAGCATGCTTGTATTGCAAGCCATCGGGGTAAGGTTCTAGATAGGACTTGGAACGTCATAACTTTAAGTTCAAGACCCCTTGATCTCGGGGACCCGTCGAATCCGAAGTTCTAGACAAGCCTGGATATGTACGAATGCTATTGCTTGGGGTTAGTGAAAAAGCATTAACCCGAAACCCTCTGCTGATTCCAAAAGGCTACTACTGTAGACACTGGCTTCAACAGGCATTTCCTCGACCTGCTAAAGCGTGCGCAGAAGCCGACAGCCGCCCCGAAGCGGAAAGCCCTTGCACCCCCGACTTCCGAGGTGGACCGAAGAGTTCTGACAGGTTAGGGTTTGAAGTCTAGGGTGGATGTCGGTGTCCGGGTGTAGTGTTTGTCTTTTAATTAGGGTTTTGGGGCGTATGGGAATTCATTTTATCTTGTCTGCTTGCTTGGAGTGCTGTATTGTGTTTTGATCGGAGGTTGTGTTCGAGCCTTCTTCTTGAGGGTGCTAACACGACCTGCGATACTACAGATGGGGGTCGCAAGAAATAGTACTCATATTACATATCCTTTTCTAGTCCCTGTGTAAGTGTAAGCTACACGGCAGAAGCCTATTCTAATTACTAGAAGTCCCCCCCGCAAAACAACGTGTTTGGAGGGTTTTGGCGGAGGTAGGTTGCTGCAGCTCCGTTTCTTCCTGAAGGCTAATCTAGAAGCCCTACAATGCCTAGAATAGGGTTTCGGGGTCCGATTGACCATGGAAACCTACCGCACACTGTTTGCGATGATTCAGCCTTTGACAATACAGGGTTGCGCTGTAAGGAGTCCACGTAGGATGGTGCCGCAGCAAAAGCTCTCCAAAAGCTCACCTTGCAAAGACTAACCTAGGCCTATCACTAACCCCGAAGCAAACTTTTCACCGATAACCGGGCTCAAGCCCAAGCAGATCTTGGGCTTTTGTGCTGCACGGGTCAGCTGGACAGACTGTATCGGTGGTTTGGCTTAGTAAGTCTTCTAGGATCCTCTTATTAGGGCTTCCTGTTCTCTATGTAGGCGCCATAGTTGAGGGGTTTGGGTTTAGGGCGCTGGGTTTGGGCCATAAATGTTGCAGGTTTACACGAGGCTTTGCAGTGTAAACACTGGACTGTTTGGCTGATCGTAGGTCAGTGGAAATGCCATTTAATGAGGACCGTTACGCTCTCAGTGTGGCTTTGCCCTGTACTTTAAAAGACTCTAAAACCCTGCATGAACACTAAGGCCCACAGCGCAGGGTGCACCTAAGTTTGATCCTTGAGCTGGGCCTTACCCACCCCGTTTTGGAAAACGCTCAAATATAAACTATACTCAAAATAATTGACAACGCTCAAAAATTGCGACAAAACGGTACAATAAACAACGACAGCACCACCGCCAACAACAACAACTGTCCAGCATCTGCGGAGCCCCTAAAACCTAAACCCCTAAAACCTTAGACCCTAATTAAACCCCAAAACCCTCTAGCTTAAAACTTAACCCCGGAACCATAAACACCCGATCTAGAGCTACGGTTGATGATATAAATCCTGCTTTACCCATAATAAGGAATATGCCATAATTCCCATACTTAATTTGGGGTCCTTAAGGTAATGCAGGAGTTATATCATCAACCCTAAGCCCTAAACCGTATAGATCCCTTAAAGGAAGCCCTTAAAGGTACCCCTATAGATCCCTTTAAAGGAAGCCCTTAAAGGCACCCCTATAGATCCCTTTAAAGGAAGCCCTTAAAGGTACCCCTATAAAGGAAGCCCTTAAAGGTACCCCTATAGATCCCTTTAAAGGAACCCTAGGGATTTTTATCATCAACCGTAGTGCCTTTCAGAGGCCAAAGCTCGTGCGGCGCAGCTCCTGGAGGCGTTTGCTGCCTGGCGCGGCACCCCTAAACCCTAAACCCTAAAGGGGCGGTGTGTTTTGCATGTTTTGCTGTTTTTTTTTTCATACGTCTTTGAATGGGATTTTATAGGAAGGGTTTTTAGGTTTGCGATAGGGTTTTTGTAGGATCACCTGTGGCAAACAACTATATAACTCGCGGAGCTTTCTTGAGGCGTAGGGTTCGGTTAGGGGTGCAGGGTTTAGAGGTTGGGGTTTATGGGTTGAAGTTTACTATGTGGGCCTAAATAATTACCAAGACCATTTTGGGGCTTCCTAACAAAACTTATAGTATAATGGGCACCGAAACCCTATTCGAATCATTAAGGCCCCTATACTAGTTTGTTCAGGCGACTTCCATGCCTCTGCAACCAGAAGTTTTAAGGCCTCAGCCCTCGAGAGACTGAAATAGTCAGGCACCGAAGTTCCAGTTCGAAGCGCCATTCCGGCAACAATAATAGTTTAGGCATAGTGGTAGTGGTACTAACAGCAAAAGAAAGCAGTACTCCTCGTAAGTAGTAGCAATAGTAGTAGCAATAGTGAAACAGTATCGTAAAAACCAAATAGCAATGCCCAAAGTAAGAAAGTTAAAGTTGTAGTGGGAGTAATAGTGAAACTACTCGCAACAGGTTCTACCAGGATGTTCTAGGAAGGTCGTTTAAGATGTCTTATAACCGCCTCAAAATACCCCACGTCTGGAGCTGCAGGAAGCCCCAGAATGCGGCGCAACACAGCACCGAGCCCTCGAAGCAAAGGCTTCAAGAACTCCCGGGAAAGTCTCCGGGGACCCCAGAAACTCTTAAGGAAGATTCCTTAAATCATATTAGGGATCCTACTAGAATTTAAGGTATCGGCATCTTCATGATTTTTGGGATATTGGAGTCCCTGGGACTAAGGAAGTCGCGCCTGAATCACAAGCTGCTGAAAGCTAGCACCCCCCAAAAGAGATAATATCTTCTAGAGCTTCTCTCGAAACCCTAAACCCTATTGTTGAACCCCCTACAGAGACAAAGTCTTCTAGAGCTTCCCCCGAAGCCCTCAACTCTGCTTCCCAAATGGGTAGTTGTCAAAATAGGGGTCTCTTTTTGGGTACCCTAAGCAATAGGGGTGCCGTATTGTATTACGGACCCAAAAAGGGACTCTAATTTTGACAACCCCCTACACCCTAAACCCTTAGGAATCCTTTATAGTAACCCTTATAGATCCCTTTAAAGGAACCCTATAGATCCTAGGGCTCCGAGCTTCGAGCCCAAGGTTGGCGAAAGCCAGGCAGCAAGCCCCGTACTGGACGTCGCCTCCTTCCTGGGCGCCGGGGCGCCCGGAGGAGGGTAGCAGTTGAGGGTTTAGGGTTTAGGGGTTAGGGACCAAAATAATTCCCTATATATACCATTTTTTGGGGGGTTCCTTATTGTAACCATATCATAACATACCCCAAAGTCCTATTCTATTGAGGCCTCTTGGTAGCTGTGGGGAGGGTGGGCCTTAGGACCTGGGCCCTTTCTCCTCATACCCAGCATTCTGATTCGAAGGGTTCTTGAATATGAACTTCTTGTGTTATCAGGTTTCCTGGAGTAGGTAGATAGGTGTTTGAAGGAGCAGGTAGGGTCTGAGCCTATAGTTCTTGTGAGCTCAGGGTGTAGGATTGGGCTAAGGGTGTTCATCTGGGTTTCGCTTTTCGGTGTACAGCTGCACGTTGTAGCTGGCCAAGTGCCTACTAAGTTATCCGGTTGGCATTACCCAGAGGGTCCATATGGGTGGTTGTCAAAATTATGGTCCCTTTTTGGGTACCCTAAATAATTTGTGCCGTACTGTAATAGGGACCCAAAAAGGGACCATAATTTTGTCAACCACCCATATATATGTTACATCCGGGTTAGTGTGCGTGTGCATAGTCATCCCGTGGTCGTCCTCACGGAGATGGTAGCGGCTATCGATGTGCAGATGATCGCAGCAGAAGCAGTAGTAATGATAGTGCAGAGTGGTTTTTCATTGGACCCTAAGCACGCTTACCGGCCTTGTTGAGGTTCTGGAACCTGAAATCTCAACCCTGGCCCAGTGTCCAAAGGATCCTAGACAACCTACCTCTTAACCCTAAGGCTGCGTGAAGCCCTCTGCAACTTACGATAGTTTTCGGCCGGCGCCACAACCCTAGGTTTCCCCTTTTCTTTTCAACACAAGGTACTCAAGGGATCTCAAGGGCATCCGTCTAGGAACCCCATACGTGCCTGAGGAATCTCCCACGTTCCCGACGCCCGCGCCAACTGCGCGTCCGCGGCTGCAGAGTCGAGCGGAGACACACAGAGGGAAGGGTGTCCCAAAGGTTTTTCATTCCGTTCCTCGGGTTGACGGTCTCTGGGTTAAGAGGAGTTTTCTCCTTCGGCGGTTTTGGCTTCGGGCTTTCGTGAAAGCAGAAACCCCGGACCATCGCCTCATCTAGCCACGGCTCCAGCTTGAAGAAGAAGAAGAAATCCTGAGCCATGACCAAACACTTAGATCCCAGACCCTGCAAAGCCCGTAAAATCGGGCTTAAACCTCGGAAGTCTATTCTCCTGGATCTCCTGAACAGGAGCCCTCTGGCCGCAGCCGCAAGAGTATGCGTGGACCGCGCAAGTGGATGGGCAGCAGTTCGGGGTCAAGTTTAGAGTTAAGGGTTATATACTATATTTTTGGGTTTAGGTGTTTGCAAACCCCTTAAACCCAACCCATAGACCCTGAACCTGAGGCCGTAGAGGCCTGCCGGAAGTTGGGAAGCTTGAGGAGCCTTCCGTGGGCTGGGAGCAGCACGAGAGATATACAGGATTATATAGTGACAGATATACGTACAAGATTTTTCAAGTGTATGCTGTATACATACATACATCCATGAATACATCATACATCATACATACATGCATACATACATACATACATCTATGCATACACATTGCTGTGATGTCATATTATGTGGCGTAGTATGGTATGATATGACGTGCGTCGATGTGACATGATGTGATTTACTTCGAGGAGGTGTGACATTGTGTGATACGATTCCAACAAGGGAGAGAGAGAGAGAGAGAGAGAGAGAGAGAGAGAGAGAGAGAGAGAGAGAGAGAGAGAGAGAGAGAGAGAGAGAGAGAGAGAGAGAGAGAGAGAGAGAGAGAGAGAGAGAGAGGACTGCTCACGCTCCTAGCCCCTACCAAAGCAAAGAGAGGGAGAGAGAGAGAGAGAGAGAGAGAGAGAGAGAGAGAGAGAGAGAGAGAGAGCCATGGCCCTGGCGAAAGAAAGAAAAGAGAGAGGGAGAAGCAGAGAGAGTGAGAAGTAGCAAGCAAAACTCGCAGAACCAACCAACCTTACAAAAACAAAACAAGCATCAAATTACCTGACATGCACCGAGACCCTAACGCTCCGGCCTTGTAGGTCGCTGTATTCGCGGCCGCACCGGAACTCCGCAGACATGCCGGCTGAGGCTGAGGAGGACCGAGACCTAGGTCCTACGGTTGATGATAAAAATCCCTAGGGTTCCTTTAAAGGGATCTATAGGGGTACCTTTAAGGGCTTCCTTTATAGGGGTACCTTTAAGGGCAGCTTGCGGAATCCAGCAAGACCCCGCGACCACAATGGAAGCTGCAAGGGTTTGAGGTGGTCTGCTTAGGGACCAGCAAAGATCTATGTTCACAGAACAAATATATTCAACACCGAGTGTTGCTATCCGGTTTTGCACGGACGGCGCTCAGAAGCCTGGCAGCACACTGCGCGTTGATCCCCAAACCGCGTAATCACCGATATCCCAATTCTTAAACCTCACCAAAACCCTGATAGAACCTCGATAAACCTTGTCAACCCCCTGCGAATCCTACGAAACCCTAGTGAATCCCTTGTGAAACCCTACCGAGCCCTAAGCAAGATCCGAAAAAAAGAGGCCTAGAGTGGAAGCCTTTACGGTCGTATGAGGGGGATGCAGAGGGCCAGCAGGAAGCATACAGACCCTAACGCCTAAACCCTAAACCGACACCCTAAACCCTGGACCCTAAACCCTGAACCCTAAATCCTGAACCCCGTACCCTAAACCCTGAACCCTAAACCCTGAACCCTAAAGGATGCCGACAGCAATGGGACCGACGAGGGGACCGAGACGGCGGCGACCGAGACGGCGGCGCCCGAGACGCCCGCCGCAGCTCCTGGTGAGGCCGCCGATTGTCAGGGCTTACCCTATCGGGGGCCTCAAAAGGTAGGATGAAGGTAGGTGGGATATTCCCAAATAAGAGTCCTTGTATAAAGGGATCCCGAATCCCACCTAATTATATACCTTCATCCCACCTTGTGAGGCCTCCGACCCTAAGGGTCCAAGTGCCCAATTATCATATACTCTCTCAAAATTAGCAACCTACATAGCAACTATCCCAAACCCGAGTACCCAATTATTGGGTCCTTCGGACCTCGGGGTTAGGGTTAAGGCTGCGGGGTTTAGGCTAGGTTAAGAGTTACAAGGTTTAGGGTCTGGGGATAAGGGTCATAGGGTTTAGGGATGTTGAGGGTATATCAGCAGGGCGTCCCCTTCCCCCATTTTGATTAGGTTGCGAGTTTTGCAAACAATACTTCTCACTAGGTCTCTTTTGTAGATAACTAGAAGCATGAAGTGCTCGTTTTGGTGATCCAACTGGGGCGCATCAACCCTATCATGGGCCTATTCGAGCCTCACCCTTCATCATCCCTTGTCCGCCGGGCCCATCTACTGGGTCAGGGTGTCTCCCCCAAACCACGGAACTTGAACCCTCATTCGTATCCAAGTCTGAAAAGCCGTAGATGAAACCTGGCAAGTCCAGCACAGAGGGAACTGCATCTACGAATTCTACCAATGCCTTGGTTCGAAGAAGTCTAAACCGAAATCAACTGGTTCGAAGAAGTCTAAACCGAAATCAACCATATACTCCTCAACCTGACCCACAATAAGCCACATCCAAGCAAACCAGAAAACCAATGCAGAAGCACTCTGGGCCCTGAACCCTAAGCCCAAAAAGAAAAGATATCTGGAGCCCTGGTCAGATGTACCGGATCGGAAGCTTCGCCGACGATGCTGCCCTGCAGCGAAAATGGTCGATCTTTGATCTTTTCGCCCCTTTGCAGTGTCAGGATTTAGGATGTCGATTACGAACTTGACGCAACCAGTTTAGGACGTAGGGGGTGTAGAACTTGGCGTTCTTAGTTTTGTGGACGAAAGGTGCATTGTTGGGCTTCCGAGTTTATGCCTAGACTCTAGACCCCCCCACGACCCTCCTTTCTACCCCAAATACCCCCGCTATTACGGACCATAAGGGCTCTGTTATATCCCAGATACCCACTATTAAGGACCCTAAGCCCTAAGGGCTCTATTGAAGGGCCATTGGGTGTTCTGGTGGCTTCAGATCTGTGTTGAGTCTAAGGATGCTATCTGCGCGGTTCCCCAAGAAGTAAACAAATCGAGATTCACTCATGGACCCTGAACCCGGTTCAGGGTGTAGCCACTTTAAGGTTTAGGATTTCTGTCTGGTTTAAGGTTTAACTCCTGGTGCAGTTGAACTTGGGGTTTAGGGATTTGGGTTTCGGGGTGTAAGGTTCCGGGGTACCGATCAAGGGTCAAAACCCAACAGTTTAGCCGACAGGCCTTGCCCAGACACCCGGGAGGATCTGGAAAGTAGATCCCCTAATTTGGGGCCCTATACTGCTAAGGGTACTTTATAGGAAGCCCCACTAAGGGATCTACTCTTTGGATCTTCTGGGGGTGTGGGTGCACACAAGTCGTGAAGCGAAGAGTCGGCGATGGGGGATCCCAAATACGTTTAGCCCTCTTGCTTGGGCTGTAGAAGCTACACGGTGGCCCGCGATTTTGCGATCCGGGTTAGGGATACAGTAGGCGCGTACGTTTAGTCCAGAAGCCGGATGCCGTTTAACATCTGTATATATCTGGATACATATACATTTACATATCCATGGACACACACACATATAAATGTATATATATATATATATATACACATACATATATGCATATGTACATATAGAATATAGATACAGGTAGATAGATAGATAGATAGATTTGGCATGCTCTGCTGCTGAGGAAAGCCCGTGGCATCTCATGTCTCTTGCCAGCAAGACATTTGAGCTGTCGGTGGCCTCATATCCTACAGTCCTACAGCGTCTATAGCCAGATTCATCGGATGTCCCGAAATCCTAAACCCCAAACCATACACTTTCAACCTTCAACCCCAATCTCAGGGAGACCAAAGCCCTCCTCCTGATGGGCTTCGAATTCGTTTTCGCCTGGTTTGTGAGATGGGAGTTTCCGAAAAGTAGCTTATGTTGGGGTCCTTATGATAAGGACGCTACTATTTAGGGTACTGTGTATATTTATATATATATATATATATGTGTATATATTAGAGTCCCCCCCCATTTTCGGAAACTCCCACATATGGACTGCGCTTGACCGGATGCCGCTTCTAGCCGTGCCCCTTCAGCCCCAAGGGCCCATGTACCCACATAGTAGGGGTTCCTTTAAGGGATCCTATAAGGATTCCTATAAGGGTTCCTGTAGGGGTTTAGGGTTCAAGGGCCCATGTACCCACATAGTAATATACTTTGGCCCCAAAGTACCCAGGGATTACTTTAAGTCCAAAGTATATACCATTTGGGTACATGGACCCTTTAGGGGGAAGAGATGAGGCTGTAGACTTTCATGGCAGTACCCGGGCCGTAGGCTTAGAGGAAGCCCTCGATCTGTGCAAGGGTTCGAGATTAGCGGTTTAGTGTTTAGGGATTCGTTTACATGATGATGGCTATGTCGTGCTGAAGAAACAGCAGAAGCCACCAAGACTTGACTGTAGACAAAAGGCAACACGAAGCAACTGCACCACCGCAAATGTCCTTCATCGGAAATCCGAACAGTCATGTGCCTTTGTTCTGGGGGCATTCTGCAGCCCCAGGGTTGAAGTTTCATGGCTTCGAGGTTAGAGTGTTTAGGCTTTAGGATTGAGACCGTTTCTGGTCTGGGCTTTTGGGGATTTAATGATGCAATCAGGCGGACGCGGTCGCGGAGCAGTGTGCAGACTCAATCCTTCAACAGTGTGGAGGACCTGATGAAACTAGGTAGCTATGCGTACTGGACTTGCAAGGTGGGTTTCCAGCTACAGTTTCCACTAATTAAGTCAATTAAGTATGTATATGAGTGCTGCGATGTTGATTCAGCGTGCAGCAGAGTGGATCCTCAACCCGGTAAGCCTAGAAGACCGTTTCCTTCTGACAGTAAATCCAAACAACAAACCCCTGCAGACTATACCCTACAAACCGTAGAGAAGCCTTAGCTCCAGCTCGCGAAATGAAGTTGGAAAATGAACCCATAACGTTATATATATATAATATAACTCGTACAAACATGCGATAATAGTTAGAATACAGCATAGTAGGACAGTATGTGGTATGCTGCCTCCCCTTGTTGGCGTCCCGTAATCCGCAAGCCTAAACCTTAAGCCGGACATGTCCCCAAGGGTCCAAAGGACCCATAACAAAGTACTCGGTTTTAGGATAGTAGTTATGTAGGTTAGGATTTTGGAGAGTGTATGATGATTGATTAGGTACTTGGACCCTTGGCGTGGACTATAGGGGCCTACATAATTACCTATACCTCTTTTTTTTTTTTTTATAGGGGGGGGGGGGGGGGGGGGGGCGCTCACTATTATATTTATAGTATTATATTGGACATGTAGCTGGACCCCCCGAAGTACCCTCTTTTATATTCTACCCCAAATACCCACTATGAAGGACCATAAAGGGCTCTATTCTGCCCCCAAATACCCACTATTAAGGACCATAAAGGGCTCTAGTACCTCCCGAAATACCCACTATGAAGGACCCTGAACCCTAAACGCTAAGGGCTCAATTAAAGGGCCACTTGGGGCGGGGGGGGGTTCTGGCAGTTTTCAGGCATTCCCACATTCCCATTTTCACTCCGAGTCTCATGCAGAGGAGAACCGCCCACTGGAGCCGGAGTTGCCAGGCCCAAGGGTTTCGGGATTTTAGGGTTTAGGGGTTAGGGTGTTAGGGGTTTAGGGTTTAGGGGTTTAGGGGTTTGGGGTTTAGAGGTTACCTGGACCCCAAATAATCTATCTTTTTAGGGACATATGAAGAAATCATATCAAGAAACCTTGAAAAGGTAGGTTTTTTGGGGTTTAGGTAGGGTTTGAAGACGGGAATGCATGTACACGATCCTCTATGCATGAGCTCTGCAAGTGTTTGTGAGATTCTCATACCAGGTGGTCGAGATGCGGCACCCACCCTCGAGCTTCTAAGCTGCAATATGGGTTTTACGATTTTGTAGGGCATGTCACTGTTTTCGCGGACGCGTCGTATGGGTTTGCTGCCGATGCCTGGCCTTCGCAGATTCAAGCCACAGGGAACCTAAAACCTTGAACTTTTTCTCCTCAAATCATGCTAAATCTCTGTACCCTGTACTAGACTTTACAACTCCATGAGCCCCGAACCCCAAATCCTCAATATCCTTTCCCGAGGTCGTTGGGTGACTTCCTAGGGGAGGCTCGGGCACGATGTTTTGTGTTTCAGGGCTCTGAAGGCAATTAATGCACGTGGAGTGCTGTTCCATGACTACTAGTGCTGAGATGTTTTGATTCTTCAGAACTTGGCATGATCTGTCTTAATGTTCTTAATCTTCGTATCTTGCTGGGTTCTGCTATCATACTTGTCATGGCCAGCGATGAGAGGATTCCGAGGAGCATCAAGTCCGACAAACATACGCGCCAGTATTATGAGTCCTTTTAGGAAAGCACTGAAGTGATTTAGGGTTGTGGGTTTCGGGTCTACGGTTTTAGGTAGTAGGGAATCAGAGCCGTCAGGGCTGAGGGTATCAGAGTATACGGTGTAACGCATCAGGATGTAGGGTCTGGAAACGGACTTATAATCAACATGTTTCTTAAGCGGGTGCTTGAACAGTGATATTTTCGAAGTAGTGATCGATGTGATGTGTGATTTTGCTGTGTTATCGGGGTTTTATACCCCAGACCGAAAGACTGTAAGCAACCAATTTCGCGGTGAAAATTGGATTTCTAGGGTCATATACGTATGATTAATCCATGAACCCTAACTCCTAAACCTCAACTAACCGTAAACCCTAACCTGATGTAATGCTTCCGAATCCTCCGCGTGGTGCGAGGATGACCCAACAGGACCAGTCGGCAGGCTGGTCCGTGCGTGTGAGCTCTACTGCTATGGCTTGGGCGTGAATCATAGCTGTACCGCTGTGTAGTGCTTTGCCTCTATATACACAAGCAGGTCTTGATGGGGTTTCGGGGTGTAGCGAGACCGTTTCCCCGAATGCCTGGCGAACGGCGGATAGCGATTGGATGATGGTAAATGCTCTCATACTAATCATACTAATCATGGTTTAGAAGGGGCCAGCGCAGCGCCGTTTTCTTTGGGTTTAGGGCTTGTTAAGTTAAGTGTTTCGGGGTAAGTCGTGTTTATTGGGATTGTTGTTCGGGTACCATCTTTGTTAAAAAGGCGACACCATCCGTTTTCGACAATGGCACGGATCTGATATGCCGTCCTTCGGCGAACAGTTTCTGGAAAAAAACGTGTTTGATCGTGTTGTGGTTGTCTTAGCGCCGGTCCTGCTGTACATAAGTTGATACGCAACAGAACAGATGCTGATAACTGTTGTCAGGTCAGCTTCTGACACCCTTGGCTTTCCATTCATGTGTCGCTGTCCGGCAGCCCTAACCACTGACCTAGTGCAACCATTCACCGATGTAACTAGCCTAATTCACCAATCGCACCTCTAGATCCCATTCCCGAAGTGAGTAAACCCCTGGCTCTAGTTAGTAAAGCTTGCATCATCACTAATACTATTGACTACTGTACTACCCGAAGGCCCCAAAGTGATTCCTTTTTGGGGCTCGTACATCGAATCCTATAAGGTCATCCCAAAAAGGAACTACCATGGGGCCCCTGGGTATACTATATACTGTACTATACCCCAAAACCTTTGCCTAATCATTTGATGAAGGTTCCTACATTCGACCCTCCTAAATCCGCTACACCCTAACAGCCCGATAAGAGCAGAGCCGTATGGGAGTTTCCGACAATTAGGATTACCTTATTTGGGGGTCCGTATAATGTTCGGAAACCTATCGGATCGAATCCCGAGAGTTTTTGGGGCTGGGGCACTGGGGTCATAGGTTTAGGGTGTTGGGGTTTAGGTTCTAGTCTATAGGGTTTAGGGTTTAGGGGTCATTTGTTTAGGATTTGGGGTTTAGGGTTTGGTGGTCATGGGTTTTGAGTGTGGGGTTTAGATTCTAGGGCCTAGGGTTCAGGGGGCATAAGTTTTCGATTTAGGGTCTTTGGGGTTACGGGTACTATAATGGTTAAGGACCAGTGCCCCGCAAAATGAACGACCTGCTGTGTGTCCAGGCCAGTTGGCCTTGCGAGCGGGAAGAAGGAGGTCGGGACGAAATTGGGGGATTAAAGTGGTTTGGGGATTCTGGCGTTTTCCTGTGGGCCAGACTACCTACCTGTGGAGCTCTGCGTAGTCATGAAGTGCTGCCGTGGTAGCAGCAGCAGAATTTCTCAACTTCCTGACCTTGTCGTCGAACTTCACACGTCCGATCGTCCTAAGATCCTCGGACTTTGCTCTGCGTTCAGGTTCCGTGAGCTTCATTCATGAAGCGTTGTACCTGCACAGGATGTCTAGGCCTTCGAAAGTCAACTTCTCATGGACGGACCCGTCAACGCTAAAAGCACTGGAGACCTTAGCCCCAAACGTCCATGTAATCTTCCAGCTTGAAGCACATTCCCGAGAAATGCCCTTGTTCGCTTCTTTGAGCAGAAACATCTCGGTTGCCCTAGAGGTTTGCGTAAAGACAAAGGGCAGTTGATACATGGTCTCATCTATATACACATATATATATATATAGAGAGACTGTATGTTTTGGAAAAGTGTAATGTCACCCTAACAGACACACAAGCTCACGCACACACGCTGTATACCTACACAAGAACCACACGAGAGTGTGTATACATACATATATATATGTATATTATGTATACATGTATATAGACGAATGTCATTTTCTATACCCTTTGTCTATATCCACATATGTACGTATTTATGTATGTTTGTCTTTTTGCATACAATCACATGCATCTGTGTACACACACAAAAGAGTTGATAGAAGCTACTAGGGATTGAAGATACGTGGTCAAAGGATGCAGCTGCGCAAGCTTACACATAGGACGTATGTCTTTCTTCAACTCAATGCTGTGTAGTACAGTATAGCATAGTGACTTATTAGAGTATTTGGTACCTACAACATGATGTTTTGGACAGTCGGTCAAAATCGAGTCGATTGCAATGTAGTTGGTGTTTTACGATGTAATGGTGTGTAATCAACCAATAACCTTACACCCCAACAAATCTAAAAACCTCTACCCCCCCTAAAGGGTCCCCAAAGATCCCTCAAAGGAACCCTTCAAGGATCCCTTGAAGGAACCCTTATAGTATATACTATATAGGGACCACTTTAAGGCTTAATCGTACCTACTATAAAGGTACATGGAGCCTTTGCGAAGGATCCCTTTAAGGAACCCTTACTTGAAGGCTCATGGGACTTAGTAAGTAAGGTTATAAGTAGATTATAATTAGGATAACCCCACTTAGGGGACTTATAACCCCAGTTATAACCTATTTACTAAGTCCCATGATCCTTTAAGGACCCAGCCCGAAGTTTTCCAGGAGGGCCTTGGGATCGAAGAAAGGGGCGGTGGCCCTTCCAGCAGCTCCCGAGGCCGGGTGAGCTTACTACTAGGACCCAGAGTAGGCCCTTATTCCCTTTTTTAGGGTTTAGGTTCCCTTATAACCCCCTTTAACCCAAAAAGGGCACCCTTCTTATTCCTAGGTTACTCTTAGGCCCAGACCATTGTTTCAGTATTAATTCTTTTATTATGATCATTATTCTCGGAATTTTTAGTTGCATTACTAATGTTGTTATTTTTCTCTCACTGTTCATGATAACAATTATGATTATGATTGTTACTACTATTATTGTTATTGTTAGCATTCTTGTTGCCATCACTAATCTTGTTTGCTATTTCGATTGTTATGACTAGCGTTGTCTTTTCAGTCTGACTATTGCTATGATTACCATTTATGTTTATTTACCAAAGAAGAACAGTGTTCACAACAATAGCAGTATTCATGATGACAATAATGATAACAGCACAATAATGCTAACGGTAACAATAATAGTAGACATCATCGGATCTTTGTTAGGGTTCTATGGGGGGGTTAAGCTCAAGAGGAAACTATCAAACATTTCCATGGTCCGTCTCCAATGCTGATGCTTACAGCACCCTGCATGAGGTGCGGATGCTCCACAAGCTGAGGGCGATACAGCTGCAGGCCACCAGGAATCTTTGGGCAGGGACCCCATAATGAAGGGATGGGGTTTGCCAGTTTGCCACCGTGTGCGGCATCTGCAAGCTAATTAAACCGTGACCCCCACCTGCATTGAGCCTGCTGAATGTTGGACCAGGACGACTTCAAACCTAAGTCTCGCACTCGAGGGTTTCGCGAATCCCCCACGCAAGGGCCAAGCGCTGTTGCTGTTTATCAGGTGGCTTCTGGGCTCTGAAGTATCTCTTCATCACCACCTACCAAAGGGGTCATTGGAACCGAGAGAGCTTGGCGAGCGCTGGCTTACAGGAGTCCTGGGTTTGGGATTTGAGACTTCGGGTTTACGGTTTGTCGGTGTGGTGCCCAAGACGATACTTATTTGGGTTCAGAGCACTTCTAACATGAATCGAACTGCTTTGGGATCGGCCTGTGCAGAATCCGAAGAAGGCCGACCGGATGTCGACTCCGAAGACAACCCGCAACCTTAAGCCTTCAGCTGCCTCAGAACTCTAAGCTGAGAACCCTTACTTAAACTAGGACCCGGAGTAGGCCCTTATTCCCTTTTTTAGGGTTTAGGTTCCCTTATAACCCCCTTTAAACCAAAAAGGGCACCCTTTTTTATTCCTAGGTTACTCTTGGGTCTAGTAAAGGATCATGCGACTTAGTAAATAGGTTATAATTGGGGTTATAAGTCCCCTAAGTGGGGTCATCCTAATTATAACCTACTTATAACCTTCTATGGTAAATTATAGGGTATCCTACCCTGAAACCATGTTCCAACTTTCTGGAGTTCCCTGTAAGCCCCAATCCCCAAACCCTGAAGTCGTGAACTCTGAAAGCCCTTACCCATTTCAGTCTTCGTGTCTGCATCAGGCCCTGAATCTCACGCTCCTGCTCCTGGCTCAGTGATTATGGACCTCGGGAAATCGGTTTAGGGTTTAGGGTTTAGGGTTAGGGTTTAGGATTTAGGGTTTCGGGTTTGGGGTTTAGGGTTAGGGTTTAGGGTTTAGGGTTTAGGGTTCAATCGAAGTTCGGGTTTAGTCAGGGCTCTGGCGTAGGGTTTGGGCATTCAGGGCATTCATATACGGCTTTCGAATTGAAAGGTTGGCTGCTTTTCAGGTTTGTGGATGCGGATGTCTGAGACATGCCAGAAGTGAGATCGAGTACCTTGAGAATCACGGGTGGTTTGAATGTATGTTCAGTGCATTGGCCTGCGTGCACTTCTGTTATGAAGTGCACTGCATCAGATGAACAATTACTGCAAAGCCCGGGCACTATGTCCCTTTTCGAGTTTCAGATTGTAGCTTTAGCCGTAGCACTTTCAAGCTCGACGTGCTGGTTCTGCAGTCGTCCAGCACAACTTCCGGGTTCCACAAATGCTCTTGACATGCCTCCGGTATTGGCTGCGGAATGACATGACACAGACCTGAGTGGCAGGAAATACCTCTGGCTGGAACAGCACCGAGCACAGAGGGCTGCTTGGCAGCGATGTTGGTGGGCCGATGTTTTGGGTCAGAAGCTGGCTGCTTTACTACACGTGCATCTTGCCATCTGAGGTCTTCCTGGAGCTCAAGCAATGCAGAGCTCGGAAAGCCCAGCTGAGAGTCCCCCAAAGACGGGGGCCAAAGGCCTTCCAAAGAAAGGGGGCAAAGCTGGCAAGGGCCCGCCACTGCCTGGAACTGGGGGCGAGCTCTGCGCTGTTCCGGATGCTGCGGCATCTGCTGTGCCGCAAGAAGCCTCCACGGAAACACTTGCCACTCGGGTGTTCTGGATTACGTTGTTGTTGTTCTATGGGATGCCTTTTCATGCTGGTAAGAGCACGGATGTCAACGACGGTTTTCTTTTCTTGGGTCGCCGCCGGAGCCTCCCAGGTCAGCCCACCTTCGTCGGAAGCGAAGGCAGGACCAAAGCCCAAGGGACCTTCTGTTGAAGAGTGCGTTATGATGCCTCTACGAAGATGATGTATAGCTCGAGTGACTCGGTTTCGGTTTCTGCAGGTGGTTAGGTGTAGAAGGCTGTCACGTGTTGAAGGCTTTACTTCCGTGCTGACGACAGCTTTCTGCACAGGGCTTCAGGAATCGCAAATGCTGCTTCGGACAACTGAAATAAGAGAGTGGCAGGCGAGACCGGCTGACGGAGCACCACTGAGCACTGAGAGCTGCTTGGCAGTGATGTTGGGACGTTGATGTGGACTTCGGCGTGTAGGTGGCAGCATTTCTACGTGTGCAAGTTGGCATCTGAGGTGCACACGTTTCCGAGCCCAAGGACATTCCCGGCGCTCAAGCCGATGCGCAGAGCTCCGACAGCCCAGCTGAGAGTCCCCCAAAGACGGGGACCAAAGGCCCTCCAAAGAAAGGGGGCAAAGCTGGCAAGGGCCCGCCACTGCCTGGAACTGGGGGCGAGCCGGAAGAAGCCTCCACGGAAACACTTGCCACTCGGGTGTTCTGGATTACGTTTTTGTTGTTCTACGGGATGCCTTTTCATGCTGGTAAGAGCACGGATGTCAACGACGGAGCGCTTTTCTTGGGTCGCCGCCGGAGCCTCCCAGGTCAGCCCACCTTCGTCGGAAGCGAAGGCAGGACCAAAGCCCAAGGGACCTTCTGTTGAAGAGTGGGTTATGATGCCTCTACGAAGATGATGTATAGCTCGAGTGAGTCGGTTTCGGTTTCTGCAGGTGATTAATTATAGGTGTAGAAGGCTGTCACGTGTTGAAGGCTGTACTTCCGTGCTGACGACAGCTTTCTGCACAGGGCTTCAGGAATCGCAAATGCTGCTTCGGACAACTGAAACAAGAGAGTGGCAGGCGAGACCGGCTGACGGAGCACCACCGAGCACTGAGAGCTGCTTGGCAGTGATGTTGGGACGTTGATGTGGACTTCGGCGTGTAGGTGGCAGCATTTCTACGTGTGCAAGTTGGCAACTGAGGTGCACACGTTTCCGAGCCCAAGGACATTCCCGGCGCTCAAGCCGATGCGCAGAGTCCCCCAAAGACGGGGACCAAAGGCCCTCCAAAGAAAGGGGGCAAAGCTGGCAAGGGCCCGCCACTGCCTGGAACTGCGGGCGAGCTCTGCGCTGTTCCGGATGCTGCGGCATCTGCTGTGCCGCAAGAAGCCTCCACGGAAACACTTGCCACTCGGGTGTTCTGGATTACGTTTTGTTGTTCTACGGCATGCCTTTTCATGCTGGTAAGAGCACGGGTGTCAACGACGGAGTGCTTTTCTTTGCTCGCCGCGGGAGCCTCCCAGGTCAGCCCACCTTCATCGGAAGCGAAGGCAGGACCAGCGCCCAAGGGACCATTTGCGAAGAAAGGAAAGGGACCTGGAAAGGGCCCGCCTGACGCAGACGCATCAACTGCTGCATCTGCGCCAGAAGATGAGGCCGCTGCCGAGGTTGCCAAAGCTGCTGGCCCTCCAGGGAAGAAGGGAGGAAAGGGACCTCCTATGCCCGGACACAAAGCCGCCGGCGCACCTGCAGAAACAGCAGAGACCCAAGCCACCCCAAGCACGGACGAAGCGAACCTCAGCCCGAAGACCAAAGGCCCTGGCAAGAAAGGCGGCAAAGGTCCTCCCCTTCCGGGGGCCAAGGCACCGGCAGCTGCCGAATCCCCCAAAGATGCGCCCCCCACCACGGAGTCAAGTGCAAAGGGAAAGGGCCCGCCACCGCCGGGAGGCAAGGGCCCAAGCAACTTGGCATTGAAAGCTTCGAGACCCTCAGATTACAATCCTGGAACCTTACTTCAGCTCTTGAATCATTGAATTCAGTGAAGAGCTTCGACAGGGTTGGGAGCAGGTTTGCGACATGCTGCCGGCCCCCTCACATCGCAGCAGCATCATAGTGCCTTTGAGACAACATGTGGATACCGGGAAAGGCCTCAGGATCAAGTCAAATCCCTTGATCACCCGGCAAGCTCAAATCCTTATCAGTAAACCGTAAATCCTTAAACCTTTAGCCTTAAACATTATGATCATGGTTTGTACGAGGTTCAACCCTTAAACTGTCACATGCCTGAGACACTAAAAGCCCTTAAACCGCCTAAGCAGTCATTCAGGCAAGGGTCCCGGGAAAGGCCCTGCTGGAAAGGGCAAGGGCAAAGGCAAGGAGCCACTGCAGTTGCCCGGCTGCTTCAGTGGCAGTCTTTCCATCTTAACTAGGGTTGTCGGGTTTTAGGGGGTCAGGGGTTGAAGCTTTGGGTTTTGTTTAGAGAGCTGTCAGGCGTATTACTTGAGCCCCCGAGGGTTCCACTCGATGTTTCGTTGAGGGTTCTTGGCCCTTTGCGAAGTGCTTCCCACTGCCCGGCTGGGTCTTCCATTCTGTGCCGAAACCCGTCTTGACTTTTCAGCGGCGAGGGGCTCTTCCTTCACAGGGATTTGGCCACAGTGCCTAAGTTTGCTGAAAACTTGACCCTGACCATAAAGCTCCACTGAACCCGACAGCATAAGGTGCCTTCCTAGAAGAAAACCGTAGCGTCTCACAAGCACGAGCCTTCGGGCCAAGAAAGATGTTGTTGTACAGAGTCAGTGCGATTATCCTTTTCGTTACTAGATCGACAAATGAAACGAAAACAGATGTCCACATGAACTTGCCGATGACATCGGTAATTGGCACCTGCCTATGTAGATGTGTCTCGCCCTTGGCAACTTATCAACTGTATTGATCTCCTACAACCTATTTGTTGTGCGTCCATCTGTCGATCTGTCTGTCTGTCTATCTGCCTTTCCACCTAGCCACCCATCCACTCAGCTAGCCAGCCAGCCACCCAGCTGGCCAGCTATCTCACCATCAACTTCTCCATCTCTCTCCGCCCATCTGTGCATCTGTTTGCGTGGTTTCTTTATTAATGTGTCCAAACAAAGTTGTCTATGCACCTGCAGAGTAAGAGAGATATCAAAGCTGCTGCTGTTGCTGGCGCTGTTGCTGCAGCTTGTACCTTGTTTATTATACTGTTCTTGATGCTGCCCTTGCTCTTTGTGCTGTTGCTTCTGTTGTTATTGCAGTGTGCTTGTTGTTGCTCTTCTTGCCTTTCTTCTTGTCATTTGCTGTGTCTTGTGACTGTTCCTGTGGCGGGAGGTGCTTGGAGGGGCAGGGGACTTAGTAAGTCGTTTATAAGTAAGGTTATAATTGGGGTAACTCCATTTAGGGTGCTTCTAACTCTACTTATAACCTACTTACCAAGTCCCCTGCCCCTCCAAGTGGTGAGAGTGAGGGGATCTTCCCAGGTTGCGCCAGCCGAAGATTAAGCCGAAGCAGAACATGAAACAGCTGTGGTGGAGCCGATTCCTTTTCGGCAAGTATCTCGGCCCGGTGATCTATAGAATGAGCCCTAAACCCTAAACCTAAGGTCTTCACGCTGTCTGGGGTGTTCGGGCTGGGTTTTTGGAGTAAGTCGAGGGTCGTCGTTTCTGTGGTGCCAATTCGGGGCTTTGGGTGTAGGATTTGCGGCAACTACTTGATCGCTGAAGCCATCTGGAAGTCCTGGGCTCTGGTGCACAGCTTCGATTTCTATACTAGTGCCCGGGGTTTTCAATGTAAAGCCTCAGTAGTGTAGTGTTCGTCACCAAAGATCTATAATCACACGTCATGCATTCATTTTATTCTGGCTGCCCCGAATACAGAGGTCGGAATACATGTATTTCCAGATAGCCTCACCAGCCTACACTGTATTGAAGTACATCGAAGACCCGATTCAAACTATGAAGGCCGTGGCTACACCAATGACAAAGAATTAACCCGGAAATCTTAACATCCTATGATTCCAACTCATATGAAGAGCCAAATCCAATAACCCTCAGCCCTGATCAGCCTAAACTCCGAAGACGTGGAACCCAAGACCCTGCAATCCTGACGCCCTTAAAATTCTAAACCGAGAGCCAGATCTTTTTGCTTCTGCCCTACCGGGCTCAGGGCTTATAGGGTTTATAGGGTTTATAGGGCTTATAGGGTTTAAAGGGTTTATAGGGTTTATAGGGTTTATAGGGTTTTCAGGGTTCGAGGTTTCGGGTTCAGGAGTTCGGGTTTAGGGGTTACGGGACTTCATTGGTGTGTGGTAGCCCTTTTGCTAAAGCCCAGATGTCAACCCGAATCCGTTATTCAAACGGGAAAAGGAGGGACCCTTAATGGGGACCCTTACCCTATAATGGGCTATATAATGGGTATATGATACCTTTTTATACTAGGGGTCCTTATTAAGGGTCCCTCCTTTTACCCTTGGAGTCATGAGGCACCTCAAGGAGGGCGAGGGCATTTGGAATGAGACGGACAAGGAAAAAGTTCAGCGCCTCGGCTTTTTTGTTAAAGGCCCAGGTTTCGAATTCTCTGGATCTTAAGCCTTGAACCCGAAATCCCAGATTGTAAATCTTTGGGTTCAGGACATGTCCATTACATCTGCATGCGCGCAGAAGGGAAGCACATCGTTGTTTCCCACTCCAGCGATTTACGGCTCACTGTTCGTGAGGTTCGTCCGGTTTGGAGTTGCAACGAATCAATGACGAAACACGAAGTGCCAAATGCTCAAACTGAACCCTGCACCCAAAACCCCAAACCCTGAAGCCTAGCCCGTAACCTAAACCCCATACCCCAAGAGTCTGCACCTTGACATGCCGCGAGACGACAAATAACTGCATTCGGATCCAGGGTTTTCATTATAACATACTACAGTAGAAGCCAGAAAGTTGGAATGTCATTATCGTAACCCCTTTAAGGTAAATTATAGGGGATCCTACCATGAAACCATATTCCAACTTTCTGGAGTTCCCTTTAGAGGTTGACGAGGCTTCACGAGAGATTCAAACCGTATTTTAAATGAACCAGCAATCTTACAGAACCCTTAGCTCAACAGAGCCCCATGTTGCTACCTGCTAACTTGGGGGTTTAGGGTTTAGGGGTTAGGATCCTGCTGCTGATTGCCAGGCTTGGCGCGCAGGTCATCCACCTCATGGAGATGCTGGGCCTGGTTTAGGTTTGTTCGCTTACATACCGAGGTTTTTGCTGTAGGTGGCACTTTGGGAAGCTGTATACTTTCGCCTCTGCTTCCTATACAGGTATCTATTCATAAATATTTTTTTGAGGGCCCCAAAACTACAACCCAGTTTTGTCTTTAGGGGTTTAGGGCTTATAGGGTTTGGGGAATATATGAGGAGACTAGGGCTTGGCGCGAGGGCTGGCTTTGTCCTGAAACCCGGATCTTCAACAGAAGCCCCCAAACCTCTAAGTCATCCCTAAGCAGTTGACCTCCTCCGAAATGCTACACCTCAATGTCAATCCTACAAAGCTGCACAGCCCTAAATCGCAGCAAGACAGGCCCAGCAAAGAACAAACCTCACCATAAGGCTATACAACGTGCAAATTCCGCAAAGCTGATTTAAGTGTGCACAAGTCCCAAGAAACCCTCAAAAACGAAGCCCTCCAGCACTGAGTCGTTTCCGAGGAATCGCTTTGGTCGAGGGGCGGGCAGTGTCGCCAAGGCGGCTCGCTCTGGGATTGAGTTTAGGGTTTGGGATGTTGCACTGGTGGCATTTTTGCTTGGTGCACATTCGAGGGCTTTGTGAGGGTTCTGTGGCGTTCTTATGAGGGTTCTGCACGGGTTTTACATACGTTCTTAGGGTCTTTGATTTCCGCAGTACCTTATAGGCTGTTTAGTCCTCGTGTTTTAATGTGTGTGCTACATTCTACCTATATATATATATATATATATAGGTATATAAGTATGATTGTAAATGTAAATATAAATACAAGTATAAGCACATATATATATATATATATATATATATATATATATGTACAGATATCCCAAAACGCTATTCCGATTCTGGTGGTCCCTACAGTATCCGTTCTTAACGTTTGAAGCCCACTCTCCAGTTCCTTTTTTTGGTTACTTTGTACTCTCCTAAATATACAAATACCCATGGTTTTAAACTTCAAGCCACGAAGGAGCTGCCGTCGAGAGTATACCCTAAACCCTAAACCCCCTAAACCGTAAACCCTAAACCCAACCCTAAACCCCCTAAGCCGTACATCCTAAACCCTAGTGTTTCGAGTTCAGGATGATCTGAGAGGAGTTCGACTGGAAGTTCGAGTGTGAAAGGGAGGAATGGGTCAGGTTCGGGGCTTATGGCTGGAAGGTTTACGGCAAAGCTGAGGCCACAGGTCTAGGGCTTCGTGTCTCAGAAAGGAAGAGGAAGGTAACGGTTTAGGGTTTAGGGTTTGCAAATCGCAGCACGCTAAGACACCCGTGCACCTTCGCGAAGGCTGCACATAATATATGCACTTGCAGCAAGGAGCAATGTACCTGTTCTGGGGGCTCCTTATCATAATTGCAGTATCATATAACCCCCAAACCCTATTCTAATTTAAGCCCCTACATGAAGCCCCCATAATACCCCTTATAGCAACCCTAACCTCTGAACCACATGTTGCTGGAGCCCGGGAGTTCTGTCAAAACATTAGCTACAGCAGATCTCCCCATAAAATCCTTCCGGCAGTTTTACGGGGTAAGCCTGTATGAACCTGAACCCTAAACCCGAAAAAGCAGCCGTTTTCGTGGGGCTCTGGGTCGGAATTCTTTGTTGTACTAAGTACTATGATTGAAATAATATGGAGACCTGTGTTATACTAGAGTCAAAATACGGAACCCTATAGTATACCATAATTCATTCGTCCGCCCCGTAAAGTTCGAACGGCAGGAAGCCCCTAAACCGGCAGCCAGCGACGCGCCCAAAGAAGCGCCCAAGGCTTCACCACATTCGCATGGCTTCAGGGTTTCGATTTGTACTATGGGGGCCTGATTAGTTACAGTACCATATCGTGTTCCTTGTTGTAGCTACGGGATAGTATGGTTCCTGATCTCACCTTAGTTGTAGCATAATGTACCTTTAAGCCCTTTTCGAAGTATTCAGGCCCACATAGCGGAACTCCCAGCCGCTAAACCCGAAACCGTTATCCTCAAGCCCTTCACAGGAAACAAAGGCAAACTGAACCCTAAACTCTTAAGCCAGAATTTGGGGTAAGAATACCCCAAACCCTAGATTTAAAGCCCCAGCCCCAAACCCTTATTCTAATCCGCAGGCCCTACACCCGTAAACTCGAAAATTGGGGCTTAGAGTTCAGGTCTTGGGCGCCTGATCTCTAGTTTTCAGCTTCCCGGACTTTCATTTCTAGCCCCGGCCCCCTTTCGGGAAATTCAGGCTGTTGGATTTAGGAGGATGAGTAGACAAACCCTAAATCCTAAATCCTAAACCCCTAAGCCCTAAACCGTATTTCTAAATCTTAACCGTATGGACTCTGCAGCGATCCCTTCTTGGGGGAGTCAGGACTGGGAGGTTTGAGGGTGTGGAGATTTGTTCGTGTGGTGTACCTAGAGGCTCCATGTGTTCATACTTAGAATTCTATAAGGTAATCCCAAAAAGGAACTACTATGGAGGCTATGGGTAAGGGCATTAGTAATTGGAATAGGGCTTTGGGTCATATTACACCATAATCATAGCAAGGAATCCCCGAATATTAGTGGTAGCTATTTAGGCCCATATATTAATTCGGGGGATTGAGACTTTGAGGATTTTGGGTTTGGGGCTTGAGGCTGAGGGCATGGTTAGCTAGGCTTCCAGGCATTTAGTAAAGTGCTCAACCCTAAACCCTTTAGGGTTTAGGGTTCAGGGTTTGGGGTTTAGGCTTTAGGGTCTAGGGTCCCTAAACCCTAAACCCTAAAAGGATTTGGTGCTGGGAGATTGAAAATTTCTGAAGAGATGCAGGCGATACGGATCATCACCGACCCAAATCTCATCGTTGGAAAAGTCCCCTGGCTGCAATGCCCACGCAGCCAGTTTTCCTGCTTAGAACAGAGTTATCGGGTAATCTTTTTAATTGCTATAGTTGTAAGAAGGAACCCTAAACCCTAAGCCCTTAGACCTTAAGCCTGCACCCTACTTGGAAGGGCAGGCGACTTAGTAAGTAGGTTATAAGTAGGGTTATAATTGGGGTAACTCCATTTAGGGTACTTATAACTCTACTTATAACCTACTTACTAAGCCCCCCCCTCCAAATAAGGAACCCCAACTGTGGCATCTGTCTTCTTATCGGACTCGAGTTCTAGAGAAATCTGGTGAGAAGGCTCCTAAATGCTACGCAGACTCTGACCCGAATCCACCCCGAATCCCAAACGATCCCAAGCCCGAAACGGCTTAGGGTTTCGGGTTTAGGGCCAAAAATTCTGCAGCAGAACCGAGCCTTCCCGGTTTCCAGACTCCTACTCCCCAAAATCGAGACTCCAGCCCTGAAGCCTTATGCAGTATACAAGAATATAATGCAGTATTCTATATTCACATATATATATATATATACATACACATACATATATACATGTAGATCTTTATGACTATACATATACATATGTATATATATATATATGTACATATATGCATATATATGTAATGTAACATAATGTACCATATCAGCGGGTCCTCGAAACCTCCAGGAGGCGGCAGTGCGTTCCCTGCCTCCTGCAGAGGACCATGGAGGGATACCATCGGGGCCACAAAAATTGGAGTAGGGCTCCTTTAAAGGGATCCTGAAAAAGGTATCGATGATAGGAATCTAAGGGGCCTCAAAAATTGGAGTAGGGCTCCTTTAAAGGGGTCCTTAAAAAGGTATCGATAATAGGAATCGAAATTAGGGGCCTCAAAAATTGGAGTAGGGCTCCTTTAAAGGGATCCTCAAAAAGGTATCGATAATAGGAATCGAAATTAGGGGCCTCAAAAATTGGAGTAGGGCTCCTTCAAAGGGATCCTTAAAAAGGTATCGATAATCGGAATTTAAATTAGGGGCCTCAAAAATTGGAGTAGGGCTCCTTTAAAGGGATCCTTAAAAAGGGATCGATCGTAGGAATCGAAATTAGGGGCCTCAAAAATTGGAGTAGGGCTCCTTTAAAGGGGTCCTTAAAAAGGTATCGATAATAGGAATTTAAATTAGGGGCCTCAAAAATTGGAGTAGGGCTCCTTTAAAGGGATCCTTAAAAAGGGATCGATCGTAGGAATTTAAATTAGGGGCCTCAAAAATTGGAGTAGGGCTCCTTTAAAGGGATCCTTAAAAAGGTATCGATAATCGGAATTTAAATTAGGGGCCTCAAAAATTGGAGTAGGGCTCCTTCAAAGGGATCCTGAAAAAGGTATCGATGATAGGAATCTAAATTAGGGGCCTCAAAAATTGGAGTAGGGCTCCTTCAAAGGGATCCTGAAAAAGGTATCGATGATAGGAATCGAAATTAGGGGCCTCAAAAATTGGAGTAGGGCTCCTTTAAAGGGATCCTTAAAAAGGTATCGATAATCGGAATCTAAATTAGGGGCCTCAAAAATTGGAGTAGGGCTCCTTTAAAGGGATCCTCAAAAAGGTATCGATAATAGGAATCGAAATTAGGGGCCTCAAAAATTGGAGTAGGGCTCCTTTAAAGGGATCCTTAAAAAGGTATCGATAATCGGAATTTAAATTAGGGGCCTCAAAAATTGGAGTAGGGCTCCTTTAAAGGGATCCTTAAAAAGGTATCAATAATAGGAATCTAAATTAGGGGCCTCAAAAATTGGAGTAGGGCTCCTTTAAAGGGGTCCTTAAAAAGGTATCGATAATAGGAATTTAAATTAGGGGCCTCAAAAATTGGAGTAGGGCTCCTTTAAAGGGATCCTTAAAAAGGTATCGATAATAGGAATCTAAATTAGGGGCCTCAAAATTTGGAGTAGGGCTCCTTTAAAGGGATCCTTAAAAAGGGATCGATCGTAGGAATCGAAATTAGGGGCCTCAAAAATTGGAGTAGGGCTCCTTTAAAGGGGTCCTTAAAAAGGTATCGATAATAGGAATCGAAATTAGGGGCCTCAAAAATTGGAGTAGGGCTCCTTTAAAGGGATCCTTAAAAAGGTATCGATAATAGGAATCTAAATTAGGGGCCTCAAAAATTGGAGTAGGGCTCCTTTAAAGGGATCCTTAAAAAGGGATCGATCGTAGGAATCGAAATTAGGGGCCTCAAAAATTGGAGTAGGGCTCCTTTAAAGGGGTCCTTAAAAAGGTATCGATAATAGGAATCGAAATTAGGGGCCTCAAAAATTGGAGTAGGGCTCCTTTAAAGGGATCCTTAAAAAGGTATCGATAATAGGAATCTAAATTAGGGGCCTCAAAAATTGGAGTAGGGCTCCTTTAAAGGGATCCTTAAAAAGGGATCGATCGTAGGAATCGAAATTAGGGGCCTCAAAAATTGGAGTAGGGCTCCTTTAAAGGGGTCCTTAAAAAGGTATCGATCGTAGGAATCGAAATTAGGGGCCTCAAAAATTGGAGTAGGGCTCCTTTAAAGGGATCCTTAAAAAGGTATCGATAATAGGAATCTAAATTAGGGGCCTCAAAAATTGGAGTAGGGCTCCTTTAAAGGGATCCTTAAAAAGGGATCGATCGTAGGAATCGAAATTAGGGGCCTCAAAAATTGGAGTAGGGCTCCTTTAAAGGGGTCCTTAAAAAGGTATCGATAATAGGAATCGAAATTAGGGGCCTCAAAAATTGGAGTAGGGCTCCTTTAAAGGGATCCTTAAAAAGGTATCGATAATAGGAATCTAAATTAGGGGCCTCAAAAATTGGAGTAGGGCTCCTTTAAAGGGATCCTTAAAAAGGTATCGATGATAGGAATCGAAATTAGGGGCCTAATCAGAGTAGGGTTCTTTCAAGTAACGGGATCTATAGCTGTATGGGTTTAGAACTGAGTAGGGCTTTGGGGGTGATTATATTCTTCTGTAAAAAGATAGTCGGAGCATTTCCGCCTGAACTTGTTGAACTGCTGGTGTTGGGTTTACGGCTTTAGGGTATTTTCCAGTTGCTTCTCGAGATCGTACATGTTGTGAGGAAGCCGTGTGTATTTTTCGATCGGAGTGTCTGTGTACCCTCCAAAGCAGCATCGCATCAGCGAGGAGGTGGCAGCTGCGCTGTTGAAGCTGGATGCCGTTGTCCTCAGCCCGAGCCATTTGAATGTGATCAAGGACTCCTGCCGGCAAACCAGTAAACCCAAATCCCAACCCCAAACGGGTTTAGTTTACGTCTGGCGTTTGAGGTTGCACGGCTTGGGGCTCATGCGTCTCAGATTCATGCATTTCTGGGCTGGTTTTGGGTCGCAGCACGAGAAATTCGAACCTAACCCTTCGACCTACAGTCCCAAACCTTTCATCCAAAGCCTGAAAGTGACATTGATGGCCCATAAGGAGCACGCCAGCCCACAGCCGGCACAGGCACCGTGTTTGCTTGCATGTGCGCGCGTGTTTCTGTGTGTGTTGTCTTGGAGTTGGTGAGTAATGATGTGGGGGCTGTATTTGTTGGAATAGGGATTTGGGGTATATCGTTCTAGCCGGGAGCCCTTGGGAACAGCATGGATAATTATTCAGGCTTCTGTGGTAGGTGCGGCGGGTGCAAGTTTGCAAGTGGCATGCCAGTTCGCAGCTGTGCGATTTCAGCATACGCAGGTGTAACTAATTTCACGTGAGGCAACGAAGTGGTAGAAGGCACTGCAGTTGTATCACCTTGGAGTTCGTAGCACATGCTCGTTTAGCAGCAGCTTTGGATGTCGCAGTGTCAAGTTGAGGTGCCAGAGTTTACGGAGAGTTTGTTCTTTACTTCTTATGCTGGCTTCGTGCTCTGCTAAGACTGCTAAGCATGAGGCGAGGTGGTGAGTAGTCTGCTGAACGGGTGCCCTAAACCCTATAAGCGGATTGAAATCCACGAACCGTCGAGGTGAGCCAGCTTGAAGAGTGCCGCAAAGAGCACCCCACAGTGCCTTTCGCACTGCCCGAGGCTTGCGTGCTTGGAGGTTTGTTTAGGGCTTTTAGGCTTCAGGGTTGGGTGCAAAGAGGGCAAACATTCGGTTTAGGGGTTAGGGGTCTACGGGCTTTTGCAGGATTTGGAGCACGCACGAACCCTGAATGTTTTGCTCCAACCAGAAAGTCTCCTCAGATCATGGGCCATGCGCAGAGGATTCAGGGATTCCACAGCGCTCCACGCCGGGGCTTATCACGATGACCCGAAACCTCACACCCCCTCAGCCAGAACTGGTGCTTCTGCTTCGAGGCTCCTCGTGATGGCCCGTGTTGTGCATAGCAATTCAACTGTAGATCATGGGACTTAGTAAGGGCTCTTAAGGCTCCATAAAGGGATCTGTATAGGGCTCCTTAAAGGGATCTATATAGGGTTCCTTAAAGGGATCTATAGGTACGATGAGACCCAACCACCGTCTGACTTTCGGCCTCAAAGACCACCCCTTTGTAGGATCTTGATAAAAGTCTACATCAAGGCTTATACTGTTACCTTACAGAAAGTCGTTCTGGTACGTGAAGGTAGTCGTTGCCTTTCCAGGATCTTGGATGCTGTTACGCTTCAAGTCTCGTAACTCTCTTCTCATCAACTAGCTTCGCACTTCGTGCTTGCAGGAGTACATGTGGCACATCAGCCGCGTTCCAGCATACCAGGTGCGCCGGCTGGAATTGCAGGGCAGTAATTTCCTTGAGCGTTTCGTCCAGGAGGGTCTAGAATGGGCAATAGGGGTCTGAAATGTCAGCAACTCCGCAAGCCCCCTTCTAGTCTGCATATTTACTGAATTATTTGTTTATTTATTTGTCTATGACGTACCAAGTCAGAACCCTAGCCCATTGAAGAAAAGGTCCATGTTAGTTGCAGCTCGTCGGCTGTCTTAGTGTTGCCCGGCCGTCAGAGCTGGTCTTCAGGAGGACGAAGCTGCAAAGTAAGGAGCTTCTTTCAGGGTTTATGCTCCACGGATTTAGGGTCCATGGATACTTTTGTTACCTTCTTTAGGTCCTTCTGGGCAGGGCGATACGGTAACTCAGCAGGACGATTCAAAACCAGCTGTATGTTCGCGGGCTTGAACCCTAAACCCTAAAGGTATGCATGGTGCCTTGACAGGCTCGCATCTCCTGCTGGACCTTCGTGCTCTCCTACAAGGACTCAGTGGTGGAAGAAAGGGGGCAATGACCAGGGTTTAAGGTGCAGGGTTTAGGGCTTAGGATTTAGGGTTTAGGGTTTAGGGTTAAAGGTTTAGTGGTGGAAGAACGAAAGCAATGAACATCTTGATTTCGAATGCCTTGAACCGCACTGAGTGCGGAATTTCGGATTGAATCGAATCCTGCAGTTACCTATAGTCTCCATTGTAGCTCCTTTTTTGGGATACCTCATAGGATCCTTAATCTATAATTCGTTCAACCAAAAAAAGGAACTACAATGGAGACTCTAGGTCGTATTTTTCTGTTCAGAAGCCTGACAGTCGGAACTAAGACAGCGATCCCCGGACCGCAGCGATTGCGAAGAGCTGTCAGGGCCTTCGGATCAGGCTACGGAAGAGGGCTGTTTGCAGTCGGTGGTACCTTGAGGCTCCACAGTAGTTCCTTTTTGAGGTTCATACTTAGAGTTCTATATAAGGTAATCCCAAAAAGGAAATACCATGGAGCCTATGGGAAGTTCGTTGTCCCTGAAGTTTGCCCGCAGTCTCTCGGGGGCAAGCAGGAAACAACTGGCGCATGCAGCGCAATGCTCGGCAGCTTGTCTCCGACTCTCACCGTACCATGCCATGCCACGTCATGCCATGTAGCGGTGCAGCTCCCGCTGGTGCAAGCATTCAGTGTATCGCTGGTGTCTATTTGTAGACGACAAATTCAGGTCACGTTGCAGTTGCAAGGTGTATTCGGTTGTATGGTTCAGGCAGAAAGTGAAAGCTACTGAGATGTTAAGCTACTTGCACGAAGCAAAGTAGCCACTTCGACACATCACCAGAATTTGCAGTTGACCTGCATCTAAATCTTACCGGAACCCGTATTGCAAAGCTTCAGGAACCCACCTCGGAAACCGTGACTGCGGGGTTTTATCAACACCTGGCTTCCAAGGAGCAAACCCCTGAGCCCCGCAACAACCTCAGAAGCCGGACAAAGCCAAACAAACCGCCTAGGATTACGGTATAGGGTCCATGGCCAGAGGCTCCATAGTAGTTCCCTTGTGGGGTTCCCTTATAGGATTCTGAATATGAACCCCAACAAGGAACCACTACGGAGCCTTAGGGCGGCTAGTGAGACCGAAGCTCAGGCGAGTTTCAGCTGATAGAGGAGGCCATACACCAATCACGGGCTCTGCGGCAGCTACTGGCTTTGATCTTGCCACCTGGCCCGCATACTGTAGGGGCATTAAAAATGATATATTTTTTTTTGGGGGGGGAGGGGGTCCTTATTATAGTTATAGTATAATCGGCCCCGAAACCCTATTCTATTTATTAAGGCCCCTATAGTAGTTGAAGTTGCTCTCCTATGGGTTCGTTGAGGTTTGCAAGTTTGTAGGCTTGAGTAGGGCAGTTCAGGGGCCTTTACGGATAGTATGCAAATCCCATGCACTCCCGCACCATCGGTCCACAATTGCAATCACAAGAATCCTTGTCCTGCGCGTGCTCTTGCTGCTGCTTCTTCTCTTACTACCACTGCTACTAGCCGCTACTACTGCTGCTATTTTACTACTGCTGCTACTGCTACGACTGCAACTGCTGCTACTACTGCTGCTACTGCCGCTACTTCTGCTACCGCTGCTGCCGCTTCTGCTTCTGCCACGGCCACTGCCACTGCCACTGCCGCTGCCGCTGCCGCTGCCACTGCTGCTGCCGCTGCCACTGCTACTACTGGTCTGGTCGTAGTTCTACTACTGCGAAGTAGTGGTTGGTTCTCGGATTTACGGAGGTATGTCCATCCCACCCGATCCATCCGCTGTCTCCTTGAAAGCCAAAAACAAGACCGTAGGAAAGTACGCAGACAAGAACCAAGAGCTACGTCCGACACCCTATCGCTCCAGCTGTGCACCTGATCCCACAACATGGGTTTATGGTTTGTCCAGGCAGGTCGGCAACTACTTGCTGCTTGCCGGCAGGGCACTCGCCCAGTTGGTCTCTTCGGAAGGTCTGACGCTTTTGGTACTTTTCTTGGGGCTTTCAGGATTTGTTCACGGTCCTGAGAGCTGGAGCGGCAATTCTCGAGTTCACAGACTTCAGGATGGGGTACACAAACCCACAGCCTCAGCTTAGCTGCCAAAGATTTGCTGGCATTTCGTGTTTCGGATTTAGGGTATACTTCCCCGTCACCTCCCTCCGATCTAGTTTAGACTCTCTATGAAACACCTCAGACGACCCCCTAGCACAGCTCAGTTGTAATTGTAGGTTTACTTTGTGGAACCCTACCAAGAAATCCCAAACTGCCGTAGGAAACAGGTGCTGAAAAGAACCCTAGCACCCCCCAAAACCCAAACCCTAAACTGCTAAACCCTAGACTCCCAAACACTAAACTCCTAAACTCCTATTAAACTTAAACCCTAGGCCTTAAGTTTTCAAGGAACGGTGGTACAGATCGCGGTCAAGCCGATGGGTTCGACTTGGAAACTCTGGCGCTCCTTTGCCGCACGTCGGATTCGGGGTGAGAAGCTCAGCTCTTTGAGCTGATATGAAGTAATTAGGGCTTATAAGGTTTATAGGGTTTAGGGTTTATAAGGGTTTAGGGTTTAGCATCTAAAGGAATGTTCTGCAGCAGGTCGTTTTACATCAGCGGTCATAGGGAATGGCATTTCTCCAGGGGAAACATCCCAACCAGAGCAGGAACCATATGGTCACTTTCAAGACGGGTACTTTGACGAACTACCATAGTACAAGGTTCCTGGGCTCAGAGGCAGTGAAATGCAGTGGGTTCTGGATATGTGTTAGTTGGGCTTTACTGAGAGTTCAACCGGAGCCGCAGGCCAGGCTTTCCCCAAACCCTCACCCCAAACCCGCAAAACCCTACGCCGAAAGCCCTAAAGACATAACTGTGAGTCAGGAAGCTGGACGGTGTCAAGGACAATGCGTGGAACTCAGGTTTCTCGCAGGCTCTGTATGCGTGAGCAAACCCGCCAAGCACAAAAGCCCGAAATACGTGTAAGTGTTATGAAGGGCCGTTAATGGTTTTACAAGGAGTCTAGTTTGTTTTGTACTGGTTCTGCAAAGGCCTCTTTAAGACTTTAAGAGTTCTGTCAGGATTTCACGAGGGTGTTATGAAGGTTTGGGGTTTTCTAACCAAGGGCCCCCATCATTCATCCGAGCCCTTTGCCAAAACCTCGACACATCACAGCCTGAAGTCCCGGTTTAGGGTGTAGGACTAAGGGTTAGTAAGGGTATGCAGGGTCTTCGGGGTCTTGTTCGGATCATGGGGCATTTTTAAGGAACGGTAACTCGAGCCTGCGCGCTCAAGCAAGTCACCCGTACCGGCTGCAGGGTCTTTCGTGTTCCGGCTTCAGGGCAGGTTGCCAGCATAATTTCCCCAACGCCACCGGCGACTAGCTCTAAACCCTGAACCCTAGGGCCAATTCGAACTGTCTCAGGTCTCTCCATCGAAGGACGTGCCTGGTTGCAAAATCTGGATGTTAGGATTCGGTTTAGGGTTTCAAGTTTCAAGCACGGGATTCGGGGTCTGGGATTCAGGATTTTGCGATGTGCGGCGACCTAGAAACTTTGGAGAACACGCTTGGGCTGATTCAAGGTTGACGATGTATATGCTTCAAGGCTAGTTGGAGGGTAGTTCTAAGCAGAGTTATAGGTCCCTGAATAAGGGTTATAGCTATAGTTACCCTGCTTATAAGCTCACTTATAACTTATAACTACCCATGAACCTCCAAGTAGAGGTTACTTTCGACTGAGAGTTGAGCCTTTCTTTGACGGTTCATCGATCGAAGCTCTTCCACATCATGTTTGCTGCCGAGTGGGAAGCTTCGCACGGCGACAGGCTGGCGCACAGCGCCCTTTAAGCAGAGACATGAACCCTATCCCGAATCCTGCCGAGTGACCTACGAGTGACCTACAGAAGCCCTACATAGGAAAGATCTACCACCTTGGAGTTGGACGTGTCGCTTTGCTTGTGGCTGTTGTTTAGTCCTAAACCCGCAAAATCTTAAACCCTAAACCCTAAACCTTACGGTAAAGCCCTACGGCTTTGCGAAGCAAGCCTGAAGCTATTCTCGAGTCTTGAACCCTCGGCCGCTGACCGACCCCCAGTAGCCAAGATGGGCACTGCGCACCTAACTTCTAGCCCGAGGCCCACAGTTTAGCGTTTAGGGATTTTGGTTAGGGTTTTGGGTTTACGTAAGATTCTTCCTACTTGGTCCCGGGGCTATCTCGTATCACCTGGGTGTTTTACGCATCTGCAAGGCGTCTACTTCGGGGAACGCATTATAGACGTCATATCATCTTATCAAGCTCTGTATCTTCAGCTTCATATTCTTCGGCGTCCACAGCACGCTCTCGCATCTGTAAGAGTCAGTGGGCACGCGTGTGCCCATCTTCGCACGAGTGTGTGCTTGTGTATCGCAGATTATGTATTGGACATGGGCACGAAGGGGTGAAGAAGAACAGAGTGCATGTGTGAGCGTTTGTAAGCTGTGCGTGGTCCAGAAGCCCTTAGGATAGCTGACGGTTGGACTACTCCAAATCCCAGCGTCTACTTGGCAAACGCATTGATTTCTCATCTTGGAATGCTTCCAAATGTAGTATATACCTCAGCGTCCGCAACAAATCCGGCACTTTGGCCTATCTGCTGCGTGCTTCTTGAAACCAGCGTCTACATGGGGATTAGCTAGTTCTGATGTGTAAATTTCCCGCTGATGTGTATTCTCCCTAAACCAGCGTCTGTCGGCATTGATGTGTATTCTCACCAGCTGATGTGAGATAACCCCAGCGCCC